CACGGCCCAGTCTATCGACGAAAAGGCCCCCGCTCCCAGACTGCAACGCGAGCGTCCGACTCTCCCTATTCCCCCGTCCTCCGCACCCGCATCCGCACAGCGCTGGTCTCCCTATTCCTTCACCCCAGACACCGCGCGCTCCTACCACTACTACCCCGCCTCCTCCGCCTCCGCCCCCGCCTCCTCCCTCCGCTCTCCTGCTGGCCCAGGGCGCCAATCAACCCCCTCCTCCCGACGCGCCGACAGCCCATACACGACTCTCCGGGCATGGCTCCCCCTTATCATGTACGCAGTCAGCTCTTTAGCCTTTGTCGTTGCCATCGCGCTATACAGGACGGAGCTTTTTGAGTGTACGTGCCAAACACATATCGTCATCCGAATTCTGTGGAGCCCTGCTGATCCCTGCATTCACCAGTCCTGGACGACCTGTCGCTCTACCTGCGCGCAGACGAGCAGTACGGCCATGCCGTCCTCTTTGTCCTCATCTTTCCTCACCACCATCCGTGCGTTCGCTCCATACCTACCATCAGCCCAATCTAACTCGTTTCAATCTTATCACCAGCCCCCTTCCCGCTCTACTCCACCCTCATCGTTCTATCAGGGTACACTTTCGGCGCATGGACAGGCGCCATCATCTCCTACTTCGCTGCCCTGCTAGGCGCCATCCTCGTCTTCCTCGTCTCCCGGCACCTCCTGCGCGCGCCCATCGAGCGATGGCTGCACCACTGCCCCACCATCAAGCGCGTCGTCCGCGCCATCGACAAGCGCCCCAAGCTCCTTTTCCTCATCCGCCTCGCCCCCTACCCCTACAACGTCATGAACTGCCTCCTCGCCGCGTCTCCCACCCTCTCCCTCCACACCTACACCGTCTGCACCGCGCTCTCCCTCTTCAAGGTCATCATCCACACCAGCATCGGCGCGTCGATACACTCCTTCTCCGCCTCGCACCTGCTTTCAGACGAAGAAGAGGACGACTCGGCGTACTATCTGAACCGGATATACACGGTTACGGGGATCCTGCTGTGCGTCCTGATCCTGGTATACCTCTCCATCGTCGCGCGGCGCGCGGTCGACGACGAGCTGGACGACGCACCTGTCACATCGAGGGACAGTGAGGAGACGAGAGGGTTCCTGGAGGGCGACGCGAGCGACGCAGACATCGAATCGGCACGGCCCATGTCGGAGACACCGTTCCGCGCGAGCAGACCGCTGGTACCGTATCGGTCGGCGTCATTCTCGGTGGAGAGGGACGAATCCGACGGAGAGACGAGCTGGCGATGAGTGCCGGTGCGCGAAAGTGTCTGTCTTTCTCTCTCAATTGTCTTGGGCCGTTGGTTCGTCAGGTCATCCGTTAATTACACCTCGCTCGCTCTTCTCTTCATATGGTCCTTCACACATTCTCTCATCCCCTGCCTACCATACGCTACGCTATGCTTCCTCCTCAATCTCTCCAGCATATCATCCGTTCAAAGCCAAATCAAATCATACACTACCCTCTACCTTATCCCTATCTTACTTGGCATACGTACGTACCTAGTTACCCCATGGGCCACCATCCTTATCCTTTCATCATCCATCCACACCAACACCAACCCTCCACACCACCAACCCTCCATCAACATCTACATCCACACCATCAACATCACCCACCCAAACCAAACCAACCATCTCCCATTCGTCCACCCATCCCATTCGTCCATTCGCCCATTCAAATTCTCCATCTTCGCACATGCACAGCCCTCTCGCTCGCCCGTCCCAATCCAATCCAGTCCCTACGTACTTCCTACTTTATTCCATAATTGCCCCACGCAGACAGACACCCTCGCTTTAATCTCGGCGCACCGCGTATATCTCGGTCGTTCCCTTCCCTTCCCTTCCTTATGTTCGCATTATCCCCGTCGTGATATTCCGGTGTTCGGTCTTCAGTTACCCGACCCACACCCACACCCTCATCCCGTGCCATCCTCAACTTCGATATCGCCAACGGCCCTCCGAACCGTCCCACCTCCCGCGACGATCCATCCCCGACCACGTCCTCCGTGTCCCTCCTCGACTTTCGCACCCGTCCCTCGCTCACGAACAACGAACAGACGATGACGCACGACGCACCACTCACCACTGCGTCCACGCACTACAGAATAGACGCTGGCCACCCGAGGGTCTCAGAATTGGAGCCCGGCCGTCGCTCACGAACCTTCCCTTTCTCTCCCTAATTTCCTCTCGCATTCGCACATCGTAATCCCCTTGGCGCGGACTCTGCAAAGTCTAGAGAACACAAACACACTCTAGAGCCAAGAAGCTGAACGAACAACAAACCCGCCCAAGCCCAACCAAGCTGTACTTGTATTTATTATAAAGTTTAAAGATTTTATAGGATTTTTCTTTTTTCCGTCTTTTACTTTGATTCGACTCGTTTAGTTTTCTTGCCTTGAAATCGTTGGCTGGTTCGAGATAATAAATAGACTCATCTTTTGGCTGACCCAAATCTCATTTCGCAAGATCGGTGAATCCTCTGTCAGCTAGTAAGTAACGTACTTTGCTCGCCCTCACCAGCTCCTCTGTGGTTCTCGCAGGCCATCAGCTATCAGCGGACGCTCTCGGCTCGTGAGAGGGCCCTAATTTTCAGAGTCCGCTTGTATGTGTATTTCTTTGATGGCGGCCTATCGATAAGAAAACGGCTGTAAGTAGCTACCGTGCATGGGCATCGTAATTTGAAGTGGTACGTAGCACAGGCACCATCTTCGAGAGTGAATAGAATCACCTTCCGCCCGCATTTGGTTGCTGCCTTAAAAAGTTTGTTTTCTACGTTGCACAAGGGGTTGTTGCACTGCATCACTGGGGGATACAGGGACCTTGACACTGAAGATTAAAGTGTCTAACCGCACTGTTTCTGGAATCGAGGGCCAGGCACTTACTGAGCTGGCGGTCCTTTCCCTGCTCATAGAATAGACGTGCGTCTGCTGCTGAAGAGTGCTCCGTTGGGTTGTAGGTCCAGATCGTCTCGCGGAAGGCATCCCAGCAACCCCCCACATGCTCATCGGTCATCTCCAGAGCATTTACCAGGAACTGGTGAATATCCGACGGCAGTAGGCTTGGTGGTCGGCACTCATCTTCATTTCCTCTCTGTGTGATTGTCCTCTTCAGCGCCACGCCAAGACGTACAAATCGCATGGCATTCTCCATTGTAAGCGCCCGCGAAAGTCCGGCAGTTCGGGTCAGGACTTTCTGAACATGCTCCATTGTTGTTTTCTCCATTTCGGACAGACGAGAGGGCAGTGAAGGGTAGAAATGATATTATTCTGCCTACGCGCACCTAGGAGACTCCGTACGCTCATCCCCAATGCCTCAGCATCCCCAACGGCGTCGCCGATCGCCTCTGTGGATGTCACGGTGGTTCATGTCACTAGTGGTGACTCGCACAATGCCGAGCCTCACGTGATTCTATGGACTCCATGCAGTCCATGGACAATTCAATACCTGTTTGGTCTCTTGACGTTGAGCGTAGAGTACATTAGACAAATCAGATTCAACCTGACTTAAGCTTCAGGCCTCCACCATGTCTGCGCACAATTGAAATCTGGTATGCATCCACAAATTATGCGCAGCTTGTCAGATAGAGCACTTACTGATCATTCATTTGCTGGGGCTCTAGAGTTAGAGTACCTACCCCATGGGCCTACTTCAACTAGTACCCCACTTCCAAACCTCCACCCACGATCATAACGAGCTCTTTATCAGCACGACGAACTCAGAGTCCGTCATCACAGGAACCTAAGCGTCCGCAATGAGGTCATAGTATCAATGTTATGTACGAGTTACATACAGAACCATTCCTCCCTTCAGGTGGTTTTGGAGATTGATTTTGGAGTTGGGTTTGGTGGAGGTCCCTCTTTCCAATCAGAAAGGTTGGCCTCTGGAGGAGCAACTACTGCAAGAGGGTGGTGATCTATATTTAGCCATCGCGGCAGAAGCGACGTACGATGATCAACTTTATCTTTGGCTGTAGGTAAGACGATATCATATATCGTACTTGCATGGTATTCGAAAAAGAAGTCTCACAGACTGCATACCGCAGAGCACAGACCTCCAATATAAGTAGATGTACCATCAACAGCGCACCTGGTCAGAGTCCTCGAGAAGTCTTTCCAGCGTCTAATTCTGCTCGATAGAGACCATAACGTGCGTCATCAAAGGCCCAAGACCGCAGCCAAGGCGAAGAAGGCAGCGCCAACCACCAGAAATACACGTCCTGCCCTGGCGTCTAAATCTACCGTGTGGCGAGCATTAAGCCTGCTGCCTGTCACTGATGATAGTGGCGCACTTTCTCGTGCATGGCAGGTCTAGGTGCTTCAGGCATCTCCAGCACCTTTACTTTCCGGGACGCATAAAAGAGTAAATTTTGAGACTGCAGCCGCCTCTCCGCAAGCGCCGTATTTGGCAAAGAAATCGTGGGTGCGCCACACTCCTCTCCGTTTTGGGTCCGTTTTGGGCAGTGGTGCCAAACACTCACACTTTGAATACCTCCTGCGCCTTTCTATTCGCTTCCGCGCAAACACCCACTTGTTCGTGGCACGTCTTACTTTGAATAGGATGCTTCTTTGAGTTTTAACCATCATATATGATGAAGACAAGGGAGGAAAGAGGCGAAGGAAGGGGGAGAAAAAACTGGATGGCGGACGTCTTGAATGCAGTCAGAAGGGGGGATTCTTTGAAGTCCCCCTCCTACCTTTGGGGCATGTCTCTCGTGCCATGATATCAGCAAAAGTTATATAAGGGGAGGCACCTGTCCTGAAGGACTCCCAACAACGTACACTACTTAGTCCTCTCACAACACAACGCACGATGTCTGACCCATCCGCACCCGGACTCGAAGGTGCTCCTCATCACCTCATACAGTTGGTTTCCCTCTAACACTCGCTTTCACGAACAGAGGGCACCGAAATCTCACCCATGGCCGAGACGGTGCAGACCTTCGCGAGCTACTCCGAGGCCTCCGTTGCCGCTTGCAAGTGGGTCAACTCGGGAAAGACCCAGATTGACCCAGCCCAGCTCATCCTGTACAAGAAGTGAGTGTGCGACCTGGAAATTACCTTCGTTCGCCGTGTCGTGTAACGTGTTCGCCACTGACCACCGCGTTCCGTCGTACATTGACAGCACCCTCCCCGCAAGCCCCGCATACGGCAAAATCGTCGGTAAGCATGCGCCACACCCCATATATAGTCACTTATGTCTTCTGCCGATGCACTAATTCCTTCCCTCCTTCCACGCTGCTCTCTCGCCACCTCACCATACCTCCCTTAGGCGTCGGCCTAAAATTCACCGCCGAGGTCGACTTCTGCCGACTCGACATGGACAACACAGGCAAGGGCATCCACTTCAACGCCAAGCAGCGGGACGACCAGTCCAAGAAGCTCGCGGCGGTGATCAAGCCGACTGTTGCGTTGAGCGAGGCCCAGCGCACGCAGCTGTACATGGAGTATATCAAGGGGCTCGAGAACAGGAGTGCGCAGTTTATTTGGGAGTGGTGGAGCACCGGGAAGGCACCGGCGTGAGGGGGGGAGCGGGGAGCGGCGGTTGAGAAACGCAAAGGTTTTTGAAGAGTGTAGTAAATAATGTACTTGTATCGAATTCCTGATTGTCGTTCGTGAACAGTGGAATAATGCCGGAATTAAAGCGTGCGCGTGAGCTCTCGAGTACCCATGGCCGATGGCTTTCGGGATTCTGCTTTTGACGATGCTCGGCCGAAGGACAGGTACAATCTGTCTGTCCAAGCATGTTGACGGTCTGACGGTTACGTCCCCGCTCTCTAAACTACTCTAGCGTTGACGCTGGACGGACATAGGACAGGCGAGCCTCGGCCGTACGTAGATCAGATAAAGCCAGTGATCAAGAAATCTATCACCGTCGCTTGTCTTCCTCCCCTTTAACCCCATACTCAGCACTACCTTATTCAAGCTATTCTGACGGGATCTTTGGAAGTTGGAAGCAAATTGTCGGACCGTTGTCCCTCTTTCCTATCAGAAAGTCTGGCGGTGGTCTAAATTTAGACATCGTCCTCGCGAACGTGCGCCGAACGTGAGTCGTTAGTACGTTGTGAGTTAAAGATGGGAAATAGCGCCTTCCAAAAATTAATACTTTAGCACCCGCGAGATTGTATACTGTGCACGTTCACGTTCTGTACACAGCCTGATTCCGCACGTGCTCGAGAAGAAACACACCTGTCACTGATACTACTAACTCGTGCCTCAAGGCGAGAAAAGAAACATAAGACCGCACTCAATGTGAAGGTGATGAATGGTGACTGTCAAAGAAACTTGGGTCATAGGATGAACAAAAGTTTATACCAACTTTCGAATTTATGGAAGACCTCTGGGGGAGCCTCCGTGAAGTGCAAACGCACATAAAGAGAAGAGGGAGGTCCTTGAACACGAAAGCCCAGCCCAGAGCTCTCCCAACCACAGGCTCACAAAGCTGTCCTACACAATGTCCGAGTCCTCTACCTTCACCACTGCGGTAGTACCTGAAGGTTCTCTCCATCTACTCTTCATCCCTTCCTCTCTCACATGGAACGTCCCTACATGTACAGGCGAAGGAGTTGCTCCAATGGCAGAGACCGTGCAGTATTACAACTCCTACTCTGACGCATCCATCGCGTCTTGCGCATTTGTAGACTCGGGGAAGGACAAAATTGATAAGACCAAGTTGGTCACGTACACCAGGTAGGCAGGCAGCTTAGAGCGGGAGTGAATAGCGGACTGGACGATGTAATTGCAGCCGCCTCGCCGCAAGCCCCGCATATCAGAAGGTCGTCGGTACGCCACACTTCCTTTTTAGTCTTTTCCAGGCACCAACAAGTCACAACCCTTCTCCCACTCCAATAGGCGTCGGCCTCAAAACGGCCGCGGGCTCCATCGTGCCCTACGTCCGGCTCGACATGGACAACACCGGCAAGGGCATCCATTTCAACGCGACTAAACTCTCCGACAGTTCCGCCAAGCTCGCCGCGGTGCTCAAGACGACGGTGTCCATGACCGAGGCACAGCGAACTCAACTCTACATGGAGTATATCAAGGGCATCGAGAATCGGAGTGCGCAGTTTATTTGGGACTGGTGGAGGACGGGCAAGGCTCCGGCGTGAGCGACGAGCACCTCTTCGCGGTGGCATCCGAGTTCATGATGTTCGAAAAAAGCAACGATTCTGAGTAGCGAAAAGAAAGCCATTGTATTTGTGTCAACTTCTGGATTGTTTTCTCGTTTTCGCATAGTGACGTAAAGGTATCCGGAATCCGACGCTCTCACGCAGCGTCTCATGATATCTTCGATAAGAGATAACCCATAAGTCTAAATAATCTCAGTTGCCCACTACGAATCAAACATGTCGTCGACTGGGTCTGCAGACCAGGCCAGCGCTGTAAGCAATACTCCAGATCTCCCACGAAGGTCGTTACTCAGATTGGGTGCTTCTATGTACACGCAGCGCAGCCCCACCGCCGCCGAGCTAGCAGAATGCGACGCCGAAGTTCGTGCCGCCCAAGTGCGATATGGGCTGAGCTACAAGGACGCGGCACTCATGCTGTCCATGATCGAGAGGGAGAAACTGAGGACGCACCAAGAAACGGCTAGGGCACTGGGGGCGTACTTCGAAGTAGCTGTAGGCGTTGCATTTGATATTGGATCTTAGCGCTCAAGGAACGAGGGTTTTTTGTTGCTAAAAACTCATTTTTGTTCCAATTTGTTCAGCCACCTCGTTCATCGTGGCCACCAAGGCCCAGGCTGTGCGACGGGATAGAGCCCACACATCAGGCCTCAGCACAGAAGCTGTCAGTCTAGGCGCCCATGGATTACCCTCCGCGTCTCTTCGAGTTCGAAACATTATTCCCTCGGGGAACCCTCGATCTTTCCTGACACATGGAGCTTCTATCATCTTCATCCCGGCGTCTAAGCACCAGAGAACGCCTTCGGCCTACGGATCACGCTAGGGACGGAGAACGATGTCTCCTCAAGCGCACGTCACCTATGTAGCCCGCAGGCAGCTTGAAGCATTAGTTCTCGTCGCGTGTCGAGCTTCTCCAATAATAGGTCGCACCGCCTGCCAGGTCCACGGGTGTAAGATGATTCTCCTGCTCGAACCAGGATCCTCACAGATTGGAGGAAGGTGCAAAGCGTGAGCCTGCCTTTTCGTTGAAGGTGGAAGATCCATTCACGAACACCCGCGGCGTGTTGTAATATTACAGCAATATTGGCTGTTGGACCTCAAGAACCTATTTCCGGTACAATGGCAAGACGCTGCCAGTGCTGTCGAACTTCGAACGTTCGAACAGGGAAGCCCTTCAGGCGCAATGGAGAAGATCTGAAGATGGGCCCGCCGCTCACACTGCATCTCATATTCACATCCTTCCTCTTCCCTTCATCCCTTCCGAATCTCACTCGCGTTGTCCTCCGACATCCGAACCTGAGTCAATGCCGTTAATTATCGGTATGGCGGCGGGACAGTGGCTGACAGTGGGAACACGAACACGTCGACGTCAATGGCGGTACTTCCGGTGTTAACAAAGCGCCTTACAATGGATAGCCACCACCCTGCATCATGACGTCTCCCTAATTGTCCCTCCAATCCCCACCATAGAGTTATCTGTGGACCATAACGGCCACGATAATGACCACGTTCACATTTGCCTCAAGTTGGATACCCGCTCACAAACCCCGATTATACAGAGTTTATAGTGAATCGATTCGAATTCACGACGCCGCGCTGGGGTACCTACGCACAGGCGGGCCATCCGCGAGGCTCAACTGATCAATTACGATCAATGGGTCATGGATGGAAAATTCGAACCGCCCAACGGTCGAGTAAGCGAGCGACGAGGCGATGAATTCCCGGGAATCCGGTAGCATTCTGAGCCAACTCTAATGCCCTCGAGAGTCTGGACCTCTGGAACAGGGTGATAAATGGGTAAATTGAGATCGGTGTCGGTATACATCTTCACCCACCAGCGCGGCTCGCGGCCCACGGAGTGCCGGCCATGAAGGGTGCTTGATGCGTGAGATGGAGAGTGTGTAATGACGCGCTGGGCGTTCAGTCCAAGTCACATCCGTGAGTACGCAAGAGTTGAAAGCCAGGAATATGGAACTGGGGTGACTCGATATTTATGGGCTGATATTCGTGTCTGAAAGGTTGCGCATGAGGCGCGCAGAGACCGCACTGTCAGAATAGATCGAACCCGAAATGGAGATAGGATGACCGAGAATGGCTAAGAAAAGGCTGGTACTCAGAAGTCGCAACGAAGAGTCCCTACCTAAGGACACGAACGAATACAAACCGAAAACTGAATGTTGCATACATTTATCGGGACCAGGCCGCACCAATGTATCCTTTCAGCCTCTTGGCAGACCTTTTCTTGACCATCACGAGCGGTTTGCACATCGTCGGTCGTCATCCACCTCCCTATTCAACTATCCTGCACTCAGCGTCCAAGTGCATGTCGGTTGGAGATGACTACTAGCTCTATTCAATGCGCTGATGCGTCCGCCATCATCAAAGAAAGAAGGAGACGGAGACGGTGCCGTAGTAGTCTAGATCGACTTCGTGTGTGTTCTCGTAGTAAGCAATCGTAGGGCGCAAGGGGGGTGGCGGTTGAAGGAGAGGTAATGATGCACGATGACGAGACCGGCCTCCGCACCTTCACGCTGCCCCGCGCCGTCTTCAGAGCTCTCCTGACTCGCGACTTTACGAATATCGTTGAATAATCAAGGAACCTGTAGGACGAAAAGGCTAGGCTGAGGACATGAGCGACAGTAATGACACGGACGGGAATTCGCTTACCCCAGTCAATGTGCACCTTTTTAGCTAGCATGAGCAACGATTAACGTTAAAGACGGTAACTCGACTGGCGAGAAGGCACAAAGCTCACCTGCAATAGGATTATTTTTGGTATGGCCCCGGCTGGGTTTTCGTAAGTAATTATACTTGCCAATTCCGCGGCCATCTTACGCAACGGAGACCATTCGCGGGAGATCCTCCTTCCTTCCAATCCTTCACCCGACCCGTGACAAAGCCATGCGTGACTGGGACCCCCACTTCAGAGTCGCGGAGTGTGAAAAAGAAAAACCTATACCCGGCATATTTGTCCATCTTCCATGTATGGGCTCTGGAAGCAAATGGATGTCCCAGCCAATGGCAGCAGCGCAGAGTCTGAGCGATAAGACCCCCCAGGCTCACTGCCTTCCGATCAGAAGTTCTGTTGGAATCTATTTTTATCGCACCGATTAGCGATCTCGATCTTGCTTGCTCGATCTGAACGTGCGCCGTGGGGAAGTCAGAGGGGGTCTATGCGTGGTGTCGAGTTGTCGCGGACATTCCAACATGATCATCAACTGAACTCTGAGAGGTGGGCTCATGATTCGCTTTTGTTGAGCTGTGTTGTTGGTCACTATTCTATTCTATTCCCTGCTGGTCGAATTCCGGAGAAAAACACTCTGCAGCAGGATATAAACATCCTCTCCTAGTCGACCGTGACTCTGCTGTCCGCCCGCGTGCGCGTGGAGAGAGCGCTGCTGCTGATTACTGGAAGGCTAAAACCCAAAGTATGGTGGGGCCGACCACGTGTATCGTCCACGGGAGCTCGTCTTCACAATCATCATGCTCGACGATTCAGATGAGCGGGCGCCTTGCTGACTCGGGCTCGGCCATCGTATTTTCGAGCTCATGAAATTTCAAGATTGGTCTAATCTACCCTCAGTACGATAAAACTTTGCCTCTGTACTTTGAGTCTACGAGAGATACTGACCTCTGAATGCTCCATGTCAATCTCGACTTGGCGTCTTCAAGACGCGATTGCTCCATTGCCGTCGGTCTTCCTCCCGCGTGGCAGTCCCGTCTGTTGATCCTCTCTGATCCTCCTATCTGCTTGAGGCGCCGAAATTCCAAAATATCAGATCGGTATTTCATAAATTGTTATCAAACCCACCCTGAGCTCGCTGCACCGCGGCGGCCCCCCTCCCGCAAATTCCAAATTCCCCAGACGGCATCTACAAATCTCACGAACAACGTGCGCGAGGAAGTGATCCCCCGCGCCGGAAGATCACAATTTTATGAAACGCGAAAAACTCGAAATCGTCATCGCTCGTACATAGGGGCTTTCTCTCGACTGGACCGACGCCCGACGCTCGACTACGCTCGACCGTGATTCATCGCTTACTAGAGGGAGTCATACGAGAAGCGGGTAAGCACCCTACTCCGAGTCTACATACGCACGGGCGCACATACGGATCGACTTACCCGCACGTTCACGGCCTGCCCCAACTCCCCAACTGCTCGCTTTCACGGATTGCATGCGGTGAGTGCACGGGTGTATATTTGACGGACTTCCGAAGACGACTCTGCCACGCGCGCTTCCTTTCCGCTTGGCTGCCACGTTATTGCCAGGCCTGACCACAGCGGGAAGGAGCGACTTCGCACTCGCCAAGTTTGCCTTATACAGTATGAACGAAACTATCACTGCTTTTAGCACTTCCTTCACGCGCCATAGTGTATTCACGCTCGCCGTCTGCATGGCGCCCGACAAGATGAATGTCTCTGAATCTGTTGCTTTGAAAGCTCGTGTGTCCAGACAATCACAGGCAGGTGACAGTAAGTTTTTCTCAGATCTGAGGTGGCTATTGTTACGGAAGTGCTGACAGAGGACAGCATGACAAGACTGTCAGTTATTTTCGAGTAGGGAGGACTCGAGGACACCCTTATGAATTGAGATCCGCATGGGCGGCCGAGAGATCGACGCTCGCCCACCTCTAACTCCACAATCATGGAAAAGAGGATCATGCAAGTCAAGTCAAGCTTGCTTGAACATCAATTCAAAACCTTGAAGTGCTAGACTAGTCTGCTTTGAAACATATCACAATTGTCAGTCCGTACAAACTCCTCTGCCCCAGAGGACCGAATGGGGGTTCGGGCATAGTGTCATCTTGTCTTGTCCTTTCGGCGTTCGCTGCGGCTCTCGAGATTGCGCATGCTAGCCAAACAGCTCCTGCCAGTGCCAATCATCTTTAACTCGTTACTCGGACGCTCCCGCAGGCGCAGTCGGTGCCATGGCCGAACGGACATACGCGCACCGCTTTCTTCATAAGCACTGCCAGCCTAGATCGTCTTGTTCCTTGTAAATCCTCCTGGAACGTGGTGAAATGCTTCGAATCAGGAGTCAGGTCAAGGTCCCAAGAACTGACATTTGTCACTATTATTATAGGAGCGTCGTGTCGGGAGGAGTCGTCGAGGACGAGAACGGCGACGGACGACGAACAGATCGCAAACGCGAGACCTGCAGGGTCCCCTAATAGCTTCCCAGTGCGAAGTCAGTGATGTCGATCACCCCGATCGTAAGTACGACGGCGATCAGTAGAAGTCGACTGACTGGAGCGAGATGATCAAAGCAAAAGACGAAGGGCTGTCCGGGAACAATTCTGCTTTTCATAGCATAGCTTGCTATCGACCAACAAACTCGTGCAAAAAGAGCTACTTACTCGTCGCCCACCAGTGCCAACTGCAGCGCTCACAGCATCGAGTTCGATAGAGCGTCCTATGACCCCCAAAATCGCCTCGGACGCAGTCAAGCAAGTAGATAAAAACGTATTCAAAAACGCGCTACAAGTCACCTGCTGTCCGCGAAGTGCTTATCTCGATGGACCCCCTCCCAGAAGAGAGCCTTGCCATCCCTGACTCCTTCCCCATTAGCCTTACACGGATGAACCCTGCGCCTATCCCCATCCAGGATGGGACGCCCAAATGGGCCTACGCGCCTAAGCCCTGCGTCTTGCTCATCAGGGTGATGACGAGGATGGATCTCTGGACTTGCGAGTGCTCGGACCGAGATAGCTGGCGCTTGGGAAAACCGGATTTTCCATAGGGATCTCGCACGCGGGGGAGCGTGGGGAGGGAATGGGCATGGGGAGTTGCAAGAGTTATGTACATGCAATCAGCCCATGCACCTATCAGCATCAGTTCGAGCTGTTGGAAACTGGGATTGGAGGGGGTAATCAGTCATCCACCCCAGCAAGCCCATCCTTACGGCGTAACCTAAATCTATACACGCTCCATATCAGAGGCCTGTGGAAACTTATCGTCAGGCTTGCAGTCACCAGTCAACAAGTGAAAGCGATCGTCCGGTATCACACAGCTTGTTTACTTATGAATCAACAACACACGGAGGATGTTTGCCCGGGTAATCATTTACACATTGATTGCTTTTGGGGAGATCTGGTTATACACTGTATGTCTTTATGTACGCGTGGGAGGGACAGAGAGAGGACAAGGGAGCAAACGTTTACGCAGTAGCAGAGACGGAAGAACAAATTACGGAGGAAAAGATGTCCAAAAATGTCGATATCGATGTAAATGTGTGGCGGAGGGGGACGAGGGTGCGTGCATGGAGGATGGCGAGCAAGGGTAGTTGGTACAAGATGGACAGCAAATTCCAAGAGCGGCCTGCTATGAACCGATTTTGCGGGACGGACGTTTGCGAGGGTCGGAGATGGGGTGTGGGGTTGCGGTATCAAGGTGAATAAAGGGGTATGGAGGGTGGTCGGTGACGGTGATGATGACGACGACGGTTCAAGCTGCCTGGGTATCCCAATATAAAGAAAAGAGTAAAGAACAAAAGCAGCGACGAGCAAGGAGGCAGCAGGAGCAAAAGTCAAAGTCCAAGCAGACGAGATGTACGAACGTGAAAGCAAGTAGACGTCAAAAAAACGAGCACCAGAATCAAGCCAAAAATCTCAGGCGCGCAAAGCGCGCGGCCTGCGCACGCCGTGTCTAAGGAGCGCGGCAGCAGCACCACACACTATAGGTCTCCCGCAACCTTGCTGTAGGCATGGTGGTGATGTTGCGGCAGATGCTCGTTCATGGGAACGAACCCAAAATCCGGCGAGACTAGCAAATGAAAGTACCGATCAGCAAAAACGCCCAGACAGATAATCCGACCAGATAAATAAGATAACGAAACCGGAAAAACGAATGCACACATGGGATGAATGAATGAATGAACTGCGTGCGAGGAGCACCAAATGCAGTCAAGGCTGAAAAACCCCAGGCTCAGGGTAAGAGCCCAGAAAACATTGGAATTGGGGAATGCCGACATGTCAATATGCCAATGATATGACCCAGGCAGTAAAGTCCGTAATTTCGAATGAGTTTGCGCCAATCGGGGCTCTTGGGGGTGGCGTCGGTGTGACGACCAGATGGGGCTCGGCCGTATCGGGCGAACCGCCGTACAATGGCATAAACGAAGAGAAGGACGAAAAGTCAAAGAGGAAAACAAAAAACCGAAGAGAAGATCACAAGGCATGAACGAGTGGAGCGGAGGACTTACATCGGTTGATGTCCGTTTCTCCGTTATAGTTTTCGGACACGGGCGGTGTGTTCGCCTGGGACGACGAAGTGTGCGACGCGGCCGATATCGAGGACGTTGAAGTCGACGGCCGCACGTCCCGGTGTGCCCAGCCGTTAGAGTCGTTCATCCCATTCATCGATGCTGTGTGCCCAACAGCCCCAGGTATCGCAGAGTAGGCAAACTCCGCCTGCGAGTTGTTGAAGCTGTACGGATCGACCGAGGGCAGCTGAATCATGCTGCGCACGCGGGGGATGCCAGCCGTCGATTGATGATCGTCGATCGGTTGTGGCGACGTCGACGGCCTCTGTTGCTCGCTGTCGTAGGGGCTTGGGTATGGGCTCACGGCTTGGCTGTGGCGTCGAGCGCGCCGCACGCTGAGTGATCCTGCTGGGTAGTTGGACTTGGACGAACCCGGGCGCGCAGGAGAGATCGGGCGGTGGTGACTCGAGCTGGGACGCGAGTAGTCCTCCTGGTACGGCATCGACGATACTGAGGACATCGAATAACCGGTTGTTGGTCGACTGTCGGGCGACAGCGATGACGAACTGTGTTCGCCCTGCATGGGCATCGACGAGAATGGCGATGCGTATGACGTATTGATCGTCGGCGCAGGTCGAGAGTATCCGTTGTTGCTGGGGTTCAACAAAGAGGAAAGACTGCTATGGCTCGAGGAATTGTTGTTGTTGAAGGACCAGTTGTTCTGCTCGGGATACGAGTACTGCGAGGCGACCATGTCGCGATTTGAACCAGAGTACGTCGACATGGAATGGAAGTTGTTGGGGCTGGAAGTGTCATCGGCGGACGGGATGGGGTGGAGAGTATGAGACGAATGGTTGTACATATTGCTCTGGTGCGACATGTGGGGTGGGTCGGAGGGAACCATCAACGGAGGGAGAGCAGAACGGTTGTAGTTGGAGCCCCAGCTACCGCCTTGGTTGATGGGAGGGAAGGAGCCAGGCGCCGAAAAGCCACGGGCACGACCCATGGGTCCACCACCAACAAGTTTCTGAGATGGATGGCCCGAGGACGGGACGGTGAGAGGGACAGGCGCCATGCCAATAGCAGATCGAGGTGGAGGAATTGACGACTGCTCCTGCGCGTCGCGCTTTCTGGGCTTGGGGAGGCGGGGTGGGACACGGCGCTTAAAATTAGCGACGACTTCTGGCGGCGAGTGGCGGTTCAGGGTGGGGTGTGCTGTAAAGCCAAACTGAGTTGGTGATAAGATCGAAGGTAACAAAAAGTTGGCGTACACCAAGTGCTCGCGTCGGGATCATCAATGGCCGGGTCGACATTTCGCAAGTTGACCTTGCGCATAAAGCCGTAGATCTGCAGGGTGTAAGCGTTGACTCGTGGAAAAAAGACAAGGCCAGACGCACATTGAGTTGACGGGAAAAACTCGCGAACCTCGACTGCCGGTAGATGCTTGGGAGAACGTGGAGAGCAAGCTGCTCCGGGCGCTCGACGATAATGTGTTCGCCGGCTGGGTCCCATCGAATCATGTGGTGGTTTTCGGTGCGCTCGAGGAGACTGTTCTGGGTGTTAGGACATTTTTTAGAGACGACACGGGGGACATACGCGTATAGTTTTGTGAGGAAGGTAGCCTGGGGCTTTGCCTCTGATTTTGGAGGCTGGTGATCCGACGACTTTGAGGGACTCGGGGGCGGGTCGTGGTCGTCGCCGGAGGAGTTTCCTGAGGAGGGGTGCTGGGACATGATCTGGGGCGGGTATGGCTGGGGGGAGTACTGGTGGCGGGGCTCGTAGGATGGAGGGTAGAGATCAGCCATTGTTGTGTTTGGAGGACGGGATGGGCGTATTTCAATGGATGCGGTGGAGAAAGGGAGAGTTCCGATGTACGTAAGGGAGCTGCTTTATTTGGCAGGGTCGAGCTGGTGCATGTCGAGGGCTATTAATGCGACATTTATGGCCACCCGTATGTTATCCACCAGATCTCAGATACCCGAGGCGCCGAGGCTCACATGTCCCATTGTCATATCAACTCTTTTTGCCTCCGCGATCAAGATCCAACAGACCCCCCGTCACATCCCAGTTACGTATCCCCATCGTAGTGTAGTGTCACGCTCGAAAACGCCCCGAACAGGTCCTCCGCCTCCTCCACACTCAGCCCCGGCCCCCGCTGCTCCTCTAGATGCAGCGAGTGCGACTCCTTCATGTTCCGGAAATTCGCTGCGTCGGTCGCGTTCGACGAGTTGGGCACAATCTACCCCCAGTCAGCCACCACATCCTCAGCGAGCATTCGCGGACACTCACCGGCGGTCGCGTGTTCCGAAGCAGCCCCCAGTTGATTTTCCCAAACCACTTGTGCTGCTTCACCTCACTCGCCCCGCTCTTGCTTCCCAATCGTGTCCGCTCAGATTTGTCCAGCAATCGCGTCATGCAGTCCTTGCCTGCTCTGCGAGCCAGTTAGCTACCTCATTTCCCAGTAAATGCCCTCTGATGCGCGGACTTTTGATGCCCGCGCATCATCCAGCTCACTCACGATGAGATTTTCGGACTGTCGCGGAACTGCACAGGCTGATAGCGGATATTATGAAAGGTATCATTACGTTCGTGCCCTTTAAAGGGTGTCGTTGCGTACTGAAGCACCACCAACGTCCGAGAGGGGTTTACAGAAAAGTCGTGTACGTCAATAATCCTCGTGAAGCAATAGGCTTTTGAAGACACGTACAATCATCTCATATATAAGTATCCCGAGTGTCCACCAGTCCACCGCTGCCGTGTGGCCTTGCGCAGCGATAACTTCCGGTGCAATGTACTCTGCAGCGACCGCCCCCCAAACTCAGCAAGATGAGCGTTTCCGATCGAAAAAGTAAACGCCTCACCTTCCGTACCAACGAAAGAGTTTGTCCTGAAGTTTGCCGTGCACGTCATCGTGTCCACCAGAGGGATCTAGACCGATGCCCCTTCAGCAAAAGCTCGATCGTCGACAGGGATTAACAATCTTTACCCCAGTCTGCTCCGAATGCACCATTGTCGGCATCCCACTAGGGTCGTTCGACTGCTTCGCCAGGTCAAAATCCGATAACATTATGTGGCCAGATTGGTGGAGGAGAATGTCTGTACAGCGAGAGCGGAATCCGAGGTCAATTTCGGGAAACATTCAACAGACTTTAGACCGAGTAAGAAACACGTACTTTCGGGCTTCAGATCGCGATATATAAATCCCATTAGATGTAGGTATTCCAGCGCTGCCACAACCTCCGCGGCATAAAACCGGGAACCGTCTTCGGGGAGGCATTTACCGGGTCGTGTCTGCAGTGCGCGGAAGAACTCGCCCCCCATGCAGTATTCCATGCAGAAGTAGAGATACCCTTCCGACTGAAATGAGTGGTACAAAGTAACAATGAAGGGGTGGTTGGCTGTTGCCAATATTTCCTGCTCTGTCAACGCGCGTTTGATCTTTTTCCGTTCAATCATCTCTTTCTTGGACAGAACTGCGGATCAAAACTCAGTCAATTAGGATTTTGCGCCACAAAGGGGGGAGAGAAAGGGCGAGACGAGAGGCAAAGTGAAGTTCGTCATTACCTTTCATTGCGTAAAGCTTGTCGCTTTTCTTCTCCCGTACTAGATACACTCGTCCAACGTCTCCTTTCCCCAGCATTTTGATCTTGACGAAACTCGACGGGCTAACCTCCACCTGAAAGAGTAGATATAAGCCGCCGTAATACTACTCTCGAAGTAGCAGAAATCTCACCTGTCGAACCTTGATTGAGTTACTCGAGTACGTCCGTCTGAAGGCTATCTTGTTGGGAGGGGGAGGCAGGCCATTGGCACTCGCAATCTTCATGCTCAGCGGAGCTGTCATGGGAGGTGACCGGGATATCTGGCCTCTGGATGAGCCGGAAGACACCGTCTCCAAAGAGTCCTGGCCCTGTTCTAAAGAGCTCGACACCAGCGGCGGCAGAGGGGGCACGGCGTCCGCTGGTGCCAGCATACCGTTCTTCGTCGTCGCTGCCAACGACTTGGACCCTATCGAAAACAGCCCCTTGGCGTTGGGGGCGGACGCTACGCGCCGAATGAAGCGTGATGCTGAGGCGCCGACCGACTTCGGGCTCAGCGGCCCATTCGACCGAGATTTCGACGGTGTTGAGGGTGTATTGAAAGAGGTCTGGGATGGATCAGCCGTTAGTGGTTGGATACGAGGGGGTGGCGGATGGCGCGCGGCGTTGGACCGCGCCCGTTCTGACTTGGTGTGTTGTCGTGATCGGGCAGGCGTTGTCACCGAAAGTCCGTCTGTTGAGGGGAAGCCGTGGCCTAGAGGGGGCATGTAGTGTCCTTTGGATGTCAGTCCACCATTAGAGTCGCTTGACTGGGTATTAGAGGAGTTGTACGAGGATCGTTGGTCAGAAAGGTATGTGGCAGGGGTGAGAGAGGCTGTGGGCGTGACGGGAGTGTGGGAGGTGCTGCTCTGGGCCGACTGCGGCAGGGCATGGGTCTCGAGAAGCAGCGGAGGACCGTTTATTGGCAGCTTCTTGGAGGAGGTGTTGGGGATGCGAAAGACAGATTTCCACGATGACTGTGAGCGGGGCGACGGGTGAGAATCTGGACAGCCATTGAGCTGCTTGGAGGGCGTAAAGGAGGGGCTGTCTAGGTTGGGGTGGAATGTGGGGGTAGGCATGGTGTGGGTCGTCGTCGTGCTCGTCAACGACGGGGCAGGACAGGGAACTAACAGAAGACAGTGGATCAGGGACTGGTTTACATTTAATTACACAATTGCTAACAACTCACAGGAAAAACCAAGCCTGTTCCCATTATGTAAGATCTCGTACCTGTCCTCAACACTCCCTCCACCAAGCACAGCACCTCTTTCAAACATCGCTCTTTGCTATACGACCATCCACCAACAATTGGGAACATAGCCCTCACACCAACCCCACACCCCCACGTTGTGTCCATCGACAAGGGTGGCGGGCGACACGCGTGGAAAACCATTGACCCCATTTTGTAACGAGGCTTCGCCTTCTCGTCTTCTATCCATGTCTAGGGAAAGGGAACTGCCCGTGATCTTCTACTCTAAAGGATAAGAGCTATCCAGACTTACAGAACGTGCGCGGCTGTGCTCAGGCTAGTTGTCGTGCCTTTTTAATATCTGGAGTCGCTTCCACCATGAACTCGTAGCTATGGAACGACAAAAAACGCTCCAATGCTCCAAGCTGGTTAATCTTGCCGGGTCAGAAAGGAAATCTAGCGCTCAGGAGATAGCCGCTTCGGCGTCTATGCACGCGTGCCTCGAGGACAATACTTGTCTTCGCGATTTCCCGGTATTCTTAGCAAAGCTGGCAGAGACGCTCATTTTTACTTCATACCGTTCAACGAGGAGAATGTAGGTCGGAGCCGCGTCGACACTGGTGCCGTAGACGATCTACAGACTGCGCCGGCTCCAGGAACTGATACGCTCATACAAATGCGTCACTGTCGGGCAAGGGTGAAGAATAAACGAACACGCTCGATTTTATAGCGCCATCCATGCCCTCCTGGCGGTTCCTATCGCCGTTAAATTTACCCACTCGTCTTTTTTTCCATCAGAATTTTTGCCGCGCTATGTCATTCACCGGGGAGTCCGACATGCGAGGCAGCGCGCCGCGCGCATAGCCTCTTTGTCAGACTCTGCATTTCTCGGAGGCGGGTTCACTTTATGCTTCTGTCCTACAAGGTCGCTGTATTACGCACTCTGATCCCTTCATCGACGCTTTAAGTGCCTCACTTCTGCTGCAATCCTCTGGGCAGCAGACAGAAGATAAATCCGTCCATGGCTTCCTGCTGATCAGGTCTGTCGTTATCGATGCGCCAGAGGCTTGACAAGGCCTCTTGTGACCTCTGGTCCACCCATTTCGGATGGTATAGTAACCAAAAGGGATCGCGAGCGCCCCGAATATTTGGTGGAACCTGACCTACTATATGCCCACTGGAAGCCCTCGTGCAATCCGGTATCCTTCCTCAGAAATTGTTCGTCAATGCAGCTCAGGGTCGAGATGAGATCCCAGTCGCGGGATTTAATACTAGTTTATCGCTCTTCTTAATAGGATAGGTCGATTCAGCGCCGTCGCTCGCCCTCTCTTCGCGTAATCCCTCTTCCTCACGGGCCCCTTGTATGCGAAACTTGCCCGTTTCAAAACCCTAGCGGCGTAAGCATCAATCAAATCCCTTGAACGTCGGAAGTATCCTACTTTTTTTCCTGCTGAGCAAGAGACATGAATTCCTACCGTTCTTTCGTGTAAGACATGGATTGTACACCGTTCGGCGGTGGCCGGCCCGTGAATAACCATGTCAGGGGCCATTGACGGCCTAAGAGAGTAGCCATCTTCTTCCTTTACTCCTTTGACCTAAGAAGATCCCTCATGGCAAATGTCGAACGCGTCTCCACCAAATTGGTTCGATTGATTCAACCAGATCAACTCTGCTTCGACCATGCTAGAAATGCTCGTTATCGTCCCATTCTTTCCTCGTGGCCCGCTGTAATTCCACTATTTCCCAACTGCAACTTCAGATTCCAAGGACGCTTTTTTCGACGAAGTTCGCGTATGTTGGGCCCATGGTCCGCTAAACACCTTGCTGAATCAAACCTGATATCACATCGCTTGTAGGAGATATATTTGTCGACTTCCTCGGCGTGTTGTCGAGCATTTTCTCCTGTATTTGGGCGTTCCGAATGCGGAATAGAGTTGCACAATCATGCATGACCGTCGGATAATGAACGAGATACTTCAATCTTCACGCAGCAACGCAGGGCAAAAGCCGAAAAGGCGGGAGATTAGAAAAGGCAACAGAGAATGCACACACGGTAGCCCTGAAGTCCAGAAAGATTCAGGTAAGCCGCCGCGAGAAAAGGCCAATCCGGACATGCATCAATTTGAACGGATCGCCATCGAGCAAATAGCGATGGATCGTCCTGCTGGACGCTACAAAAGCGCGAAACAAACAAGAGGCATGGGCAGAAGAGTGAGTCTACGTCAGATGTCCCAGCTTTGGGAGGAGGAGATCGCCCTATGACGTTGTTTTCTTCAGACTCGAGACCAGATTGGGATTTTGAGTAGAGATGCAAATCCGGAGGGATATGTCAAACGGCGAGGAGATCTCTCTTCGAGCTCGCCGAGAATGTCGGGATTCGGCCGGTATAGGTCGCCGGCCGGTTTGTGGCCGATAGGTACGGAAAATGACCAGCACACTTGGATTTCTGAAGACATGCGAAAAGCTCAAAAATCTGTATTCCTAGCATGCTCCTCTAGCCCCACCCTCCGGTCCTTTGCAGTTCTTGAGGACTCGTTCCCCGTTTTTCGAGTCGTATTTGTCAAGCTCGGCTTTGGACCATCATTCTGCTTTTACGACGGCTATAAATCTGACGAGTCAAGCTCTTCGGCTTCCTTGAATTCCTCCCCATGTCCGTAGAGCGCAGGTCTCCCTCGATTGAGACGCGCTCGCTTCTTAACGAGAGACCTCCTTCCTACCACTCTACGGATGACGTCAACCGCACGCCCCGCTCGCCCTCCATTTCGGCGCCAGACCCACCGCCGATCAACCAGTTCTCAAGAGGTGACATATGCTGGATCCTTGCAGGCCTGTGGTCTGGCGTTTTATTGGGCGCCTTTGATGGTATTTGCTCCAACATACCTTTGGAGGCAAATGGCTAAACTTCACAATAGGGACCGTCGTCGCGACTCTCTTAACACCGATTGGGAGTGAATTCAAGGCATCAAATCAATCGTCATACATCGGCACTGCATATCTACTCTCCGTATGTTGTTTTACGCCGCTCTATGGTGAGTTGAATACACTATTTTGTCATGTAGGTGCATGGAACTCACCTCCCTATTAGGACGCCTAGCAGATATTCTTGGTCGAAAAGGGGCGATGCTCCTCGCTTTGTCGCTTTTTGGTTCGATTGCCCCTCAGTGATAGTGGATCTTTCTAACAACCGCGTCCAATTGAAGGTTCTGGCACTATATTCTGCGGAATGGCTCAATCAATGAACGCGCTCATTGCCGCCCGCGCTGTAGCAGGGATGGGAGGAGGCGGGTCAGTGTTCTCGTTTTCCGCGTCTATTCTTGTCGCAGCTTAATGACGCGTAAATTTCTAGCGTGATGACAGGCAAGTATCACATGAGGTGCCTAGTGTGGCTTGTAGTCTCATTGTGTTTTTTTTCTCAGTCTCGAGTATTGCCGTCACCGACCTTATACCACTGTAAGCCGAGCATCTTATCTCAAAGTGATAAACCGTTAAACCAACCAAGGAAACAGCGCGGTCTATATCAGGGAATGGCCAACATGTAGGTTTCTTTGTACCTCCTCGGGGAATCTCGCGTGACAGTCTCGACAGTTTGTATGGTCTTGGTGCTGCTTTAGGAGGACCCCTTGGTGGCTGGGTCAATGACATGTTTGGCTGGTGGGTTCTTTTTCTGAAGCGATCAGTAGCTTAAGTTAACCGCGTCCTTCCTTTGTTAGGCGAAGCGCGTTCTACATGCAGGTCTGTGGAGTCCATTTGGCGTTGCACTCTGGCGCTGATTTTGCTGTAGGCGCCACTGCTGGCGTTTAGCTTCATCGTAGTCGCCACGAAGGTCAATATTCGACTCCCAGATACAGTTCAAAACCAAAGCCTATCAGATAAATTGCGCCGAATCGACTTTCTTGGTTCAATCACTCTTGTCGGAGCCGTTGGCTGTTTGCTTCTTGGGCTAAGTTTGAAGTCAACAGAAGACATGCTTTGGACACACCCACTAATTATCGCCCTGCTCCTTGCTAGCGCCTTCTTTCTCGCTTTCTTTATCCTAGTTGAGAAGTACTGGGCCCTATACCCTGCTATGCCATTACGACTAGTTACTCAAAGGACACCTCTGGCAGTTTCACTATCAAATCTTTTGATCAGTATGGCCGTCTTCTCCATGGTCAGTTTTTTTGCTTTGGTCATCTCGTAATATTTTCCAGCCTTACCGTGGTCTTTTCTAGCTCTATAACGCGCCCATAGTAAGTCCTCGTCGAGCGCATGATTTCTAGATGCTGAAGTGGACCAAGTTTTTTGCTGCCGTACGACTGGATTCTGCTACTGTCGCGGGTACGTTTTATCAGTCATCCAGCTGACAGACACTGACGATGACTGCTGAAGGAATGCGGCTGTTACCACATTCTGTAAGTGAGCCTGATAGCCAAATTTCGACCTAAGCTAACCATTCGTAGATTGCTATCCCAACTGGTAGCGTCTTTGCCGGCTGGTATGTTGGATTTTCTTTTCCGACTTCACCGTTTTGACATACTGTCAAAGGTTCATGCGACGAACCGGGAAATTATACAACTTGACCGTCGTGTCTTCAGTGATGACCGTTTTAGCGAGTATTCTCGCAAGCCGCTGGAGCGAGGGCACCCCTGCGTTCTATCTTTGGGCGGATTTAATTCCTCAAGGATTCGGCATGGCCAGCTTTATCACAACTACACTGATCGTAGGTCTTCTACCTTTGCATGGGAGTATTGATTTTGACTGATTTCTCGTAGGCCATGATTGCCGGAGTTTACAAGGAGGATATGGCTGTCGCTACCGGAAGTACGTGGTCCTGTTGGCAGAAAGTACGAATCTCAACAGGTGCAAAATTTCGCTAGTTACTTACCTTTTCAGAACAACGGGGCAAGTGCTTGGAGTGAGCTTGGGCGGTACCATCTTGCAAGCCGTGCTCTTGCGAAAGTTGCGAAGTCGGATTCAGGGGGAAGGATCCACAGATGTAGGGTGACTCTTTGGCATCTGTTTCTTTGACTGATCCAGATATTTATGGCTAGCTTATTTATCGTATCCAGTACGTACTTGCGTCGTTATTTCTGGTTGGCCCCACCACTGACTCTCGGACAGACACAGCACGCAGATTATACCCACCTTAGAACCACATTTGCGAAAAGCTGCGGTGGACTCTTATGCAGACGCCTTACGCGTCGTTTTTATATTCCAAGCTGCACTTGGCTTTCTAGGTTTCCTCGCTTGCCTACCAATCCAAGAAAGCGCCTTGCCGTACGTCATTCTTGATTCTTCTATCTTGGCGGTTATCGACCTGAACTTCATTCCAGGGGGAGCCGAGAGGAGCAAGAACAACATTATCGGAACCAGGAGAACGCGGAAAGTGGGAGCGAACGCAATTAGCGATGTATGATTATTCGATGTATTTGTATAAGCACCAAAAACATTCGAAAACCTTGACACCTCTCCGGCTGGATTCAGGCTGAACGTTGTACGCAGGCTTGAGTTGCGATAGTACTTCGACTGTATTCGGGGTTGAGTCGGAAAGTCATTGCGGGATTTTTTCCTCGATCCACCTTCGCGGTCGCTTCACCACCTTCACCTGGCTACCCCCCACCGATGGATCCGTACTGTCAGCGAAACGCGTCCTGTTGTGCCCGACAGGACATGGAAGAATGTTGGGTGCGGAGACTGTTAAACATGCGGCGAAGAATGTGAGGCCGAAGAGCGACGAAACAAACGAGCGGCGTTGGGTCAAACGAAGAGTTTTGTGTATGGACATTCCTAAGTCTGTAAAACTTTGATTAGACGAAACAACACACAGAGGGCAACTCCAAATACCTGGCATAAACCCATATTCATTCTACGCCGTCGTCGTTGGTGGTTGTAGATCGCGGAGGCGAGGAGGTTGTAGGAGGGAAACCTGAGGCCAATGATGGCTCTCCGGTTTACACCGTGTTTGTGGCTGTTGAACAAAAATCTCCGACACTTGGAGGAGCGTGACGCCGAAGCTCAACCGAAACTCTTCACCTCATTACCATTACCCTCCAAAATGCCCAGCGCCCGTGTTGCTCGAGATATCAAGGCTCGTTTCGGTGTTCGAGCGAACGAAATTGCGCGTCGTGCATACCTAATGGTAGCCCGGAACGAAACACTGTCGCCGCAAATTCGCCATCATGCTCAACTCCAGCTCAACACCTTCGGACGATACACTCGCCCAACGACAGTGAAGAACCGGTGTGCGGAGTCTGGTCGAGGACGCGGAGTAATTTCAGAGTTTGCTTTATCACGGGTAGGTCTATATTCGATGCAGCGCCCGAGTCTGCATCCTCATATCTGTTCATCAGCACCAATTCCGACTTAAGGCACTGAGGGGGGAACTTCCGGGTGTTCATAAAGCATCATGGTAAAATATAGGTACAGTAAATTTATCACGGGTTACATATACGAAACAATACTAAAGAATCGCTACAGGGTATCCAGCCATACATACTTCAGAACTCGAATTAGGCAGCATTGGAGTCACCATTAATCTCGGGCACAACTAGTTCAGGCTGTCCTCTCTCGCGGCGCCAGCGATTGGTAATTTTGAGCACCGGAACGTCAATTAGATAACTGCACCGAAGTCAGCAGATATAGAGGACGAAAGCATGTGGATGACGGACCTATACTTCCTAATGAAACTTTCACCAATCTCCCAATTACTATGAGCTAGCACATCATCTCCATGGATGGTAACGGATTGTCGTAAATCCATCAGACAATCGACAAGTTCGAAGCGCTCTATAGTGAAGCAAGGGAAACCATCAGCAAAAAGGGCTAGCGGACAGGTGAATAACATACGACGAAGGAGAATCATACGGTCTCGTAGCTCGGGATGGAGGACGCGATCGACAACACTTTCTAGATACATCGTTAATCAGTCAGTCAAAGTGTTCGCCCAAGAAGTCTCACCATGTGGTATAGTGCTGAAAATTGATGTCATTAGACCACAGGACAATATTCAAGGATAAGATGAACCCACCGTTGGATCATAGTTGGTCTCAGAGATGCAGGGAGGCAATATGACGAGTTACGTTTATAGTTCTCCAGGTGGTAGCTACGAGGATGATAAACCAGAAGCTCGTAGCACCACGTTGGTTTGGACGTACTGGATCAATTTGTACGCCTCGTTCTTCTTTGGATCGTCGTCTTCTTCCACTTCCTCTTGCGTTGCACCGTCGCCGTGCTGAGGTCGTTGTGAACCGGAGCCTGAGCCGGGCGAACCGTACGGAGAGGCTGATATTCCCGATTCCATATTGACATTCACTCCAGGTAGGTATGGACGAGAATATCCATCGAGGTTCGAAGGGCCAGCAGGATACTGAGAAGAGCCGTTGCCAGAGGAGGGTTGCATAAACAGCGTCGAGTTATTGGGACCTCTCATCAGGTCCGACAGTATACCGCCTTGCTCACCACGCCCCGGGGGATATAGAGATGGGGCTGGAAGTGAGCCGGAGGACATAGGTACGAGCAAAGAGAAGCCGTTTCTCGAGTCGCTGTCCTTCTCGTTCCTCGCCTTTTTCGCTCGGGCACCGATGGAATCATCATCTGTAGGTCGCTTTAGATGTGGGCTTGGTCCATTGCTCATGCTTGCAGCTTCCGCACTTTTCTTCCTTCGCGCTTGGTAGCCTTCCCATGCAGTGTCAGTTTCTGCTCGGTTCATATAGGTATTGAAGTCCGTTGGATCCCAGCCAAGCTTTGGTAAAACGCCACCGACGCCTTCTCCGATGAACGACGCCAGACTGCGCAACAAGCCGCGAAGCATATGGTTCTCAGCCAACAAGTCTTCTCAACATATTGTCAGAATCTGTTCCTTGAACGCGAACACGAACTCGAGCGAACTGACCTTTGACGACATTGCGCATTTCATCCACTGCCTCATCTTGGGTGCCTGATAACAGCTCGACGCGGGCCTCCAAATCTCGGATCTGCCATTCGTTCTGTCAGGCCGCCGCAATGCAAGGAGAACGAACCAACCCTCTGTTGTTTCCTCAAACGGAATTCCCTCTGGGCTATACGGTTCTGGTCACGTCGTGCAGCTTGAGAGCTGGATGGAAAGGAAAGCGGGTTACTCCCGTTGGATTAGCAAAGCTGGCAAATGACTAACTTCGGATTCTTTTTTCGACCTGGTTTGCCGGGAGGATTCGAGTCACCAGCATGAGACTCATGGTCCGAGTCCTATTCTTTAGCTGAAAAGGCGTATTGGTTGTGTCGCGGCGAGACACTCACATCAATGTCGCCCGATTCACTGCGAGCTCTTTGACGTTCAGACATAGTGTGATTGAGGGATTTGGTGAGAGGTATTACGAGGAGCCTCAGCCGACTCTTTAAAGGGAACCAGCGCATTACTAAGTGGTCTTAAGTAATAAACGCTTCGTAATTGAATTATCACGTGGCATCTTGCCGGAGTTACACTAAGGCTTGGACTCGTCACCTGGCTGAGATCGAGAGGATTGCTGCGGGTCCAAGTTTCTCAGAAGAGTGGATAAAACCATCAGTCCAGGCCAGCTGTCGAGTGTAAGGAAGGAGCTCTATCTGTATAAGGCCCGTTGAAGTTACAGGTTTTACTACCCAAAGTCATGATTAAAAGCACGAAATAATATCAAGAGAAAAATGCCATCATGAAAGGTGTTAGGCCGTATACTGAGATTTTGAGGGTATGACATGGTATACCACATGATTGCTTGGGCCGAGTGTTGCCAACGACAGTGCCGCACTTTTTAGGGTGTCTGGAGCATCCTACATTCAGGCTCGCTGATACTGAAGCTCAACGAGCTTCAAATTGAACCACTATTGTCATATGCGTGAAATGCAAGCGCGATATCTGACCAGCCTGGACACCTACTTCGTTTCGTCCTTTTCTTGTACATTATCCGGTGACCGCACTCCCGACAGCGAATGGGTTCCCGGGACTTTATCTCATTCTTTGCTCCACAATCTGTAGAATGAACAAAAGGTAGGTGTTGGGACAAGATCTACAGAACGAACGGTCGGACCTGCGCAGATGTACTCCATATCCTGTCGTTGAGGGGGCATATAGAGGCCACCTGCATTCTGCGGCGCATTCGACGTCCCGACTTGTTGCTGGTTCATGATTGTCAGACGAAGAGGAAGAACGCGCCGACGGTGATAGCTTGAGTTGAGGTTGGAGAGTGTTAGGAGAAGCTGAGAAAGTAATTGATTGAGTAATCGCGTTTGTCGTAAGGCGGTGCCTGGGCCTGTCTGACTTCGGCTCGGCGATATGATTACAGGCGCCTCCTCTCCTCTGCGCGTCGGCGTTCGTTGAACTTCGTTCGTTTCATCAAGAGGCGCTACGAAAAATCCCAATTGGGCATATCAGGCCTGGAGTCGCCGTTGACGTCGGTTCGTCGTCGCATTTTTCACCAACTGTTGATGTTCAACTGATGTTGAATGCCACTGGTAACTGATCTTCATGGATGAAGCCGGTAGAGCACATATGCAGTTGCCCCATTCTGTCGCGAAAAATACGATCATCGTCTCACAAGAAATTCAATCCAAGTAACCTGCCAACAACGAGCGACACAGGTCGTGGACGATTGTCTACCTGGCGAGGGAGCAGAGATAACGCAAGTTTGTCTCGTCGGGCATCGGATGGCACGCTTTTAAGCCTGGTTGAGGCATGTTGAGGCATGTCAGTACGTTCCTACGTTTTGACGTTGTTCGAAATGATGTTTCACGGCAAGTGGCCACTTTTTTTGTGACGCGACCGGCGTCTTTTGTTTCACCATGAAACGGAAATCCGGTATTGAGGCCCGACTTTTGTTGTCGCCTAGTCCTTTGACGACCGCTCCTTGACCAGCAACAGCAGTCCGTCGGCGCGATCCTTATACTGAGCGTCTTCTTTGAGGTTTACGATGGACGCGTTAACATTCTGTTTTGGTTCACGTTCCAAAAGCAGAAGGATGGATCACCTTGCCGACCATTATTGATACTGGTGACCGTTTTAGCCTTTGCGACGAGAGTGCAGTCTGGTGAGACGGCGTGATAATTGTAACCGCATCTCTTGACAACATAACCGTGGGCTGTCTCCAAGGTGTGATAACAACGCCTTTATAGATGGCCCCATTTTTCTTCAGACGGTTTCAAGGTTGCTCGCTGCCCTTCCCCAAGCCCGCTCTTTCCTACTCTCACTTTCTTTTTCACTTCCGGTTCAAATGGCCGCCCTTCCCTCGTTTGTAGAACTCATGGCTTCATTGGGCTTGGAGCAAAGAGCAGCACCTTCGCGTCCAGAGCAATCTCCATCACCTCCCCCACCGTCGTCGCCTGATTCGCCTCGTATAGCGAGCAGAGGTGCACCAACGAAGTCGAGTTCGAACCCATCTCTCCGGGAAACGGCCACCCGGCACCGCGTCTCGCGCTTCTCTCCATACTCTCCGGTGGTGGTATGTAAATCTATCTTTGACACATACGGCAACAAAACTCAATATCGTACCAGTCTTTTACCAGGAGGAGAGGAAGTTTGTCTTCCGTCTCGTCTTCAGACTTTGATTCTTCGCCATTGAGCGCAGTGAGTGCCTGATCCGGCGGCGGACGGTGGTAAACCATTAACGCGACTCCGCAGACATTCTCCATTCCTCCCCGTCCGACTGCTACCCGTCCGAGGAAATATCGCAACAAGCTCACTGTCACCACCTACGAATCGTCTAGCGATCTCGCAGCAGATACCCCGATCTCGACGTATGTTCGTCGCAAGACGCCAGGCACCTCTCCGACATCGCCGACATTCCATCGTGACAGTGGTTACGAGTCCTCATCTCCAACCCCCATGCCCTTCTCGATCCCCAGCCTCCCAGTGCTTCTTCCGCATTCCGCGAGCTCCGAGTCGTTCCCTGATACCACCACCTCCGACTCCGATTCTGTCGACATTGGTCGCTCAATGCAGAGCACACCTCTAGCCGATATCACGGAAGGGACCAACTATTACCGTTACATTCGCCGACGTACGGGGACCAGGATCTCAACGCCTCCACGCTCCGCTCGTAGCGAACACCACCCTGGAACGGATTCCATTGTCCACTAGCAAGTGAAAGGGGCGCAGTTCTTGTCGATAATTTTTTGTTCACCTCAGCATCTACTTATCAGTGTACCATTAGACTATAGCTGGAATCATTTTCTGGACTTGTACTGCACATTGGCATTCCTCCTCCCCGACTACTAGGTTCTACTCTTTGTTATTGACCACCACGCTCTTTAATCGTCTTCACGGGCCCCTAGGATGACCCCCTTCCACCTCCCTCTTTGATCACACTGGATACCTTTTTTTCTTGTCTGTTTATCCTTCTACCCTGGCTACGGCATCCTTAAGCCTTCCCCATATCCAGGATCCTCTACTTCATTATGCCGCGTAGGGACGGCAACTGTTACCTACAACAAACTACGGAAACGAGAGTTCCCAATGTATGGTCCTTGAAAACAGGACTGGCGTCCACAAATGTTATATATACCCAAAACCAATCTCCGTTCTCCCTCGTGTCCTGTATGTTAAGCGCCTCCAACGTAACACCACTGCTCGGATGGCCCGTATACCTCGGAACAACTCGTTGCAAGGACGACTCTGGCATCAGTCGTGGTCGTCCTCGTTCGGTCCAGGGCATTGACTTTGGAGTTCGTCGTTCTCGTACGTGACCCCACACCAAAAGCAGTATGTGTGCCTTTCACGGAGATAGGAAAGAACAAGGTGCAAGCGATCCTGTGGCTAACCAGCAAGCGAAAACAAAAGTCAATTAGACAAAAGCGGTCCTGAAGGAAATCAAATAGGCGGACCTGGAGACGGAGAAACTGGGTTGCCTCTTCGAGAACGTCAGAAGAAAAGTGCTCTTCACCCTGGACTGACGACTTCATCTTGGCCGTTAATCCGTCGTCATCGTTGTCCAGAGGATGTAACGCATCAGCCTGCATTTGCTTCCTAACACAGTCCTCGATGGAGTCCGAGTTTCCTTGGTGCCCCGAACCGACGGAGAGATTACCATGGTTAGCTAAGGCATCTATCAATCCAGCGGGGAATATATTCGGGTTGTTGGGGTTCAGCCAAAGAACGTTGAACTAGGCAACCAAGTCAGTACGTCGAGTCTTCCACCAGAATGACGAGTGTCATGCATACCGCTTTCCCCATTTGCTCATCCAAGGTTGAGCAGGTCAGTTGCGCGGGGGCTACGATAAGATGGTAGTTTGGATATTAATATTGCGGCTCGAGGCGAGAGACACAACGGTACCTAATCTCCCTTCGGCCTTTCGATTGTTGTACTCGTCTCTGGCTCGCTCGCGGAAGTCACGATGGTCCTTTTCTTCAGCCATCTTTGCCATCTTTGCAATACGCTCCGTAGCGCTGGGAGAACGAGCACGTTTGCCTAGACCGATACCCTGCCTGCCTAGAGCGTTGCATCAGAACCAGCTTCACAGAACAGGTCAAGCATCCACACACCGACCCATTCTTGGATTGGTAACGGTTCAGTTTTGTGTTTTGCATGGGATTCCGCTTGAGTAGGATCGGACCCAGAGCTAGAGCTTCTCAACGGAGAGGTGGACCGCTCAGCCACGGCAGGAGGCGGTTGTGACTCCTTCGACTCAGCTCCATCTGTCTGTACTTGACCAGGATATCCGAGAGGTTGGCCTGGTTTGAACCCCATCTTCATCATTATCGACAGTGCTTTGTTGCCTGAGCCAATGCCAGCGGTCTCCTCCTCTTTGGCGCGTTCGAACAAACTCTTGCTAAGACCCTCTTCACGGGACTCGAGCTCGCGTTGTCGCCTGCTCTTCACTCTGTTCTGCTCATTCTTCGATTGTGATCTCTTTTGAGCCTGTTTTCGTAGCTGCGAGTAGGTGACCGGCTTCAGTAGGGCCGAGGACAAAGGGGCTAAGAACTTGTCTGAGAGATAGTCATCGTCGTCTGCAGACATGATCGAACAAACAACAATCAATAGCATGCTTGTGTCTTTGACGTGATTGTGCGCCACACTCACCTTCGGTTTGTATTCATTGCATCTAGATCAGGCACCGAGGCACCATGGAATTAAAAGAAAAAGTGCACGATATCATTCAGTTATCAAACAACATCGCACTACGGGATGAACTGGGGATGAACTAGAAACGGCACCAGACCATAAAGTGGATGAGTGTAAAGAAGTAGCGCTGGAAAGGAGAGCTGCGATAACACAAATCACACTATGGACGAAGGAGAACACATAAACGGCAAGCAGGACGTGAGGTGATAGGTTGAGGGTATTAAGGTCGTGATCATTTAGCGGCGGCAGTGGCGGCAGCAGCAGGGGCGGCAGTGGCAGTGGCAGCAGCAGCAGCAGGGACAGCGGGGGCAGCAGCGGCTGGAGCTGGAGCAGCACCGTCAGTTGCAGAGGGGTTTTCGTCAGCTGTCTCCTCGCGGGGGGTATTAACGGCAATCTTAACAGCAATTGCGCGGCCGCCAACCTCCTTGCCCTCCAAGGCGGTGATGGCCTTCTTCTGCTCCTCCTCGCTGCCGACATCGACGAAGCCATATCCCTTGCTCTTCCTGGGCTGACCCCAGCGCCTGCGAACGATGCGAGCGCTGACGACCTTGATACCAGCCTCAGTGAAGAGGGTGCTAAGGGCGGCATCGTCGACGCTGAAACCGAGGTTGGCCACGAAAAGCATCGTCTTGGAAGGTTCCCCTGCAGGGTCCTCGCCAGCAGGGCGAGGAGGGCGAGACGCCTTGGCCTTGCGGGCACGAGGCTTCTTAGCAGCCGCACCTTCAGTGGCAGAAGCCTCGCCATCTGCGGTAGGTGGATCAGCAGGTGCAGCTTCAGCGCCGTCCTCGGTGGTCGCAGCAGCCTTCTTGGACTTGCGCTATTGATATCAAGGATAATGAGCCCGTTGCTTTGAGTTAAAGTCAAAGAGCATAGCACAACTTACGGCAGACTTCTTTTTCTTCTTCTTGGGCTTCGCTGCCTCATCAGACTCTGGCACAGCAGCGCCGTCGGTCTTAGAAGCCTCGCCATTTGCTTCAGCTTCAGAGACTTCACCGGGGACAGCCTTGCTGCCACGCCTGCCGGGCTTCCTCTTCGCTTTCTTCTCCTTCTTCTCCTTGTCCTTTTGTTCGGACGGTTTGGCGATCTCAATGATCACCGGACGACCATCAAGCTCCGTCTTGTTGAGTGTGTCAACGGCCTTTTGAGTGGCCTCTGCCGTGGCGAGAGCAACGAATCCATAGCCCGCAGAGCGGGTGCCGCGCAGAATGACCTGAGCAGAAAGGCTAGTTGAGAAAGAGAGTTAGGAGGGTGAAAGAAATGAGGCTGTGCAGTGCCACGTACATGTCGCTCGCGACAGGAGCAAAGAATGCCTTCAGCCCTTCATCGGTAGTCGTGTAAGCAAGATTCCCGGCAAAAACCTGGTGCAAAGAGCGCCCTGAGTTTGGAAGACATGCGATAAGTATGAAAGAAATGCCTTGAAGCCAGGCGCTTCCTCGACTTTCTCTTGCGCTACCGGAGGCACGCCGTTTTCAGTAACAGGGGCGGCTGGGGCGTCAGACATGATGATGGGCTTGTGGATCTGGTGAGTTTTTGTGGATGAACGGGTGAACTTGTTGAACCGGTTTCTTCGTGTCAAACTTGAAGGTTAAAGAAAAGAGATATTAGGGAGGGCTGCCTTAAGTACTTGGCAGACAAACAGGGCAAAACTCTCCGTTTTGGGACCAATCTCAACAATACGCAGACGTCGCCATGACACTTGCAGGAGTCCATCCAGGGATCAATGATGGAACAGGAGGGTCTCCTCCAGTCGAGTCTGTGTCCAGCGCCGGATGCGCCGGGTCATCTGTAGGAAGGAAGCCGTATGAGGGCAGGGGACCCACACCTGCCGACTGGGACACCAGAAAACAGAAGACGACGGAAAGCAAAAAGACTTGAACAGTCAGAAGGAATAATAGACTGCTTGGTGTACGTATACCCAAGCGGACAATGGGGTGCGGCGTGAAGCTTGGCGGAGCGGCCGGGGTCCGTGCGCTGATGGTGAACTTCGGCTCCACCCGCTGGTTTAAATTTCTCAACAGTGCGGGCTGAGTTGTCCATCTTTCTTGCTACGTCTATCCCCCTCCACTCGTTTATTTTCTCGCTCTTTACGACGACGACGGCCCCCAACCATGGCCGCCAAACTCCTCAACCTCATCGCTCTCTCGTCCCTCGCCATCCTGGCCTCTTCCTTCGGTGCGACCCCTGTTAACGCCCTCTCCGTGGACATGTCCCCCAACCACGCAGCCCGTCACCTCGGACACCACAACCTCATTGCCAAGAAGAAGCGCGCAGAGTCCAGGCGTTGCAAGCCTCGTCCTAGCAGCTCGGCGGTGGCGGCGTCCACCACCCCTGCCCCAAGCACCTCTAAACCCGCATCAACGAAGGCTGCAGCCCCCGCAACCACCACCACCAAGGCTGCCTCCAACAACAATAACAACAACAACAGTGGCAACAACAACTCTGGTGGTGGCAGCTCTGGGGGAGGTGGAGGCAAAGTTGGCCTGGCCTGGCCCAACGGTGACGCCAACACCCTCAAGAACTTCAAGACTGCTAAAGTCTCCGCGTGTGTTACCTTCAATATTTCTAATGCTCAGACAACTGATGGATAATAGTATCTACACGTGGAGCCCTTGGAAGCCCGCTGGCAGCGACGCTCTTGGACTTGAGTTCGCTCCTATGCTATGGGGTCCCAAACAAATCAGCGATTTCACGCGTCTTGTGAAGCCAGGTTATGCCCACACGGTCCTCGGCTTTAACGAGTATGTCCCTCTTTCCATATGTAAACACCTTTTATAAACAATTCCCAGACCCGACCACAACGGGCAGGCTAACCTTGACCCCGGATATGCTGCTTCCCTTTGGAAGCAGTACATTCAGCCCTTGAAGAATCAGGGATACTCGTTGATCTCCCCAGCTGTCACATCTGCCCCTGCTGGCAAGACTTGGATGCGGAACTTCTTCAATGCTTGTACTGGTTGCACTGTACGTCGTCGTCCCCTCTTTTAGACCTGCTTTCTTACCTTGGTTACACAGTTCGACGCCGTGGCCGTGCATTGGTACGGCACCAAGGCTGACGAGTTCATTGCGTATGTCACCGACTACCATAACACTTTCGGCAGAGACATCTGGGTTACCGAATTTGCTTGCCAGGTAGCCGTCATATCTTCTTTAGGATCGATCCTCCATCTCATCATCTTAGAACTTCGCTGGAGGTGCCCAGTGCAATGCCGGACAGGTTGTCGAATTCATGAACACTGTCACTGGATGGATGGACAATACTTCGTGGGTCAAGAAGTACTTTGCCTTCGGTGAGTTGTTTATATCTACACTTGCCTCGTCTTTTTCCCTGAGTGTCGTTTTAGGCGTCATGCACGACATGGTTGGTGTCAACACCCTGAACCAACTGATGGCCCCCAACGGCCAGCCCACCGAGCTCGGCTGGAACTACCTCACTTAAAGGACGTCAGACCTGGGACTAGCCATTCTTATGCGGATTTACACACACACTGATACCCCCCGACATAATGTCATGACCGCCTTTTGACCACCCTATTCGAGTGCTAGCCACGGAGAGGGCCACTCCTAATGTTGTTTTGTCGCTTCAACAGTACTGGATACATGTTTCGCCTCCATTGTAGTGCTGCGCATCTGGTTCAATACATAGCATCGTGTTTGTTTGTGACGCCAGTCGCCCAGAGATTCTTTGCTCACACTGTGGGAGTTTTTGAGCAGCATGATATCGCTGGTGATGCTACCCTGAGCAGAGAAGTGTTGAACCACACTGATATCCTGTCCATGTTAGATCCACAATCTATTCCGACTATATTTAACCTGACCAGCCACTCTCTCCGCGGCTAGGCCAGATAGCGACCCGTCTAGAAAATCCCCCAGTTCGCCAGCAGACATCAGCCAACCAGAAGCAATGGCCAGTGTCAAGCTTACCCCCAACGTCAAACACCTCCTGACGCTCCGCAATCCCAATGTGTTACCGAGTCCCTCATTGAAGCAGCTCAACCGCGTTTTCACCAACACTTTCCGTGACGCCCAAGCTAAGAAGGCAGAAACCGGATGGTTGGTCGCCACTGTATGCCTTACGGACGCGTTCTCTATATATTTCGCGTTGTAAACTGACGAAAGCGTCGGACTCTGTTCAGACATGCTCCTTGTTGACAGCGAACCGTCCTTCAGCTATTGGGCACCTGTATCGCTTCGTCACGAGGTCCACATTGGAAGACAGCCAAAATCAGGGGGCCCTTGATGTTCCAGCCGCGTTGAACAAGGCGGCTTTAATGCGAGAGTCCGCCTTGAAGAGCGTCATCTTCATCGGCGTGCCGCGGGTAAGCTAACCCGTTCGCCTCTCCTCCCACTATGTGCTATCCTTTCAATCAACACGAGGACTTACGAAACGAATTCTTGTTTTCTTTTCCCAGGTCATTCTCTCCCTGGCTGCCCTAAATGAAGCGCTCGATGACGAAGTGAAGAAATCCTTGAGGACTAATTCGAGGAGGTGCGAATCACCCTCTATTGGCCATAGACCACACCACATCTCAGAAACCTGCCGTTCTCCACAAGATTATATCTTCGCCATCTTCTTTCCATTACCGATGCCTGTGTCGTGTGGCTGCAATGCTGACTTCTTCCTGCCTTATTGCTTTCCGAATTCTCATCCAGGACCGCAACGCCGGATAATATTGAATCGATAGTGACGAGAGGGCAGACTCTCTGGAATTCGATCTACGCGCCTCATGCAGATAAACTCTACAACAAACTGGGATCCTACCACCCGGATTTCATCAGTGAGTAGACCATGCCCCATCTCTTCGACATATTGCTGCCAATCTAGGCGAGAAATTCGCTTTTGCTCGGCCGATCTGATATGTTTTCTTGGAAATCTACGCACATTTATCTGATGCGTTCCCTTGCGTCTTCCCTGGGTCCGATCTGGTGCTGACATCCTCTCCACTCCATGCAGCGTTCATAATCCAGTGCTATGGCTCGGTCCTTTCCCCAATGTCAGGAGAGACCAAGTCCTTCGGAGACGCCAGCAGCCAGGATGATCTCGATCAAGGGAACCTCAGTCGTGCCCTGGGGTCAGTTGTTGGAATGGCGTGTCTCCGAGCAGAAGGTGGCGTTGGACCTCAGTTGATAAGCCACACTTTTGGCCTTCTGAAGGCGCGAACGGTGGAGATTCAAAGTGCGGAGGACAAGTGGCTATCGAGCGACGAGGGCACTGAATGGATCCTTCGAACTGTGGACGAGGTCCTCGATGGTGTGTCAGCAGAAGATCGGGAGGCAAAGCCCAAGTTATGATATGACGGGGTCGGGTGACTCGTCGAGCTCGATCTTTCGGGGAAGGCACCTGTGGATGGGCTGCATCGTGTCCGGTATATTTCAACCTCAGTCGACGCGTTTTTTGTCACATGCTGGTTATCTCGATGACCTGTCTGGCATCGATGGACTTATCAGTAGCCGAATTCCTGTACCAGATCCAGAAAACGATTTTTGTCCGATTTCATCTCAAACCTTCACGGCTAGATAATTAGAAGCAGGCTTTTATTCTGTACACCCGAAGCAATGGCGTCATTTCAAAAACGAGCAGAGATTTCGGGACGTGTATGATACACACAAGGAAGTGAAGTATAGTACAATGTGCATGTTGGGGGGAAACACGAGTCAAGGATAGAAACAATTTCAAATATTCCACTGCGCGCAAAAGCGGTACAGCATGGCGGTCAGGGTCACCATATCCATCATGGGAGGATGCATCTGTGAATAAATAATTTTAAGATTGGCACGAGTCTATCTCGATAAAATTGACGTACCACTGTGCCCAGCCCAGCATTTCGGATATAATGGATTTCGCCATAAACGTCGCCGATCTGGTAACGCGTTTGCCGCGTTGGACGGAAAAACGCAATGACATTGCCTGCGGTGTCCTGGAGCTGGAGGAGCAGAAGGGTGGGTTAGAAGATCGAGAATGCTGTCATAGAAGAACGTGGGGTACCAGAATATCGACGCCCGTGGGGGCAGGCCGCCACCGATATAGAAGACCGTCCGGTCCAGTGAAGGTGCGGGCTCCCTACAGAATGTAGTCAGAAGAGAAAAAGAAAACACCAAAAGTACTGGTATCGACACGAACATAGAGAGAAGGGTCCGGTCGAGCAAGGTCAGTCATTCGGAGGGTATGCTGTCGTAGGGTGAGCAAAGTGCCTTGCTTGTAAGTCAGGGCGGACAACCTTGCCCATAATAACGCGACCGAGGCCACCGTTCGCGGCCCATTCGAGTTTGGCGATGCGGTCCTCTTTGTTGGGTCGGAGGGCGCGCCACATGGTGGTAACGCTTGCTCCGTTCTGACCGACGCTTGTCTGTGGAACCTCATGAAGTGATCCGTTGGAAGCATGACCAAGGAAGGGGATGCGAACCTGAAATCGGTAAAGGATACCCCAGGCATTGAAGAGCACGCTTTCGCGGGAGTCCTGGTTCGTCCAGGAAAGAATGTCGTTGGGAGAAGCGGCGGTGACAGAAGCCATGTGGGGTGGGGATAGAGGACTGGGTGGAAAGTCGAGCTCTGGAACGAGACTTCATTTGCGTTCGAGCCGCTGTTTTTATAGACAGCCAAAGGCGAAATCCAGTTGACCAACGCATTTTTTGTCCGGGTAGATGATCCTTGAACCGATCGGGAACGTGGCCATCTATCAGGAAAAATATAAAAAATATAAAATTGAAAGTCTGTTTTCAATGTGCCAATGTGGAGGTAAGGGTTCGAATGTTCAGCCTTGGATGGTGGAGCGAGGTTCCGGTTGAGAGTGAATCTTAGTGATCGAAGAACACGAGTCAAAGGCCAGCGCTTGGTGTCTTCCATTGGCTGTTGGTCTGCCATCATAGAGAGTAATCGATGGATGACTGTTAGCCCCTTTCACGAGACGTTCACCTGGACGTTCAGCCGGAGGATTCCCGAGAGAAATTGATAGAGCATTCAGAAATCAATGGGCCATGAGTTTCGCGGTGGGATGGGTGGTAGAATCCTTACAGCCGGCGTACACGAGGTGGTCTCTATTAGGTAAGTCAGAAAAAAAGAGGACCTGGAAGTCGAGGAGGACATAAACGTGTAATTCGTATCCGGGGTTCAGGACAACATGCCTTCGTCGTGTGGGTTTACTGTTTCCGGCCGAAAGGCACAGGAGATAAGGGCAGATGTGGGTAGATTGTTCGTCTCAGATTTGAAGGTGGATTGTACCCAAATTTCAAAGTTCAAGGGTGCTCTCTGACGCGATTTTGGTCCTTGAGCAGGGTTTGCGACAGATTGCCGGAACCTGATATGACAGAGTTTGTGGCACTTGGTGCACCATCCTTCACAGACTCGTAGATCGCTTCAGAAGTTTAATTTCGGTAATGAAGCTAATTCTTCCGTCTCACCAAGGGCCGTTCACGTTCAGTCCAGGGTGTCAGCTCGAAGGACAGTGGCATGCGTGAGGGGCAAGTTCGATTATTGGAGGGGTTTGCCACTGAATGAAGGTATACAAAACGATACTAATAAAAACTTATCTGAGGATATCGTCAAGGATTCCGTTCGGTGATAAGGAGGAACATGCACGCACGAAGAGGGTTGCAATCATGCAACCACCTGAACCCCTAGGCTCCTGGCACTCCCTATGATCATTCTAGCGATGGATTCCAACGGCAGAGTCTTCATATGCTCGTCTGTCGCTTTGATTTTTGCAATCTCGTACACATGTTTGAGGCTGATCGTGCCAGTGGCCTCATGCCCCGGACGGCCAGTCCCCTTCTCAAGCCCAGCAGCTTTCTTGAGAAAATAGGAAGCAGGTGGTGTTTTGGTGATGAAGGTGAAAGAGCGGTCAGGTTGGACGGTGATCAGAGTAGGGACAGGAACGCCTGGATCTATATGGGCTGTCCTAGCATTGAACTCCTTGCAAAAGTCCATAGACTTGACGCCGCGTGCACCCAGAGCAGGACCAATAGGTGGTGTGGGTGCAGCCTTGCCAGCAGGAATGAGAAGACGCTACGGATGCGCGAAATAAGAGCAACATTATAACGGAGATAACTGGGACGCACAACAACCTGGGCCCTTGCCTTGGACGCTGCCTTGGACATGGCGGTGAACAAGCTCAGTCCTGACAGTAAGACTCAGAGACGCAAAGAAAAACACGTGACTTTCCCATACATGGTGAGCCGAAAGTGGTTACCCGTGTCACCGCTCTTGTCCTCCACCATGAAGTCCTTCGCTGCTCTCCTTGCCCTCGTACATCTGGTCGCTGCTACACCTATCACGCATAATGAACAAGTTCCCTTGAATCAAGCCACCTATCCGGGGTTTGACCTTGACTTGAATGCCCGTCGCCTCGTTCAAATGGAGGGCCAAGCCCCAGTTTGGATGACAGAGCTGGAGAAGGTTCTGCTGTGCCTGTCCCCTAATTACACCAACTCACTTACACCTCTTACTGACGTTAGATTCAGGCCAAGGCTCAAGGTCTCAAGTTCTTCGACATGTGACCCTCCTCTTGACTGTCTTCCTCGTTGTATGAGCTCACCTTCCACTGTAGCACCGAAGCACAGGACCTTGGCTCTTCTACTCGTCTCGTGCTGAAGCAAGACAGTACGTCTTACCTTCCGTTTACGGCGCGAATCATTTGAGTCAACCAGAGTTCGAACAGCGTTTCCAATACCCAACGCCACTGAGACAGTTCGTCCTATCCTGAAGAAGTTGTCAGTCAAAGGCCCAAGGGAGAACTTGGAGAAGTTCTCCAGCTTCCGCACACGACGTTTGTCAATTCGCATCTGTTCCCCCAACTCAATCTAACATACCCTCAAACCCTTTTAGATTACCGCAGTGATGTAAATGGTTCCTTTTACGCCCAGCAGCTGTTTTAATTCGCGAACTTTAGACCGGCAAAGAAAGCCAGAAATGGCTTCTGACCAAGATATTCGAGGTATTTTTATGACATTAGTGGTTTTAAGAACTCTTTGTGACCGGCTTGTAAAGATCACCTCCGAATACGCATCGGAATCCCTACGTGATAACATCCGCACGACTGAATTCACGCATTCATGGGGCCAGAACTCAATTGTGGGTCAGCCATGGGCCGCACAAACCCATCATAACTGACATATTTCAAGATCACCCGAATCAAAGGTTCTTCCTCAACAGACGATGGAGTGGTCGTCATTGGCGCTCATCAGGATAGGTAATGTTTCAATAATACGTGCTGGATCCGTCAACTCAGCATTGCCTTCATCAGTACCAACATGTGGCCTTTCCTTCCTGCCCCGGGTTAGTATTTCACATCTTGTCGACAGAGCCCCAACCGACTAGTTCATTTTCAGGTGCTGACGGTTTGTGTTCATATTCTCGCATTGAACGCGGCCAACTGATTTCATGAAGATGACGGGTCTGGAACTGTGACCATTTTGGAATCTTATCGGTCCCTGCTGGCTGCCGATTTTCATCCCGTTCGGACTATCGAATTCCATTGGTATTCTGCGGAGGTGTGTAGCTGTGTTTCCCCGTTTTGACACTGTCTTGATGGTCTCCTCAGGAGGGAGGCCTTCTAGGATCGCAAGCTGTCGCCAAAGACTATGCTCAGCGCTCAGTGAATATACTTGCTATGAGCCAGGTGAATCCTCTCCGCCTGGCGTTTAGCGTTGTTACTCACCCACACTTTAGTTCGACATGACCGCGTGGGTCAAGGTGGCTTCGGTTCAATTCCATGATACCCCATTACGGGAACTTACCTTTTGCATAGAAAGGAACCCGCGAAGAAGTCGGAATTATCACTGATTTCACCGATGAAGGGCATGTCACGAATGTCAAAATCATGACGGCCTGACTGACCCATGGGTTTAGCTTGACGAGCTTCAACAAGGCTCTTGTGGACCTGTACCTCGATATCCCATATGTGGAGGTATGAATGATATTGAACAGTCAGACTTGTTAAACTCACTTCAACCTTTTGTAGACCAAATGCGGATACGCATGCAGTGATCAGTTGAGAATCCCTCTAGCTCCAGCCGGTCCCATGCTGACGACTAAACTTGATTTGTAGCGCCTCATGGGGGAAGGCAGGATACCCCTCCTCGTTCACCATCGGTCAGTCGAAATCCCCGTTCGGAGTTTACTCGCTGAACTTCCACATCCCAGAGAGTTCGTTTGAAAATTCGAACAAGAATATCCATTCGACGAACGAGTAAGTACATACTTTCCCTTCATCCTTTAACCCCATCCTCTAATGCTACGATGTTACTTGTCCCTCCAGCCGCATTGATATCTCGGATGAATTCAGCTTCGATCATATGCTGGAGTTCTCCAAACTGGCTGTCGCCTTCGCGGTGGAACTCGGCGGTTACGACTCGTCGAAGTAAGCCAGAACGCAACTTTCATTTCGCTAGCGAATGAAGGTCGCGTGCTCTGTACTTCCTGGCAGTGTTCAAAGTCGGCGCCGCACGGTCCTGATAATGACTCTTCACAACGTGATGCCCGCAGGAATTAATGTGAAACGAGGGTCTGATTCACCGGAACAATGTCATCTAGGATTCATCTTGGGATATATCTAAGAACGTTAGATGCTGTCTACTGTAGCAAATGATATCTGTGCCAGAAAATACGGTATGAGCTGTTCGGTCGATGCCGCGATGTTGTTGTGTGAGGACAGGTTTCTGAGTGGCGCATGCCATTGAAGCCATCAAACGAGAAAATGTGACCAATAAAATCACTATACCTTTGCGTTCCGATAATCCCAGATGCAGACAGTACCATCCTCATAGCCTTTCACGAATAGGCTGAAGTTGGTGTCCCCTCGAGAAGACCTGGCCGGCCCATCTCCGAATCGCCCACCGAAGGAGCAGTCGGGCTGCCTATCGAAGCCGGGCCTCTTCCTGTCATCGAAAATCTGGATCTGAGAATCCAGATGGTCAACCTATTCCGGACGTTAGACGTAAAAAGAGCGGACTGCAGTGACTCCAGAGGGCTCGCCTCTAGGATTGCTATATTCGGTGCTTGTTTGTGCACATGTATCTGATGGATCGCGTTACTCAGAGGAGTTGCGCTAGGCTTTGCTGATAGGTGCCCTAGGTCGACGTTCAGAATTTTACGAGAAGTGCCTACCAGTAGCCTCCCGTCTCGGAGGGCGAGGGCTTCAGGTATGGTGGTTAGCGTGAGTGATTTCTCGACGGTCATTGATTCTGGTGCCGTCACAGACCAGAACCTAACTGTCTTATCGTACCCGCCAGTGAAGAACTGGGTGACACCCTGCTCGGATGAAGGGCAGGCTGCGAGACAACTGACCGCTGCTGTACCAGCCTTCGCTCCAGATACAATGGTTCTTTTGTGAGGCCTGTGATTCAGGTCCATCAAGGTGGGTGGAAGTCCCTGGAGGGATATGGCACATGAGCAGACTACCCATGGGATAACATTCCCTGAAGAAAACGAACCTTGACAAGATGGACCAGAGATACCTGGAAGGGACCATCCCCATGGCCCACAACGGCGGTATTCCCTATCATTACTGCGTCCACAGTATGGCGATATTCTGCATTGTTCGGAATGGAGGAACCTGAGATGCGATACCTGTGGAGGAGGTCATTATTCTGGATGTTCTTCTAATGCATCGAGGCCAGCACCTTGCAGTCCGATGGAAGGACTGGACATCGCCTCTCATTGATACCGTTATGATCGGCAACTCTGTGGTCTGGGGCAAAAGCACTCGCCGAGCATGATTATATGGAGCTTGCGGTATACTGACAACATGCATTTTCGGATTTTCAACGGCCATTTTTAAAGACGAGGAAGATGAGGGGATACTGCGGAGTCTTCCGGCTCTTTTCTTAGGTTGCTGGACACCGGCAATCGAGGAGGATCGGCCCGATTCTTCTGGAGTCTGAGGCAGTTCAAAAGCATATGTAAGGTGAGCTCGAATACTCTCCGCGTTGTCGCTCTCATTATCCGGGGATCTAGATGTGCTTGAAGGTGCCGGAGAGAAGCGCCCCTTAGAGGAGGATTCCCCAATTTCTGACTCAGATTCCGATGTATCCTCGTCATAGACAGCTCTCGATAAGGTGCCATATGGATCTTCATGGTCGTGGGCGGAATTCGGGGTGATGCAGTCTTCCGTTAAGTCGATTACTTCAGGCTCTTGTATTTGCGATGTAGCGCTTGGTGTGTAGGTGTTTGGTATATCCTGTCCCCACAAAGTGGACTTTCGTTGAGTCAAGACGGAAAATGCAGCACTGGCGAGGTGAGAGTGAGAGAACTCCAAGGAGGCGGAGTGATCATGGGGTTTGAAAACGAGTGCCTGGAGCCTGGAAGAAGCAATGAACAAGATGGAAGACGTGGAGCTGCATAGACGAACACTTGAAGTGTAAAACCCATTTCCCGTACCGTATCGTAGAGGTTTTGCTCTGTGACCGAAGGAGATAAACCGAAAAGCAACACAGTCCTTCCATCAACCTTGAGAGTTTGCTGGCTTGCCATTTCTTGAACTTGGCAATTCCTAGGTCTGCGGTGACGCGGCGGAATGAAGGCATGGTGATCGCTTTCCCTAGGCGAAAAATGTCTGTCAAGGAAGGGGACTTCTGGGCCAAGGTTTTGCGATGATACAACCCCGTGCCGGTTTGTGCCAGTGGAAGATGAGGGTCTAGAAGCCTCGGTTGGCCGAACAATCTTCTCCACGCAAGACTCAGTGGCAAAGAGGCCTGTTCTGCGGGACCATTTAACTTTTCACATCGCCTCCTCGATAATTGCTGCACTGACGAACCAAAAGATTGCTGATTTTCCATCTCGCCAGCCATCGAACTAGTGAGTGATCAAAAGCATCCACTTCAAGATTAATGCCGTTCCTCGTTAGGTTGATGAGAAGGTCCTTTCGGCTAGAAATTTCACGGAAGGGGAATGGTCGATTTTGTCCTGTAGACCTGTCCTGCTAGCTCTGGACGGTTACGGTTGTTCGAATGAGAGTGAGACGCAGATGTCCTAGGTGGGTAATTTAATAGAGCTAAAGAATAAGAACAAAAACTCACGCCGAGGGACCAACAGAAAGCGTGAAGTCTCCCAATAAATTGTTCGGTACAAAATGGGATGCTCGTCTGTTGAACTTGGAAGTTGGCAGAAGACGCGAGTCGCGACCCCTAAATTAGACTGCATTATGTAACCGGCTCCTTCGGGCAGCTTCCTACAGACTCCGGCATTGCCACAGTGCCACTCCAATCCTACTTCCCCCATTCTAAGGGTCAGTACCATCCTGTATTCTCATGTCTCGAGCGAGCCGACAGGAAGATATTGAAGAAGCGTATGGAATACAAGCCAACGCTGCTGTCGCTGTCCGTGTTTTCCTGATCTATGCTCTGGTTATCCAACTTTTGATTTTTAGGGAGCGGCCAGAGGTACGGCAGTTGGGGTTGGCCTGGCAGTCATTGCTCACCACCTTTGGCCAGCCTTCAGGTTCTTCTCTCATCTGGATATCACAGCACCACACTCACGCGATGATTCAGGCGGCAGACCATTTCTTTCAAAGCCTTCTTGATTACTGGATGTGTGTTGTTTTATGAGTTTGCCTCTGTTCCACTGATCCTAATGAAAGGCTAGTTACTTGTACAGGACTTGTATTCAGTGCAGAAAGAGCACTTCGCGAGCATGAGAACATCAGAAGGAGAGAGGAAAACGCCCTTCGACGAGAAGCTCGTCTCGATCTCGCTCGCAGAGGCCTGGTAGGCACTGAGACTGAGATAGCAAACTGGAAAGCGGCGAGACGGGAGGCGCTAGAAAGACAATCACAAGCAGAGTAAAGGTTACGTACAGCATGCATCTCAATTCCCTCTTTCATATTGACAATTAATAATATACAAACTTCGTGATCTTTGTACCTCTAGGAGATTAGTGCTACGACCCGGCAACAAAGTCTGTGGAAAGGACCAAAACATTTCGACTCATGCAACAAAACTATATCAGTGGGCTTCACAAAAGAACCAGGAATCTACTTTCAATATGCCTGTTGGGTATGCACACCTGTAGAATACGTGTTTGGAGGCTGAATCCATTGTCCGTGTTCATCAACTGAGGCAGGTGGTTTAGGCGGAGGACCTGGAGGGTATGTGCCATTTTGAGTGTTGAACGAATTGTCAATTGGTGGTGGCGGAGGTGGGGGAACTTGGGTCTGATTAAAGTAACCGACTGGTGGAGGAGGCGGCGGAGGTTGTTGATACACTGGCTGCTGGTAGGTAACTGGTGGTTGAGGGAGGCTGGCACGCCGACGCGGCTGAATAGGAGGCGGGGGAGGAATTGGAAGCTGCGCAACGTTTTGGACACTGTTGCTATTGTTATATTGCAAAGGCGGGGGTGGAGGCGGAGGTGGAACTGCGGGGTAAGCATTGGTTGCAGGATAAATAGCGCCAGGTTGGGTAGAACCAAAACTGCTGGGCTGCCGACTTGAAGTAGCAGGAAGAGGTAAGGATTGAGAAGGCGTAAGAGTTTGCTGCTGGACTGGGGGCTGGGCATACACAACTTGTGGTTGCTGGGGTAAAGGTCGAGAGCTTTGTCCAGTGGGCTGGCTCTGAGGCGGAGGGGCTTGCACTGGAGAGCCTTCGTGGGACGCAGTTTGACCAGTGTAAAGTTGCGGGGCGGCTGAGGTAGCCGGCGGCACAAAGTTGGATTGCGGGGCCGGGGTTGGAACGAATTGTTGAGGAGGCGCTGAAGCAGATGGAGGTATAACGTACGACGGGTAATTATACGGTTGTGCGGCCGGAAACGATTGCTGAGGGAAAGATGTCGATTGCGGTAGATACGATCCGTTGGTCTGTGCAGCAGGTGTGTGAGGCAATGGAGGGGGATAAGCTGCCTGCGGAGGAGATTGAAATTGCGAGGGATAATTCATTGGCATTGGTGTATGAGAAACAGGAGGCATAAACCCAGAAGGTTCAGAGATGTGAGACGGTATGGGTACAAAACCAGATGGTTGAGGCAACGGCATAAACCCAGACGATGCGGTTGGAACACTGTGCCTTGGCCCACGTGCAGGCAGTTGGTACGTTGAAGCCGTTGCAGGAACCTCGTATGCAGGTTGGTAAGGAGAGTAAGGATCATACGGGCCTGATGCAGGAGGATGCACAAAATGCGATGGTTGTCCGTTAGGCGTGACAGGTCGATCATATTGGTATCCTTGATCATAAGTATTGGGATAGACCGTCAATGTCGACTGACCACCCGTAAACTGTGGAGCTTGAGAATATTGTCCAGGCACGGGCTGATGGTCGAGGGTCAGCAACGACGAGACAACCCAAGGGAAAATACTGACCGGAAAACTTTCCCTCCGACGATGTTGAGAAAAGCCAAAGTCACCAAATTCCTGAGTAAGGTTATCCATATGTTGGTTTCGATTCCTCTCATAAGGTGCAACGTAAAGGTCGAGGTTTGCTGCTGAACCGGACGCCCTAAGGGATGACGGAATAACGTCTGAATTTTGACGGCCATGATTTTGAGGTGCACCATGTCTGGGAGAGGAGCCAGGAAAGTCCCCTGACGCGACGAAAGATCCTGGCCCGGCATATTGTTTATTGCTTTTAGGCGGCTTTGGTGTGACTTTCTTCTCAGGGGGAGGTTCCTGCGTAGAGAAAATTTGATGACAGCATTGCGATCACTACATGAAGCACCCACGTTGGACCAGAAGGTTAATTCCAGGTAAACTTTGCCCGCGAACTTGTCCTTGTTGGTGAGCGTGAACCACTCTAATTACTGTTCAGCAGTAATCGACTGAAAAAGTTGAAATGTATCTCACCGTCTGTTTCGCCCTTAGTAAGAACTTCTGTCAGATCCACGTCAGTTTCTCCAATTAGATCGGGTTCGCGAGGGTCATCTGCATAGCAAGCAAGCTTCATAGTCTTGCCACCCTTGATGCTCTTCGTCCTCTTGCCGTCCTTTGGAGGGGGTGGCGGAGGCGTGCTATCTCCATGGGCTGTTCTGGCCAAAACATCGTCGACATCTTCGAAAAGAGTGAACCTCAGCTCCTCGTCCCACTCAGGGTGTTGTCCTCCCCGCTTGATCGCTTTCGTTCTTCTCTTCTCGCCATTAACAGTAACAAGACAGTATGGATCTTGTTTGCCGATATGCCTCTTGTTGGGCAGATGGTTCTAGGGACGAAATTAGGTGAGCGCTTGCTTGTAGGTGGCACAGAACTCACAGCCCTAATGATAATGACGACCAGAGTGCCTATTTCCCGAGGCGTCGCCGACATTTGAGAACGAAGATCGCTCAATGACTGAAGACCCCTTAGAACGCGTAGGAAACAAACGGCATACACAACAAGAATATGTCCAAGTTTCAGTTTGGGTTGAGGTTTCAATAGGTGACGGTGTGGACTTGTACTGACAGTCACGCATGCGGTAATTATGTATTTGGTCATGTTTCCGGGCCATCACCGCGCCGCTGCCTTCGAGGACGCCAAGCCAAGACAGGCAAGTCCTCCTGCTCAAGTTGTACACGACTGATTTATACACGAAATACGACGGCAAGAAATACCAATCATTGGCCCGGTTTGTAACTATTATTACTTTTCAAGATAAGGCCCGGTTTTCTGTCGGCAAGATCCAGTATCATCTCCGCGAAGTAACTATTGGCCCACGCAAACCAACTGCGGGTATACGAGGTAGGATCATATATAGACTGGGACTCATGGATCAAACCTAGACCATTGGTATTCTATCAGGAGGTTAGTACGTGGGGAAGAGAAGAGAAGGAAGTTGCTCCTACATTAGCAATAATGTAGAGAGACAGGAGGATCTCTTGGTCATTGTCCGATCCGAAAATCGCTGAAATGTGTGACATGGGCCTGCGAAGGAGATGAGAAAGATCGACCCATAATATAAAACACAAACCCACCAAGGATGCCATGGGTCAACGTGTGGTCCTCTAGGAAACGGAGTCATTTGAGAGTCCACATCACTTTGAGATAACTCACCCAACACCGTTAAAGGTCTTGCCGGCCGCGTAATAAGGATTCTTGCGAGACAAAAGTAGCTTTCGGGTTGCCACATACGCCGGATGGTGCTTGTCAAGGAACCCTAGATAAGGGAGCGAAAGTAAGGACTGCAACAGCTAGGTTAGGCCATGGTATTGAACAATATCGAACAGTCTTGCCGGAACATTGGCGTCGTCCATGACATATCGACTGCCTAATCCTAAACAAAACAAAAAAAACAGTCGGTAATATGTTCAAGAAATTTGATATATATGTGAACCATTCGTCTCGTATGCAAAGATGTTGTCCATGACCTAAGTAACTGTGAGTCAGATGGTCTCCTCGTTCGTGGATGATATATCGCCACGGACAGTGGTTTTATAGATCGCGTCGCGAATTCTTGCGCTCCACTGTTTGGCTGACTGGCTGACATTTTGAAGCTGCTTTGTGTCGTCAAGAATTTCCGCAAGATGGGTCAATTCCACGCTCAACATGGCGTTGGCGGGCGTCAGAAATGCTATGGTTGATTCACACTTTTTCAGATTCCTCGAAGTTCAGAGGGGCGTACCGAAAATACTCAGGTCGTCTGACGGCCGATGGTGTGTCCCAACAAGCCCAGTATACGCTTTGGGTTCGCCATTGCCTCGGTTGTTGACCCTTGGAGACAGCGCACCAGCTCCACCAGTCCAATTGTAATACGAGATAAAGTTGAAATTTTCGTCGAAAGAGGATTGAGATTGCTCGTTAATTACGCGGAAGATCTGGTCAATGGCCGCTCTCCCTGTACAGCTATTGAGCCTGGAAGGCAGGATTCTCTTTGAAAATGGCGCACAGTTCTTGTTCATGAAAGAAGTGTCCTTTGTCGCTTGATAGTACGACCTGGAAAGCTTGAGGAATCCGCAAAGAGAATCGAGTTCATACTGAAGATGAATTCTTCAGCACCTTCTAATTGCATGTAGACATATAAGGTCATCACCTTGCACTCGAACACGGTCTGATTGTTGACCGGTCTACGGATTCATGCGTGAACAATGTTTGGAGAGACCTCAAGAGAGTAATTACGGATTAACGGTGACACCTGTAGCCCAATCGTTAACGGTAGGCACGAGGCCACTCTCTGGGGGCGGCTGGAATGCACCACCTAAGCGATTGTCATACATAGGTTACAAGGAGGTACGCTCCAGGATGTTGGCGCTCACAGTAAGGATATTCGGCCACATAGCGCGCTTCATTATTGATAACTGCTTTAACGAGGGCGGCCAATTCAGAGTCAACACCTAGCAATGAGTGATAGTGGGCAAACTGATTGAAGAGCAAATGAATTAGGAAGGAAATCTTCTGTCATTGGCATCCCTTTGACTGACCTGATTGGCGGTGTCGCGAAGCCATTGTGCACTGTGAAGAGACCTTCGCCATGAGACGGATTTTCAGGTATAGGCCGGCAGAGTACGAACGTTATATCCTGGTTAACGATTACAGAGTGGCCAGTAGTAGGAAGGAAAAGCGACTGACCCCAGTAATAATAAACGCGAGATTCTCCGCCTATCTTGCATGTTATCGACTTGTTTGTGAAGATGGTATTCAAACGTGCCTTGTTGTAATATTTTACAGTCGTGTCTTAGAGCACCAAGGGTCAGCGTCTCAAAGCCAGAGTCAGAGTCAGAGTTACCAAGTGTGTTGGGAAATGTGTTCTCAAACAACCTTGCCAAGTCAGGATCCTTCAGCAAGGACTTCATATCTGTGATAACTTTCTTTCTCCCAAAAGATCCAGCCATAGCCTGTACTCGGTGGAGGATAGCTTACTTCGACTGCACTACTGTTGAACGTGCGACACGCCGGTGCAGGCCTCATGTAGGGCAAGGACAGCACTCCACTTGAGCGCGGGTCATGAGGAGTCTGGACAACGAAGTTCCCCAAATAGTTCAACAAAAAAAAAAAAAAAAAAAAAAAAAAAAAAGTTAAACTCACTTGCGAGTAACTGGTGTAATCAGGGCATTGGGCTTGAGCTTGAGAGCTAGCCACAAGGACAGACACTCCGAACACGAAGGTGCTCCAAACCAAACGCATCTTCTCAGTCCAGAATAACTTGAACGATTGAGTGTTGAATCTCAACCAGAGTGTCTTTAAAAGGATCGAAAGTTGGTTCGTGAGTTCGATCAGGAAGGGGTCCATGTGCGATAGAACGGCCGGCCTATGTTCACAAGACCAGCTGTTCGTGCGTCGGGGTCGAGAATACAGGTGTCGAAGTCTTCTGAAGTTTCGTATTGACTGGGTTTCCCCGCTTAGATTCCTTCTCGGTGCTGAAAGCGGAGAGGACAAGACAAGAGGTCGGTGCAATCAAAGGGTTGGAATAATGCCGGATGCATAAGGTGGATTGGGGAGTAAGGATTTAGCAACGCCGTTCCTGGAGAATCTTCGAGGTGCTCCAAATTGCACATACACCTCAATCTCGTTTGGGAGAGGGCCTGAGAGGGCGGAGAAGAGAAGCACAATTTCAGCGGACCGCTCGGTTGTGGTTGAAGACAAGCTGATGGCTTTGAACAAAAGTTGCATCATGTGAACGGCAAGCAAATGTTCTCAAATGTTTCTTTCCCAGCATGTCATAAAATCCAAAATAGATTGACATAAGGTGATACTAAGGGCCACGATAGGATGCCAAATAGAGTGTACAAGTAGGTAGCTACAGAAGCACGAAGGGAACGGAATATATACAGGATGAGGCGAAAGGAGGCGAAAGAGCTTAGCAAGATGACGGAGAGAAGTGGTGAGCGAGAAGATCTGGGAGAGAATGAGTAAAGGAATGAAACGATCATGAAGCCCTAGGTTATAAATGCAGCCACTGGAGAGAACATAGATCGAAATTAGGCAGTGCCAGTCGCCAGGACGGATTTTTCAGTGGAACCTTCGACGAGGGGTGCAGTATCGGTCTTCTCCGAACGAGAATTTGTCGCGGAATTCGGGCTGACGGTAGGATGGCTAATGGTTTCAGTAGACGTCCGATGGAGGGTGTGGTTAGGGACAGGAACCTTGATATCAGCGGGGTGTGTAGCAGCGACGGGTGTATCAGCCGGCGTGATCATAGATTCAACAGCGGGCTCGTTTATGACGGGCAACGGATCAGCAGGAGCGCTTTTTGTTGCTTCAAGAGGAGATTCAACAAGCGAGTCGTCCTTGTCCAGATCGTCCAGATCACCCGTTGCAGTATCGGGAGTTTCGTCATCAGCCGTTTCGTAGGCTTCTCCATTCTCGGTGCTGATACCCCCAGTCCCCGTCCTGATGCTGTTGGATGTCCACAGGCTTCGGTCCCTAGCAAGCGAGGGTGTGCCCTGGATTCTTGCACTCCATCTGCTGGCTTCGCTTTCCCAGCTTCCTCTCCTGGAACTCCTAGGCCTCAACGCTCGCACACTGGCATCAAAATCACGTTCCTCCACATCATCTCCAAGGACATAATGGCTTGTACTCTCTCCGTCAGGGAACATGATGCTGCCTCCATAATGGGACGCGGAGTCCCCAACTGCGGATGGTGGATAGTTCTGAGGGCCGACACGATTTGGGACCCCGAAAGCCGAAGACGCCAATGTCAAAACTGACGCATTGTCGAGAGGAGGGGATGAAGGACGTGGGTTGTTCCTTGGATGATGATTGGTATGCAAAGGTGCCTGCACAGGAGACAGAGCGTGTTGTGCTGACGTCTGTTGTGCGGACGCAGTGAACGAAGCTAGGCTTCCGGGATTTCGAAGGGATGCTGGTCGAGACGAGGGCTGGGCAGACGGTAGGGCAGAAAATGTAATAGAAGCGCCACTATTCAGCAAACCGGCACTACTCAATGAGGACGATTGCCGGACATGGGGTGCGAAACGATGAACTTGTGCTGGAGGAGCCTGCGCGATGTGAGCCATCCCGTTGCCATTGAGGTCGATGCTGAGAAGCGTCGTAGGTTTGGTACTGGCTGCCATGCTCCTGAATGTGCGAGGGTCTGAAAGATAGGAGGATGAAGAGCGGGACGGTGAGGGTGAGGGTGGTGCACTAGGCGGTATAGGTCGAACGGACGCATCGTCGTCTGCTTCCAAAGCACTGGCAGGAGACCAGATAGACTCTCGGTTTATTGACGACTGGTCCAGAGAATCAACCTCTCCGTTACAGGATTGGCTGAGGTCCCGCAATTCCTCGTCTCCGTTTAGGGATATTGACCGAGTCTTTCTGCGTGCCAAGGACGATGCATCTGCCTTCGAAGGGTGCTTGAGGTGGTGGTGAGAGGCTGGAGCAGGAAGTGGCGACGAGGTTATGCGACCCATTGGCCGACTCGAAGTCGAAGCGGTGCGGCCCATGCCAAGTTCTGCAATATTGAGGGGGACATTCTCCGTTCGCTTTCCTCGAACGGTCCCAGCCAACTTGCGCTGGAACCAATTAATGAAAGGCTTGCTGGAGCGCCGAGGAACCTTCTTCTGCTGAGCAGGTTGACTGGTGGACTTCGGGAGCATAGCAGCAGCAGTGTTGACGGCTTTCTTTTGTGGGCGAACTTGAACAACAGCGGTGGTCTGTGCAGGCGTTGAATTTGTATGGGCATGATTGACATCCGCGTGGGATGGAGCAGGCGGTGTAGACATCGTGACTATATCTGCACGGACGGATCGACGCCAGTAGCGGTAGAAGGCAGGATGGTGGTAGTGAAGTAAGAGACAAATGTGACCAAAGTCATGTTTAGACATCACAGACCACAACCACAACCAGCGCCGCTGTCCACACGCCGCTGCTCAGGCTCTTCTACCCGTAACCTGCACCCTTGCGCGGTGGAGATCACCACAGCATTCGCAATGTCCAAGGAATCCCCGTTTGTTATTGGTTCGTAATGCTATTTCGAACTTGAGCTTGAACGTTCAGAATTCCAATAAAGGCTACTCCCAGTTGCTCCTGAAGACGCCAGGAACGACTAATATTCTACATTATATATACAGCGGTTAGTAAAATATATCGTCCATGCTTGCTCGAGCTCTACCAATCTGTCTTCTTCGTTTTTCGGACAGGTGTGACAGGGATTTTGTGGCCTTCATATCCGAACCCATCCAGCCACGGCCACATATCGCTTCGTCTGCTCTCGAACGATGCGATGGCGCTTGCCCGCTGCAGAGTCAGGGCAATATCGTCAAGGCCGTTCAACAGGCAATGTCTACGGAATGGATCCGTGGTAAATGGGATGGGTGGTTGACCGTTCATGCGCCGGATCTCCTCCTTCTCCAGATCGACCTCAAGGTCAAGACCAGCCTCAGCATCCTTCGCAAGCTCGATGCACTGTTCCTGGGGGATAATGACCGGCAGCATGCCGTTCTGCATTGAGTTGTTGCGGAAGATATCGGCGAAACTTGGAGCAATGATGCATCGAATGCCAAAGTCATTCCTGTTACAAAATTAGATTGGTTCCAAGACAGAACATCCATAAACCTACAAGCTCCAAGGTGCGTGCTCACGAGAACTGCCGCAACCAAAGTTCTTGCCAGTGCAAACGAGGATCTTGGCCCTATTGTATGGCGCGCGATTGAGGATGAAGTCAGTGTCCTTGCCGGTGTGAGGATCTTTCCGGAGGGTGAAGAAGAGGGCGTCAGCAAGACCGGTTCTCTTGAGGGTCTTCAAGAATTGCTTCGGGATGATCATATCGGTGTCCACGTTTTCAATGTGCAGAGGAGCCGTAATGCCTTTGACAATGGTGAATTTCTGGACCGAAGAGGAAGTCGTCGAAGGAGGTAGAGAAATGGAAGCGCCGTTCGAAGCGCCGTTAGGTGCTGCATCGGGGGAAGCGGTGGCTGCATCCATGAAGTTGAATGCGCTGACAGTCTTCAAAGGGGCCGACTTCGCAATATTCTGCTCTGCAACCTTGCCGATGAATTTCCGAACGTCCGTCAGCTTGCCTGCAATGGCGGCGGCAGCGGCCATGGCAGGACTGAGGAGATGAGTACGACCACCTGCACCTTGACGACCTTCGAAATTACGATTACTTGTGCTGGCGCAACGCTCTCCAGGGGCGAGTTGGTCAGGATTCATGCCCAAACACATCGAGCATCCCGCCTCACGCCAATCGAAGCCGGCCCTCTTGAAAACGACATCCAATCCCTCTGCTTCAGCGTGTTGCTTGATGACGCCAGACCCAGGTACGACCATTGCGTGGACGTTCGGTGCAACATGGGCATCTGGACCAGCCGCTAGGACGACTCTGACGGCGGAGCGAAGGTCTTCGATTCGACTGTTGGTGCAAGACCCAATAAAAACCTTGTCGATCTGAATGTCCTCCATAGGGGTGTTGGGCTCAAGGCCCATGTACGTCAAGGCCCGTTGGGCAGAAGCTCGTTTTACTGGGTCTGACATCGTCCTTGGGTCCGGAACAGATCCAGTGATGGCAACGACATCCTGAGGGGAAGTACCCCAGGTGACGGTCGGGACGATGTCGGAGGCGGGGATGTTAACTTCAATGTCGAATTTGGCGCCTTCGTCAGATTTAAGCGTCTTCCAGTAAGCCACCGCGCGATCCCATTCCTCTCCTTTAGGAGACAGAGGACGGCCTTGGAGATACTTGAACGTGACCTCGTCCGGAGCGACCATGCCCGCACGAGCACCAGCTTCGATACTCATGTTGCAGACGCTCATACGAGCCTCCATACTGAAACCACGGAAGACGGAACCTGCGTACTCGATGACGCATCCTGTTCCTCCAGCAGTGCCGATAACGCCAATGATATGGAGGACCACGTCTTTCGACGTAACTCCGTCATGGAGCCCGCCGTCGACCGTGATGCGCATGTTCTTGCCTTTCTTCTGCAGAAGAGTTTGTGTTGCGAGCACATGTTCAACCTCAGACGTTCCAATACCGAACGCCAAAGATCCGAAAGCACCATGAGCTAAAATCCAGTTAGTTTATCCATTTCTTGCGCGTCGCATGAAGGATACTGACTTGATGTGTGCGAGTCGCCGCAAACGCAAGTGATTCCAGGCAGCTAAGATACCCTATCAGCATGGTCAATGAATAAAACACGGCACATGACTTACTGTGAACCCTTGCTCGGGACCGATAACATGAACGATACCTGCAATATGGTCAGACAGGAATCTCGAAAGAGGAGAGGTCTACAAACCTTGACGGCGATCCTTCATACCGAAATATGTCAGACCAAATTCCTTCACGTTTTCTTCCAGAGCAGCACATTGCGCACGGGAGTCCGGTTCGGCGATGAAAGATTCGACTGAGGTGAAATTTTTGCGTGATACGGTGCTAAAAACTCGAGTGAACCGATGCTCGAACCGCGATTCCATGAGAGAACGTACGGAACATTGTGATCCACCGTGGCCAGAGTGCAATCCCTCCTGCGTACTGGTCTTCCTGCGGTACGACTAGAAGACGATGAGCTCATCATGCCGAGAGAATGCGAATGCGGGGACGAGACACGCACAGTCCTTCGAATGCTTGCGGGCTGGTGACTTCGTGAACAAGATGGCTGCAGACTTCTGTCAGATAAGCTTATGAAAGAGCTGTGCAAGACACACCGGTCTATATAGACGAGCGCTAAACCGTCCTCCTTAACATCGCTGTTCAAAAAGGAAAGAATGAGCGTATATGCGGGGTCGGTTGATGACCATTACTGACACAACATGGTCGTCCCAAATTTTGTCGTACAAAGTGCGAGGCGCGCTGACGGGTACTGGCATAGCTAAACGAGGAAAACGGGGGGAATGAGAAATGAGAGAACGAGACAGAATATGGTGGAGACTGGAGACGCCTTATAAGTAAGCCGGGTCTTAAGTTGTCGGTAACGCACTCGGCCGAAGTAGGTCGGGTTTAGGCCGACATCCAATCGGATAGAGCATTTCTGTCACTGACACTGGCCTATATTTGGTAGGAACTCATTAGCACTTCGGGCAGCGTCCTTCACAACCTTCGACGTCCCTCAGCGTGAGGTAAAATATTACCTACCCACCCTGAGTCGTATGGTAAGGATGGCCCCCAGAAAAACGCGGGGACAACCTCTTCATTGATGCCTTTCTATCACTGTCAATTTCTGACTATCTGAAAGTCTGGAGTCTGGACATCCAAGAGTTGACAATTATACACTACTAGGGCAGCACGCTAAACGGGGAAGACTCGATTAGTCGTTATCAAAACGCCTGCTTCTTGCTACCGAGCCTGCCAGGTTGGAGGTGCCCGAGAAGCGTATCGTGTGCATACAGAACTGAAAGACGGACGAGATAGATCTAGGCAAGAATGAAACGTAAAGGACAAGGTTACAAATCGATAAAGGGATTTAAATAGTCATGCACCCCGAGGTATGATTAGCAGAGTGTGCTCCATTCCCGAATGGCCACGTCAAGGTCGACGAAGATGTCGAGAATAATCTTGGGATAGGCTCCGGTGTCAACACCCATCTGTAAACTAGAACCTGTAACGAACACTTTCGTGTTGGAAGCTTTCTTGTAGTTCAGGGGTTTTGTTGGCAAGGAAGGATGAGAGAAGGGCGCATGTATGGGCTTGATTTCGACGAGATCCCCAGGAACACGACGAGGTGTTGTCGGGCTTGCAAAGCTCTTGTCTGGTCCCTTCGCCCTTCGCGTAGAGATGGTTTCTGGACCCGCCTGAGAGGATACGTGTTGTTCATGTTGATCCAGTTGCATTCGGCACGCAGGATAGGGCTTCGGTGACATCGTTTCCTCGTCAACAGCATGCAGACCACCGCCGCGTGCAGAAGGGGGCCCCGTTTCAGTGATGTACGGTAAGAAAGCGGATTCTGAATAGATTGCATGGCGTCGGTTCAGTTGTGAATCTTCGATATCCTGGGCATCCTTCCGTGACCTGACTCTCGTCGTCAACTCGTCTTGAGAATCATTCGAAGCAAGGCTCTTCCTATCGGTATACAGGTCAAGAAGAGATAGTCTGGATGGGTCGAAGTCGCTCAGGCTTTGAGATTTGGGATGACCATAGCGTGCTCGAAGTTGTAGAGAGCGTAAAATAGTGTGTGCAGTTGTCATTGTCGATCTCGCCTCGCTGATAACAGAAGTGCGCCTAGAGATGGGTCTGACTGTTTGGAATTTCCGAGACCTTCCAAGAGCCACCTCGTGCGTAGCATTACTAGATCCAGATGTCCCAGTAATAGAAGGTCGCCGTTCTCGATTCAGATCTACTTCCGACAGAAGTCTCCTCCCACCATCAACCTGTCGCGCAGGTAGTTTGGTATCAGAGAGAAGAGGAACCAACTTGCTCGGTATGAAGAGCTGACTAGGGTAATGATCGGGGACCTTGGTTTCAGCAGTATCCATCGATGCAACCTTCTCCACAGATTGTAAGGACGGCAAAGACTCCAGTGTCCTCGCCTGACGGATGGGAGCAGGTTTTCCAGAAGGCGAGCAGAGGATTTGATTGCGCTGATGATTAGAGTGCGTAGGCAGCTTAGTCGACAGTTCTGGCCTGGTCGTGGCATACTTGCTGGCATCGCGGAGAGGGACGACCTGGAACTGATGAGGCGTTTTGTCCCGAACAGCGACGCGTGTCTGCATTTTCACCCTCGTACCATCCACGCCATTCTCATTATTGAACGATGGTGATCCGCTACTGGCTTCAAGACCTGTCCCAAGACCGTCTCTGGTGTTGAAGGAGTCCTGCGTCGACAGTGATGATCCCCGAGAACGCATGAGCCGAGGTCTGGCCGTGATCATCTCGCCAAATTCAGACGTCTCCGCCATAAGGCGTCTCCGGGTATCGCGCGACATTTGAAATGGAACAGGGTGTACCGCCCAGGAGGCGTACAGGATGGAGAGGAGACAGGAGAAAGTGCCGCTGTGACGGTTTGAGTCACCGTGGGCGCTTAGATAAAGGTTCTGATCAACAAGCAACAACAAGCACGACCAGTCAACTAGTCACGGTCGAGCTTTCGGTTCACTCATCCCTCTCCTGCTTCCTTCTGCCCCTTCCCCCACCTTCAGGGACGGCGTAATTGCCATCCATCCACTGTGGATGCACCCTCCCTCTTATATACCTCAGGATGCCGCCTCAACCTACACCGTCCGGACCCGCACCTGATTCACCACGAGCCTCGCAGTCGCCTGCACCAATAGGCGCTCAAGGCGAGCTCGAAATGGAACTGCTTGGACTTGCGAATGCTCTCTACAACCTCGGCACAACCGTGATCAACGACTCTACCAAGGAACGTGATAAGCCAGGAGCGAAACCAGTTGGGCCTCGCGTGTGCGTACTCTTCGTGAACTCATCTCACTTCCCAGCTGGATGCTTCCCTTTTCTCTCCAGGAATGAGGTCGTTAACCACCTTACGAACCTTGACCAGATGGCCCAACATATAATCACCATGATCCCAATGCAGGTGCTCGCTGATATTGACAACTCACGAAATCCGATGCTCCTGACGAGGGAGAGGCTGGAGCGAGCTGCGACGGAGAACCAGTTCATGAACGGAAAAATAGCTGCGATTCAAGTAGGTTGTGGAGTCGATGCATTTTCCTTCACTAAATTGATGTGATTTACGTTCTAGTCATATCGAAAACATCTTGACGAGGCCATTGCTCAGCATTTTCCAGAGCTTGAGGAGCATCTGAAAGGAGGGCATGCCGAGGTTCAACCCTCTGAGTAACTTTTGATAATAATTTGCTCACTCGTTTTTCTGGTCTTGGTGATGTCAAGTTTTCCTTTCTTGCAGTATAGTGAAATCCATTGCCTCGACCTGATTCTGACATGACTCGTCATGATAGTTGGTCTTCTCCCAACTTCAGTTTCCTGGCCTTGAACCCCAAGAAGCTAGCTGTATCAGAACGCTAGAACGAGGCCTGAAGTCTCTCCTTGCGAAACCAGGCCCTTCAACTGTCTGCGGAAGGTGAGAAGCTGCCGAGATCCCCTCTTCTGAGTCAGTCAGACTGGGATAAGACCGATATTCCAGGCCTCTGCCAGCTTCAGGTAAGGACTCCTTGCCTCTAGTCATTTATTTAAGCAGTTTCACAGCATAATTTTCAAGAGATAAGCATACCGACCCTTCTGATCATCATGACACTCTTCTATACGCAATCGAGAACATAATATGTCCTCCTTAAGCCCCGTCAGATCGTGGTCGACGTCCCTCCGGTGGTCTACACGTCAAATTCTTGAAACGTTTTATGTCGTGTTTTCCGAATCCGGCGCTTATTCCGGTTCTTCGTGTCTGCCTTGCCTATCACAGATGGAGGTTCTGCAGAAGTTCAAGCGAACAGAAATTGCAGCCTGGAGCAGGCACTTATCGTGCCGATAGACGTGCGATCCGTCAAATCTTGTGGGCGGATATGCTTGGGATTGTCCATAATAGTCATCGATGTTACAACTCTTATATTTTTTTCCGGTGAAATGCATGACATGGCAACCATCGGCCATGGCCCTCGACAGCTTTCTATTCTAAGTACATAATCGTCCAACTACAAGCCATTGGCCGCAGTTCCGTCGGTCCAACCTATCACCCTTCTTGATCCCGTTATTATCAAAAGCAACGAGCCTCCGCGCATCCCTTATAGCCGCCACATTCATTCCCCTCGACCCGTTTCCAACTTGACGCCTACAAGGGGAGGCGACTCGAACTTTTCCACTGTCTCCCTCATGACAAACTTTCTGAAGGCATACACCGACCTCACCCCGTCATCTTCCAGGACAAAGTTCTCTGATGTATCCAACAGTATAATCAATGGTGTGTGGGCGTCTTTTCCTTGCCCTGATCCCCGTTTTTGACAATCCGCAGCTCCACCATTTAGCTTCGACAAGGCCTCGCGCACTAGTTTGATCAATGCCATCCTTCAAGATCTCAAGAACTCTGGGCCGAAAGAAAAGCTGACTTCTAAAGGTAATGTCCACTATGCTGTTGGCTTCGTGCTTTTCTAACATTCCGCAGACGCCGCTCAGGCGCTTTTGGCCGTCAAAACGCTCGGGAAAGACCCTTCAGGATCAGCTTATATCGCCTCCAGTGCCAATCTCTCCACACTTCTCAGCTTTGCGGCTACCTTCAAGGACGATCCGGATGCTTCAAGCGAGGCACTGCGATGCATCGCTAACGCCCTTCTCTTAATTGAAAACGCCCGATCAACTTTCATAGAAAAGGAGGTTAACGGAGCAGAGTTATGCCTGACGATGTTGGAGGTGAGTTTTCAGCCAATCCCGGGACCTGTTCGCCTCAGATTGTCTTTTCGTAGAAATCCACGTCCCCAGATCACATCTTCATCTTGTCGCGCATCTTGTTTTTGGCCACAGCCGCTGGAACGTCCCACATTGAGACGATGCTTGAAGGAAAATATCATGGCCGGACTGTGGTTGAAATCCTAACCGCAAAACTCGACTTGATGACGATTAGCATTCGAAACGGGACCCCGACTGCAAAAGAAGCGTTGACCGATCTATTGAAATTTGTGTTCAATCTATTACTGCATTACCCGAAGGTATGCTACGTTATCTGACCGTTTCTGACCGTTTCACGGCGTTCCTAACCACTACTCGTCCTGCGACAGTTGGTCGATTGCGAACCCCAACATTCAGACACCTATGACGATGAGAAGGTTATGGCAGACTATTGGAGCTCTAAACTGGATGGGTATTTTTTCTCCTCTCCCCAATTATTCGGCCGTTAATTATACAACCGAACCAGGCTTCTCCCTCCTCTTTTGCGCGTGTTCCTCAACTTACCTTCCACCTCTCCTGGACCGATTGCTGCCCCACTTACCCACGTAATCCACTCACTAATTACGGTACCACTTACGCCTTCTCTTAAACCTGTTTGGTTCGGACCACCCACCAGCACATCTTCCCGCAACTCAGCCAATAATAGCCCCAAGGCTCGGACCCCTCAACTTAGCGACTCAACTCCCGGTAGTCGCTGCGATTCGCCGACGCCCTCAAATCCCTCTTCTCCGAAACCATCTCCGCTCGATCGAGCTCTTTCAGTTCTTGCTGCTGGTCGACGATCGCTCTCCCTCTCTCGCACGTCGTCTCCCTCCACTAGCACTCCAGGCGACGTTTTACAACGCGCATACGACCTCGTCGAGTCCGCGTTCTCTCATTATTTCCCGGGCACTGTCGAACCTGACGATGCTGAGGTCCGAGAGCGCGCTAAAGCAGAGTGCAGCGATACTCTGGATGACAGCTTGTCGCCCATCGTCGTTCTCGTCACTAGGATCTGCATCGCCGATGAGACGTCAAGAGTGCGGGTTCGCCAATGGCTCATTCCAGATGATTTGGACCGGACCTCGCCTCTTGAACAACGGTCGGACCTATTAGGAAAGTGCCTCCGTATTCTTGGAAGTGTTTATCATTCAAGGTTGAAGGACTCAGTTGGGGAGATGCTCTTTGCGATCGCTGATTCCAATGGTAAGCCTTGCTGCGTCGAATTCCTTCTTGATTTCTAATTGCATCCCTCTCCAGCAACAACCTTGTCCGCTCTCGTCGGTTATGGCAATGTCGCCGGCTTCTTGTTTCACAAAGGCGTCGTGAGCGCACCTGTGCAACCCAGCAGCGACACGAATGTTCCTCTCACAACGCCCTCTGGAGACGCGATTAACCCGATTACAGGCATCAAGGAGCAACCAAAGTCAAATTTGCCCGAGATGGATGATGAAGAAAAGGAACGCGAGATGGAGAAGCTCTTTGTGCTCTTCGACAGGCTGGAGAAGACTGGGGCTCTTCCTGCTGATCAGAACCCTATGCGGAAGGTCGTTCAGAAGAGTATGGGTGGTTGAGATGGTGAGCCTTGTGAAATGCGGTACTATGCATGCCCAACTCTCATTCTGGGTATTTCATCTTGTTGAACATTACTCTATATATATCAATAATCCCTAGTTTTCTTGTGCACGTCTATACCACTACCTTGATGTTTGTGACGAGTAATGACCATTGTTATTGTGCACCCGGACGAAAGATGATTATCTGGTTAAACTACGGAAGTACAAGCAATAGGCTTTGAACACAGAAGAGATCAGGGCGAGATGGTCGTAAAGGAGGGAACATGGGTTATCTCTGCGAATATCGAACATACAGAGTGACATAAACGGGCGGTTGGCTGACATCCAACGAGACAGGAGCAATGAGGACAGCATCTAGAAAGTGATCTTCCTACCTTCGAAAGCGGGGACACCTCTTCCACGACCACCGCGTCCACGACCACCACGGTCGCCTCCGCCACGACCGCGTCCTCCTCCGCGACCTCCACCACGACCACCACGGTCGCCTCCAAATCCTCCGCGACCACCAAATCCTCCGCGACTGCCTCCTCGACCGCCACCACCACCACCACCGTTGGGATCTCTAGGCTGCGAGTAGTCCAGTCGGATGGTTCGGCCCTCGATCTCAGCGCCATTAGATGCCTCGAAGGCCTTCTTCGCACCCTCAGTGTCCTCGAACTCGACGTAGCCGAAGCCCTTGGGCCGTCCAGTCTCCCGATCGGTAGGCAGGCGCACGTTCTTGACGCCATAGTCGTTGAAGAAACTCCAAACGGTGTCCTCCGTGACGCCAAAGCTCAGGTTGCCGACGAAAAGGGTGCTGCTAGGAGGGCTAACCTGGTCGTTGAAGGCCTTTGCACGCTTGTCCCTCGCTTGACTCTTGTCTGGCGCCGTGCTGCGGTCGATGTTGACAGCACGACCATCAATCTCCTTGCCGTTCATTAGCAAGGCTTTCTCAACGGCTTCCGTGGTGGTAAATCGGACGTAGCCAAATCCTCTTGATTTGCCGCTGTCACGGTCCATCTGGACGGTTGCAGATTCGACTTCACCACACTCGGCGAATTCTTGCGCGAGACGGTCGTTGTCCACTGACCACGACAGACGTCCGACGAAGATGGTCTTCGTCTCCTCAGGTGCATCGCCAGTAGCAGCAGCATCGCCATTGGCAAGTTTGACCTTCTTTGGCTGAGGCTGGGCATCGTCAGTAGCCTTCCGTTTTGATGCTAGAGGTAGGGAGATTAGTTACAAGGTCGCTGCTACAGCAGAAATATAACGTACTTCCGTTGACGGCCGGAGCAGGATCTGCCATCTTCACGTCGCCATCATCGTCCTCTGAGTCTGAAGATTCATCATCAGAATCTCCTTCCGAAGACGAAGACGAGGAGGCGGCTTTGGCTTTGGGCGCTGCCTTAACCTTCGTCGCCTTCTCGTCCTCTGAGTCGCTATCGCTGTCGGATTCTGATGACGAGGAAGAAGCGGCTTTGGCCACAGCTTTTGCGGGTGCCACAACTTTTGTGGGTGCAGCAGCCTTGCCAGTTTTGGCGGGTTTCTCATCCTCCGAATCAGAATCGGACGAGTCGGAATCGTCGCTGGACTGGTCCTTTTTGGCGAGTGCTGCTTTGGGAGCAGGTTTCGGGGCGGGTGCTTCATCTTCAGAGGATGGATCGGAAGACGATGACGATGTTTGAGCCTTTTTAGGCGCAGCTTTTGAGGAAGTGGGTTTGGCGGGAACAGCAGCCTTTTTGGAGGCGGGTTCGTCATCGGAATCAGATTCGGACGAGTCTGCGGAGGACGAATTATCCTTTTTGGGGGCAGGTACCTTCTTAGGGGCAGCAGCAGGGAATTTAGTGACCTTCGCCGACGCAGGCTTCTCATCCTCACTGTCGCTCGAGTCGGAGTCGGAAGAGGCGGCAGCCTTTGCGTGGGCAGCCTTCACTTGAGCAGCCTTCGGTTTTTCATCTTCGGAAGAGCTCTCGCTGCTTTCCTCTGGGGAAGAAGCATTCGTGACTTTTTTAGACTATGAAAGATGTGAGTGATTGAAAGATGGTGGAAACAGGGCGATACTACCTTGCCGTTCGTCTCAGGTTTGGTCGGCACAACGGGAGCCTTGGCCTTAGCAGCCTTCTATACGCATTTAAGATAAACACATGAGTTGGTAGAACGAGAGGTGAATATATTGATGTAACTGACCGATGCCTTTTCTAAGATCTCTTTCGAGGGGACGGGGACCTTGGAGGCTGCCTTTTTGGCCGTTTTGTCCTCCTTAGACTTGATTCCAGACGCCGATTTCTTCCTTTCTTTCTTGTCGGATTTGGCCATTGTGAAAAGATGTCGATGTCTCTGCCGGACGGAGTGTAGAGGAAAACAGAAATCCAAAAATTTTCCAATTCGAGAAACACTTTAGGGGAGGTGATCAGTTAGTCACGTGATATATCCGGTCTCCCGGGCCGCTGAGCATTGACCTCCTTCAGCCGCCTTGTGGTTTAATTCCGTCTCCTGCGTCGTTCGACTTTAAGCATTCGCGTGACATTCTCCGCTCTTTTAAAGCTTTGAGACTAATTGCCACATAAATGGAGGAGAGCCAGTTTGATGCTGTCATCTTCGGGACAGGGCTGGTGGAGAGCATGACGGCCGCGTACGCTTTCCCCCAATTCCCAACGCGATCACTCTTTCCCTTACCTCGTTTACCAGTGCCCTATCGAAAGCAGGCTACAAAGTCGCTCACATTGACGTCAATCCCTACTACGGCGGTGACGAAGCGAGTCTTTCGCTCGAGGAGTTTGTACAATGGGCAGATCAAGTATCGAGCTCGAGTTCAGAGCCCTCGAACCCTCCACCTCGTTTCCAACGTGTCTCCCGATCCCCCGAGGTACCCCCTCAATCGCGCCAGTACTCCATATGCCTCCAACCCGCTGTCATACCTTCAACAGGGCCCCTGATCGCGTCGCTAGTGTCCTCTGGGGTGGCCAAATATAGTGGGTTCCGGCTGGTGGACTGTGTCAGCGTGTACGATTCTTCGGGTCGCGTAAAGAGTGTACCAGGGAGCAAGGAGGATATCTTCAAGAGCAAGGAGATTAGCTTGATTGAGAAGAGGCGGTTGATGCGGTTTTTGACATTCGCTGCCGGCGATCTGGAAGGCAGGCAGGAGCTCGAAGGGAAACGGGACACGCCCTTTGTCGAGTTCTTGAAGACGACGTTTACGTTGAGTGACGAGATTGCGAACGTCATTGCATACTCGCTTGCCTATTGCATGTCTGCGACAGGTACGACCCGTGTTCCTTTTGTATCTCCGTCGGTGACACGACCCGTACAACAGAACCGACGTTCCCCACTCTTCGGCGACTGCAGCAATACTTACGATCTGCTGGAAGATATGGGCCGTCACCTTTCTTAATCGGACATTATGGCTGCCTCGGCGACATTGCGCAAGGATTCTGTCGAGCCGCAGCTGTCAGTGGAGCAGTCTACATCTTAGGCAGAAAGGTCACCAACATTTCGCGTGCATTCCTAACGAAGACGGAAGAGAAGGACGATTTTCCCTCCTCATCGGACGAGAAAGAGAAACTAGCTTTTAATTACAACATCGATCTCGAAGATTTCCCCGACACGCTGTCCTGCAACTTAATCATCTCGTCGCCTACATATATTCCGTCGGCTTTGAGAGAAGAAACCCTTCAAGTCCCCTCGCCTTCTCGAGAGTTTGACTCGAACGTATCGTGTCTTGCGCGTTGCGTAGCCATCCTAGATCAAGCCCTCGCGCTCCGAATGCAAGACCCCCAGCCCTCTACGCCAGAACCAACGGAAGAAGACGAAGAAGACTCCCAGACCGCTGAGACTGCACCCAAGGCCGTTGGTGTTGACACGGCGATACTTGTATTTCCGCCTTCGTCTGTTGCAGGAGGCTCCACTGCGCATTCGGCGGCTGTTCTAATCAACGGAGAAGGTAGCCTGTCGACGCCTAGGGACAGATGTAAGCTTTTATGAGCTCTCTTCTCAAGTGATACAGAAATTGACTTGTATACAGGGCTAGTCTACATTACGCTTCCTCTCTCTCAGCAGCCAGAGGCGTCGACATCGGCTGAAGCGCTCCTTAAACCCTACCTGGATGCCTTACTCCTGCTGTCCGCCGATCCCTCTCATTCACCCATTAAGCCACTGTTTACAGCCTTCTACCTTGAGAATCCTGGGCCTCAATTGACTACCCCAGGCTCGTCCATGGACACAGAATCTAGCAGCTACCTTGTTCTAGCGCCTTTACCTTTAGTCTCTCTGCCTGATTTTCCGGACGAGGCAGCTCTGAATGCTGAAAGCACGTTCAAGCAAGCAATTAAGTTTCTGCGGTCCATCAGCAAAGAGAACAAAGAAGATGAGGAGGAGCTTGGTTTCTGGCCACCGTTGCCAGCAGACGAGGATGCCGATGATAATGAATGGTAACCTGCAACGAGTTTGATTTCACTGGACAAACCGTAATGTACGAGTAATTTGATCACTCTTTCCCGTTCTTCACTCTCGTTGCAGCCGAAGCATGAATCTATTAAACTTCGGTAGAAGCAAATTGTACAGATACAACTTTCAGAGCAGCCACACAGTCATTATGAGTCATCTTCATCAAATCTCCGACATCGTAGAATATTGGTTTGCTAACTTTGCTTGGAGGCCATAATGCGCCCACCAGCTGGTATCTAGAGTCTAAGCGGCCATTTCTCTTAGAACCTTGCGCGCTGCACCGTATGGTGTCGAGGAGTTGAGCGAATGCCCAACGCACGCTTGATCTTCGTCATGAGAGGAACATGGGTGCTCCGCCCCTATAATATATCCTCTGGGTCAGAATGTTTTCTGGCCCTTGAATGAGGGGGCCCTTACCATGGCGCGAAGCTCGCGTTTCGCGTGCCTTCTTCCAGCCCGGGTGCTGTTGGGGTTGGCCAAGGCGGCCTCTGGAAATGACAAAATGAAACCTAAAATCAAATAGGAATGGGATATTGACTAACTGTAACCGCCAGCGACGCGATCCTTGTCTTTGCGGTGGAAGAAACCACGACGTTGCGTGCGAACGTGGGTGCTATGGGTAGCAGGGCGACGTGAAAAGAATGACATTATCGTTGATATGTATAGATTGAACTGGGCGCTAAAGGCTTCTGTTGTTTTGCTTTGGGATGTGGGTGATTCTGAGGAACAGGGAACCATTTATGTGTTTCTTTAAATACTTTGGCGTCTGGAGAAGACGACATCATAATACCCCAGAGGTGATGTCAAACACAGTTTCCGTCAACAGGTTGTGGAGAAGGGGGAGCAAAGGTCATCATGACGGCTGTGCATAACGGTTGTGGCGCACCATCTCCGCTGACCGTCCGTTAAAATTTATGCTCCCAACAATCCAATAAAGGAGAAGACAGCAAGCGCCGGGAACGATTCATGCGAGAGATCGGGTAGGACGCACAACTTCCAAAATAGGCACTGCGCCGCGCCCAAGTTGGCTGGCACGTTCGGTGAGTCGATGGTGACGCAGACAATTTTGAACTTGAACACAAACCGCCACCTTCTACGGCCACCTCCAATACCCGCCGCAGTACCGCTTCACGCTCTAAACGCTCTCGTTTCTCATGCAAGCTCTATCTTACACATGTCTCCTACGGCACACCATCGGCCTCACGGAAGACGGTGTGCCCGGAGCAACTGACCTGATCTAGCTTCCGACCGGTTTATCTTGGGGTTATCGAGGGCACATGCTCGCCTTGAGTGGAAAGGCTCCTAACTCGTATTCTGGTCTCCCAGACCTTGTCTTCGATACGTATCCGTTATCGTTCTGTCTCCTTGCTCTCTCACGCAGTTCGCCTCTCCTCTACACGTGTTGTGGAGCGCTCAACCTTGACCTTGTATCCAACCTTCAGGCTTTAGGACACTCGCCTGTTCAGGATCTAGCTATTCTTATCTCAGGAAACCCGCATACTGCGTTCCACTGAAGAGCAGATTTTCGCCAAAGTTCGAATTGCGCTACAGTGGTGCTCATGGACAAACTCAATGCTACACTCGAAGATTTGTCTACAAGGCTATCGAGCGACCTGCCCGAATTGCTCTCTCCAACTACCCTTTCTCTCGGACTGCTGGCGATAACAGCCCTGGTCATATTCCGTAAATCCATGCCGCCCCAACGTCCTGCGACGGCTGCAGTCAATGAAACCAGGGATGGTGCTAGAACCCTTTCTTCCGGCACCAGGACCAGCCCCAAACACGACACGACTCAGGAGCATGTCGACATGAACAAGGATCGGGATTTCGGAGGTAAGTGAGTTCAGAGTTAAATAAGCCTCTCCCTGGCCTGCTATGATCGAACGCTCATATCGGCGTCCTAACATTCGCCTTCCTCACCTCCCTGTTCACCCTTTCTATTATAGACTGGACCCCTGTTCAATTCCGCTACCCCTCAATCGAAGCTTGTACTTCCAAGCTCGTCGATGTCAAGCCTATACCTTACAGACCCTTCCGGTGGGGTACCTATTAGTACGTCCATCTCTTCGTCCCATCCCTTCTCCAGGGTTAGGTAAAGTTTGCTCACTCTTATGCTCGCTCCGATTGCCTTTCTATCGTGCAGTGTGACGATGGGAATCCGCAGCATGCCCTGGAACGATTGGATAGAGGTAAGGTCTTTCCTTCATCTCGCTTAGCTGGCCCTATTCTAACTTGAACGTCCGGCCGGTCTCTGCCAATTCGTGTTTTCTAGCTCGACAGGGACCACCAATCGTACCACCGAATCAAGGCTCACAGGATCCAGACGCGCGGCGACAAGGTTATCCGCGTTCTGCGAGGCGAAGGCAACCCGAACGCTGGCTCGGTGCGGGACGGTGTGGAGGCGGGTGAGTGTAGAATTCCCCCAAAGTTCTCTTTTTCGTTGGTTCTCCACCCCATTGGCCTGAGTGCCTTGGTCTTGGTCTTGGTCTTGTGCGCGGGGGGCTCCAACCTTTACCACGCACAAGTTTCTCCACTCTTCGCTTTCCTTGCTCTCTTCAGGCTCGAAGTTGGAGCACGCCAGCTGACGCTTCTTCTTTCCAGCCGTCGAACTCGTGCACGAACTTGCCGAGTACCTTTCGCGTCGATACCCCGGCGAGTTCCAGATCGTCAGGCATGCACAGCGCGTCGCATCTTCGCCCGAACAAGAACTCGAAGGAGGTGCCACGCCGTTTGCCGACTGGGGCTGGTACGGCCTGCCCGCCATCAAGAGCATCTACATCACCTCTCTCGGCGTGTCCTTTACCCTTCCGCTTTCCGTGGCGGACGGGGATCGAGCACCAGAGCGCGCCATGGAGATCGCAGGGCTTTTGTACGTGCCATTCCCTCCTTGATCACCCACCTTCGACCTTCACCGGTGCACCATTCACCCTTCTTTACTCTTCCCTCTTTCGTTGGTCTCCCTTTTGCGCTAATGGCTTGGTTATGGGTGTACCATTACGCGACTCTGACTGACACGACTTTATCGTTCTTCCGTGGATCAGGATCCAGGACGATTTAGCATTGATGATAGAAGGTGCGTTCTTCCTTTTCCTTCCCAGCCCAAACAGGGCACCTGCTCTTCCTGTTTTGCTTTTGCCTCCTCCGCTTCTGCCGCGAGTCGCTCGCAGATCCCGTCACGGCTACTGCTACGGCTACGCGGCTACGTCGACGACGGCTATGGCTGAGCGTACGGCATGGGACGAAACGGGCAATAGACCTTTATAGCAGCGATTGCTTACGGCTCCTCGCGACTCCCTTGCTAACTCTGTTATCTCCTAGGTGTCGACGGGAAGTACTACTTCCAAGCGGGCTCGATTTGCTTGCCAGGTGAGCCCCTGATAACATTAATTATTCATTGCTCTTCGCTATATTGCACTGCGTTTGCGGGTCAGTGGGCGGCGGGTCGGCGGTCTCAAATAGCTGACTTTGGGTTGGTGGGATGGTCGATTAGGCGCTTGGCTGGTCGGCCGGTTGGTTGGGTAGCTGGGTTACGTGCAATTAGCGGCGGCCCACGACAAGTGACTTGTGAAGACTCGCAACATTCCGAGTCCGAGTCCGAGTTGCACCCACGCCTGCCTACCTACGCGACTCTATTTTTCGCTCTGGCACGTAATCTGAGCATCTAAGCAGAGGTTCTCTCACTCTCTTTCCCTGCCATTGCCTGTTTTTACCTTCTTTCTGTTTCTGTCTCCGTTTCCTGTGACTTGACTTGACAAGGGATGCTAATATCCCTTTTCATTTCCCCGGTCCCAGGTTTTTGGCGACTGCAAGATAAAATTGGGCTGCCGTTGGACGACATCCATCTGACAGGGAATGTCCCGCAATGTGAGTTATCTATCTCTGTCTGTAATCTCACTCTTCGAGTTCGGAGTGCTTTTCTTCTTTCATTGTGCACCGCTATTCCATTTGTTTCGTGTTTCAGTTCTTGTTTTCATTTTCGTCTTTGATGATCCGGCTTCTGCTCGAGCAGTGCTCCATCCTGCCCCAGCAGAGCGTCGCCCCAGCTCAGCCCTCATCTCCAGTGTTCACGACTCGGAGACTCGGCACTGACAGCCCACCACGCCTATTTTGTCCCGTCTTCGGCTTCGTTTTCCCCATCGTAACCCCCACACCCTATCTATCCCAGGCTATCTGCCTTCTCTTTCTCTGGATAAACATCGCAGCTCAGCTGCCCTGGGTGTCCCCGATTGGCCATGCCTGCAGTTCTTTGATCGGCCACGTTTTCCTGGCATGTCGTCACTGACAGTGTCCATATGTAAAGAGAGAATGGGGGCAATGGTGGGTTTGTGATTGGGTTTAGGGAAAAACACATCGTCCCGCGTTGGGCGTTAGCTTCTTTCCTGTGTTCTGTGTCGCTTTTTTGACGTGATGGCGACTTGGCGGGACCTGGGTATCGACCACTGGGTCTGTCAGTGACACTGTGTTCGGCCGGGGGTGGCACTGGCAGAAGAGAAGGTGAATGACAGTGCATGGGATGGGATCTGTGGCAGCATGACCCCTCGAGAGGGTCCGAGCCCAGCCAGCTTCAGCGTATTTGAGCTGTCGGGATGCTCGCATATTGCTGGCTTCTGATGTACTGGCTGGTGGCTGGCTGGGGATAGGGAGGCTGGGTATGTCTGGCTGGGTTCGCGCCTGTACATGCGTGTGTGTGTGGGCTTGTCATTCCGACTCCCGAGGCCAGAAGCGGAGGAAGATGAAAAGGGGACATTGTCATTGGGGACCGGTGACCACAGAGCAATCGTGTTACAAAATTATGGCGCACAATTGCCGATCTTGCGGCGATCTCCTCGAAGGAGATGATGATGGTGTAGATGATGAAGGTGATGATGGGCCCAGTGGAGGAGGGCTTTTGGGAGGCGTTTAACTTGAAGTGCGTATGCGATGCGCGATGCGTCACTGCCCTTCCGCGGAAGGCGTCCTTCAAGTTCAAACGGGAGGCGCGACGTGTTTCGGGGAGCGTTTGGACAGTGGATATCCCGCGCAGATCAATTGATTTGACTTTTGGGCCGTGACGTCTTTTTGCTGCATGGGGTCATGCGGACGATAAAGCGATACGTGGTGAACTGATAACGAAACACAGACAGGGAACGGTTGCAAGCCAGTTTAGAACGGTTCTTTCGACGTCTGCCGGTGGACAAGCCAGTGATTCGGAACAACTATTTTTTCCAGACGAACGCGAATGTGGACCCAGACACGGTGGATCCAGAGGAGGTCGGGTGGGCGAAAAGCACGCTTGGCGCGGAGGACGGATATGAGCACGGAAGCGGGACACATGGGTCGGGGAATCAGAATGGAGCGCGGGAATTGGAAACGACGGTGGACGCGATAAGGCTGCGGTCGGAGCGGCAGACGCTTCGGCGGCTCCCGCGCAGTGGTGCGGTTGTGTTCACGATTCGGACATACTTGACGCGGATTGTGGACCTGGGGCAGGAGAAGGGCGTTCCGGGGCGGATGGCGAGCGCGCTTCGGAGCTGGACGCCGGACGTGGCGGGGTACAAGGGGCGGGAGCGCGGCGGGTGGTGGGGGCCGCTCCTGGCGTACCTCGACGAGCAGCACGGTGCGCAGGTGGCGCGTGGGGAGGTGGGGGCGGGAGAGGAGAAGGATGACGGGGCGCGGTATCCTCTGTGATTAGAGAGTCGCGTGCACGGAGGTCATTTGGGCAAATGAACCGGGCGTGGGAAGATGCATTAGAGATCTGGTGCAGGGTGGAGCATATTCAAACTCCGCGAGGGGGCGAGGACCACACGGGATGGGCGACTGTGGAACTGGGACTGGCAAGGAGGGGATGAGGATGGGCGGGGGCGGGGATGGGTCGGGTCGTGGATGACGCCAGGATGAGGCGGGGGACCAGGGAGAGATCAGGCACATCAAAGGAAGGTCTAGGCATCAAATAGCACCAAACAGTGACGAAGGAATATAACCTGTCTACGTCAGCGGTCGTCATTTTGTTTAGGACCCCCAACGTCGTCACTGCAATGTCTCCGAAGAGCCGTTCTCGCTCTCCCCCGCCCGACGCTGCTCAGAACCGGCCCAGACCTCCCACACGCCAGACCCGCTCCGACTTCTACCTCGAGCCGAACCCCTTCGAGGAGTCCTTCAAGACGCCCTCCAATGTACGCAACTCGTCCCCGAGCCCCCACAAGGACGGCGACAGCCCCGACCCAAAGCCCGCCCCCAATCAGGACGACCAGGACCGCCCCCAATCCCGCTCAGACTCGCGCGGCTCCCAGCACCGCAGCGCGTCCCCCTCCCGCCCCGTCCTCCCCCCGCTCGCCTCCATATCGTCCCCCGCCGCCGGCGCTTATGCCTGGGGCTACAGCCAGAACTCCATCAACTCCCTCCGCTCAGGCCCGCTTTCTCCCGCCATGCTAGCAGGCCCGCAGGCAGCAGAGCAGCCTGCGCATATCGGTTTCGACCCTACCACATTCCGCACGGGCCTCACACCCCGCACAGGTCTCACCCCCCGCACCGGTCTCACTCCAGGGACTGGCCTCACCCCGCTCGTCGGCGGCTTCCCCCCGCCCTCCCCCAACACCGCCGCCTTCCTTGCTCTCATGAACGGCAACGGCAATGCCGCTCCTCCGTCTGGTCCGACCATTACGCCCAACACCCTCAACGCCCTCTCGGGTGTCCTCAACAACAACTCGTACTCGAATGGCAATGCCATGCCTTCAAATACTGCGCCCAGCCACCCGCAAGAGAGTACCAACTCGTCATACATTCCGACTGCTACCAGCGCAGCCAGCGCACATGCAAACGGCCTCTTCCTTCTCTCCCAAGCTCATCAGGAGCTCGAGAAGCGCGAGGAGGAAGCCCAAGCTCGCGCAGGCAATCCCCCTTCCAACACCTCCAACACAACAACCAACGGAGCCTCATCGAATGGCCCCAAGCGGGGTTCCAAGCGCAAGTCATACGAGACCATGTCGCCTCCACCCTCAAGCACAACGACACAATCAACTCGCAATGGTACCGCCAAGCGTTCGCGGGCAACCAACGGACGCCAAAAGACCAGCCCGCGTGGTATATCGGAAGAATACGACGAGGACGAAGAGGCCGATGACGACGACGGTGCTGAGGACGACGCCGCGATGGAGCAAGCGAACGGCACTACCGGTCGCCGGTCCACAAAAAAGCCAGAGACGGAAGAAGAAAAACGCAAGAACTTCCTCGAGCGGAATCGGCAAGGTGCACCTCTCCCGTATCGCCTGCATGTATGCGCAATGCTCATCATTTTCCAGCCGCACTCAAGTGCCGACAACGCAAAAAAGCGTGGCTCACCCAGCTGCAGGCCAAGGTCGAATATCTCAGCCAGGAGAACGAGCGGCTCACGGCAGCGCTTATCTCGTCGAGGGACGAGATTTCGAGGCTGTCTGCCCTGGTGGGAGGTGCAGGCGTCGTTGGCTCGGTGCCCATGTCCGTGGGTGTCAACGGCGTAGGCGGGCCTGGCGTCCAGCCCGTCAGCATGAACGTCAGCATCTCAGGCAAGTCGAACGGTGCACCTGCGGTCTCGGGCCCAGGAGGAGGTCGGTCGTCGGGGTACGGGTATTGAGACAGAACTGAGACCCTGACCCGACCCGGGATAGAGTCGACTTTTCCCGATGCACTTGTGCGTTAGACCAAAATCGCAAAACGTCACCCGCCAGCCCTCAGGATACATACAAGCCTGCTTGCTTGCTCGCAGCGGAGCGCTTCCTCGATGCCCGCAGGGTCGGGTGTTCGACGAGGCGCTCTGCCATGTAGCACCAGCACCCAACGTCCGACATCCGCAAACCCATTGCTCGTTCGCCCGCTCATCCATACACGACGACCATTATACTCACGAACCGAAAAACATGTACTATTTGATGTCTACATTATTCGCGCCTATACACTGTCCCATTGCTCATTCCTAGCCTGCTCTCCCCCCCTCTGCCTCTACCTACGCATCCGCCACATCCCTCCTCCATTCCACTACACCCCAAATTGTCCGCACTCCCCCATGGCATCGCGCATTGTGCAGCTCCTTTGTCAGTCAACCTGCTCTCGCTCTGCTTCTTGATTCGCGACTCTTTACGACCTCTTTTCCTTTACCTTTGCTTTCTGTTTTCTGTTTTTCTTGGGCGGTGGACAGTATTAACGTGCATACACGTACTTTTTCGCTTCGTGCTGTGTGAAATTTTGTATCTAGCTGCTTGTGTTACATCTCAATTTTTTTCTACGTGACGATGCGGTGCCATTTTGTTGACGGCGCATACACGAGCGTTTTTCCGACCCTCTCCATTTCGTGTAGGCATCCCGATGACAGACGGGCGAATGAGATATCAAAATCAAAAACATACGGGTTTCAAAACATACGGCTATACGGCTATAAAGCCAGTGTACTGGCAGTACCGTACTATTGTACATACAGGACTGACATAGGCTTTATGATCATAGGGTGGTCAAACCATGATGAAGCCGGCGAGCCTGTGAGCCCGCGGAGCGTCCATTGTAGCTGAAGGAGCTCGAGAATCCTCCTTCATAGTTCCTACATACGCACGAGGGGCTGGCTCTGCCTTCATCCCTCCGTTGAGTCTCTGTTCCGCTCTGATCGATGTGTCATCGCGCAATGGCGCTTCTATCATTGGTTCCTTAGCATGCCGTGTCTGCGTGCGTCGTGCCCTGGTCGGGTGCCTTCAGGACTCCTTCGGGTCCCTGTTGCCCGCCGTGTATTCCGGCCAAGGGCTCGTCGAGACTGTGCTCGACCGTAGGCCTTCGCGGTGTTTGCAAAAAAAAAATTCGGTTCTTTGTCAGTGGAAAAGTAGCCGAAACCAATCGATCTCCACCCGCACGCTCGAGGCCCAACGTTAGTGAAGCAGAACATCGCGCATGTGCAAAGACGGGATTGGCGAGACGAGGCGAGACACCGAACACCAGGGAAGTTGGAATACTGTAGAGCAGATAAGACATCGCTTGAGCCTTGTATTCTAAGTAAGTTTGGGTAGATACAAAGTCAGAGCTTCCAAGGAAAGTAGATGGGGTCAATGAACGCAAGTGCCCGGAGCGCATCCGCATGGGTCGATGGCCATGTATGTACTGGGATGGCAGTGAGAGGATTGGAGCCGGGGAATGATGAAAAAGTCGACAGTCAAAAATAGCGGTCGGGAGCGACATGGATCGCCATAGTTTAGTTTAAGCTTGTCAGAGGAGGCATCGAAAGATAGGACCTGCCGATATGCGCTTAGCCTCTCATCCATACCAATACTCGTACTTCCATGCCGTCGTTCAAACTCGAGTCTAAAACCGACTCTCGACGACGCTCGCATCCAGTGTCTCTATCCGTTCACTTCCCATTTCCGTCCGGCGTCCATCTCTATCACCGGCTGCGGACAAGGGCTCGATGACGCGCATGTGCAACAAAAAGGCATGTGTGGCGGCATCAATGACGACGGCGATGCACCAATGTGGCGCCAAGGCTGGGCGCTGTTGGGACCGGGGCCTGATCATCATGTTCATCATCGAGGATATTGTTTGAGTCTGATTAATGATTGTTGGACACTGAATGTGGACGCTGACGCGCCTATGCGTGCACTGCAATATGATGCCAAAATCGTGATTCACTGGATCACGGGGGGCCATACCAGGGCGCTTAACAGCACCGTATCCCCGCATCCGCGTTTAACGTGTCCGCCTCAAATCCGACCTTTCAGTGTTTCGACAGCGTCGGCCTCAGTGGTTCGTGTCTGGACCCCTTCATCGCGAAGACTGGGTGTGGAGTGGGGATGGGACTGCGGCACTGGGGGGTACGAGATGAATATCCGAGATGAAGCCTTCGGTTCTTGGACATGACTTTCCATGCTAGAACTTGGGAAGGTTATGTTGGCCCAGATTTGCTGTATTTCCGTAATGCTGAACCAGGGTATGAATGTGGATGCCGATCAGATTAGATTGTCTGATGCTAGGGTGTTACACCTCATCTGTAAGGGGGATGCCCAGGGACCGGACAATCATCCGGCGATCCAACCGGACTCGACGAGAGCCAGTGTCACCATCTTTTGTCGATGAAAGACTTGCGATAGGGCTATTCGCGTTTCACCAACACCCTCAGGTCAAAAGATTCCTTTGTTTTTGTTTCTTGTTCGGCACAGGGTCTTCACCTCAGCCTCCTTCCCATAGCCTGTCATCAAGTACTTTGTCCTAACCGCCGAGCTGCCTTGACATAGGAAGATGAAAGTGTTCTGAATCTGAATCTTTTCTCGCAAGCTAGGCGCAGGATTTTTTCGTCGGTTATGAAGGCTGGACATACTCGTCTGCGCCATCATAAGATCTCGGCACAACAGATCTGTTGCCCGCAATTCTTTGTTGGTTATTTCGTCAACATAATGTCGAGAAAGGGAAGAACCCAATCACGGCCTGCTACGATTGTTCCGGAGATCCGGGGCACCAGAGTGGATTTCTGCAACTTGTGCACTCTCTAACCCTCTTTTGTGTAGATGAAATCTAATGTCCCAGCCCATCGTCAACTTACAGAATACAAAAATCTAGAACGAGGGCTATACCATTAAGACGACCAAGGAGGATCTACGGCTCTTCTCGGAGGTCTGAAATACCTTCCTGACATCACCTTCCGAGAACGCGTTCGAAATGCCTCCTTGCTTCGAGGCATTGAGCAAAAATAAACGCCTCTGCTCGTGACCCGAGCTTCTTCGACCGAGTGGCCCGCAGATGTGCTACTTACGAATGTACCCTGTCGTTCATCTCAGCAGTGTACGGTGCTAGACCTTTGGCAACAGATTGATGCGACGTCGTCGCCGACATTCGCAGAAGTTAACTCCTCGGGCTGAGGATGTAGAGAACAAACCGCTTTTCCAACATGAATGCTCTTCAGCTGCATTCAGCAGACTGAAAACACGCGTGTCGGTCCGCTCTGGCTTCGATCACGAAGAAAGCGGCTGCCTTCTGGCGGCAGTACCCCACGACTTGAAATCGTGGTCTTCGCCTTCGAACGTCCTTCGACGCGCTTTCTTGCCCGCAATTTCACCTTCAGCGGACCGTCCACACCTAACTCGTGATACAGCGAAGGAGTTTGCGTCCCGTTGTGCATGTGGTTACTTTGTAAGACGCCCTTCTGCGACGAACAAGATGCTCGGGGCCAGCGCATGACCCCGTCCATGACCCAAGACCTGGGAGGTGGTTCGCGCATATAAAACATCTGCAACGGTGCGAAACAGGCGAGAGACACTCAACCATGTTTCTGCCCTCTGTTGAAGCATTTGTAGCGCTTGCCTATTTTCTCCGGGGTACGACGGCTGCCCTATATGGCTTCCCAGACTGCACGATTACCCCGCTGAAGGACAATGCAGTTTGCGACACCACCAAGGATGCTATTACTCGTGCCCGAGCGATCGTCGAGCTCTTCACGGTCGAGGAATTGATAAACAACACCGTCAATACAGCACCAGGGGTTCCTCGTCTTGGCCTTGCTCCATACCAATGGTGGTCGGAGGCCTTGGTAAATCCTTTTCCCCCCTAGAGTTGCCTTTTGCTGAAAGAACACCGGATAGCATGGCGTCGCCAGTAGCCCTGGGGTTACCTTCGCCCCGTCTGGAAACTTCAGTTCAGCGACCTCCTTCCCACAACCGATTACGATGGGAGCTGCCTTCGACGACGAGCTCATCAAAGAAGTCGCGGCTGTCATCAGCACGGAGGCACGGGCGTTCAACAATTTCGGCTTTGCAGGCATCGATTATTTCACCCCAAACATCAACCCGTTTAAAGATCCTCGCTGGGGCAGAGGTCAAGAAACACCCGGCGAAGACCCGTTCCACATCCAGCAATACGTCCGTAGCCTCATCCCAGGACTCCAAGGAGGCATCGATCCAAAGCCATACATCAAAATTATCGCCGACTGCAAGCATTTCTCCTCCTACGACATGGAGAACTGGAATGGGAACAACCGTATGGGATTCGACGCGATTGTGACGCCGCAAGATTTGGCCGAGTATTACTCCCCGCCTTTTCAGACCTGCGTACGCGACACCAAGGTGTCGTCCGTCATGTGCAGCTACAATGCAGTCAACGGCATTCCGTCCTGCGCCAACTCGTATCTCTTGCAGACGATTTTGCGTGATCACTGGAGCTTCAACGACGATGGGAGATGGGTTACTGGAGATTGTGGCGCGGTCGCGAATATCTTCATACCGCACAACTATACCACCAATTTTGTGCAGGCGGCGGCCCTTGCGTTGAAGGCGGGCACAGACACGGACTGTGGTAACACATATGCGCAATACCTCCCACAGGCGTACGCGCAGGGTTTGGTCTCCAGAGACGACCTAGAGAGGGCAATGGTCCGATTGTTCTCTTCTCTCGTCCGGTGCGGCATCGTTCTGGGACCAATATTCGCGTTGTATTCTGATCAATTTCTGCAGACTTGGATATTTCGATCCGGCGGAGAGGCAGCCGTACCGACAATTGACGTGGTCGGATGTGAATACTCCAAGTGCCCAAGCACTCGCACATCGGGCTGCGCTTGAGGGGACGGTCTTGTTGAAAAATGACGGTGTTCTTCCATTCAAGGAAACGATTCAAAAGCTTGCGTTTATTGGGCCATGGGCCAACGGGACTGACCAAATGCAAGGGAACTATCACGGTGTTGCACCGTTCCTCGTCAGCCCCCTTCAAGGCGCCATCAATGCTGGATTCGAAGTCACATACGCCCCCGGAACAGTAACAATCGATTCAACGTCGAGAGATGGATTCAGGTCGGCAATTGCCACTGCAGAGGCTGCAGATGCTATTGTGTTCACTGGCGGGATCGACGAGCTGGTCATTGAACGAGAGGGAAGAGATCGCATGAATATTAGCTGGCCAGGCGTTCAGCTTGATCTCATTCTTGAGCTCAGCAAGTTGGAAAAACCGCTGGTCGTTGTCCAGTATGGAGGTGGGCAGGTCGATGGTACTGCACTAAAGAATAGCGAAGAGGTCAGCGTACCGGTCACTGAATGTTCAGAGCTTTCACTTACCTTGTCGTTTTGTGTGCAGGTCAATGCCATCCTATGGGGCGGGTATCCAGGTCAAAGTGGTGGGACTGTGTTGGCCGACGTCTTGGCCGGCAAGGCTGCTCCTGCTGGGCGTCTTCCGACGACACAATATGTTGCCGATTACGTAGACCAAGTGCCCATGACCGACATGACACTACGTCCAAGCAGCACCAACCCAGGCCGAACATACAAATGGTACACAGGCGCCCCAGTCTTCGAGTTTGGATTCGGTCTTCACTATACAAACTTCGCACTGAACTGGCAGCGTCGACCTGGAGCGAGGTACCAGATTCCACAAGGCCTTTCTTTGGCCAAGAAGGACCTCGATCTCAACCCCTTTGACACCTTCAACGTCGTGGTTAAGAACACGGGTCAAGTCACTTCTGACTATGTCGCCCTCCTCTTCCTCAGCGGCAACGGTGGACCAGCGCCACATCCCAACAAGGAGCTCGTGTCGTATGTGCGGCTCCACCAAATCAAGCCAGGAGGACAGGCTGTTGCGAATTTGAAGGTTAACCTTGGCTCTATGGCCCGTGCGGACGAGAAGGGCAATTTCTGGGTGTATAGCGGGTCGTACAAGCTGACCGTTGATGTGGGCTCAGGTGCAACCCCTCTCACCCATGACTTCGTATTGCAAGGCAAGTCGGTTCAGATTTCGGAGTGGCCGCAGGACGCGTCGTAAAAGTAACTCGCAGTCAATGTTTTGTCGCAAATACATGGCGAACGTTTTTTTGAATCGAGAAATGTTGTGGCGCGAGGATGAAAGACAGATGAAGTGAATATTTGGTGAATGGGTGAGTGGAATGAACGCTTCGGCATTCGGCGTTAACAGGAGCAAGTCGGAAGTTGCCGGTTGAATCTCTCGCCGCCGCCGTTACTTTCCTTCACGAGTTTGCCATCCTATACTTCGCCCTTAGAGTGAGCCAATCCACGTTTGCTCATCGTCTCTTCGTGTCTGACAATCCAGCAGACCATGGCGTCAAAAGCAGCAGCTGTGGCGGTTGTAGGCAACCCTCCAGCATCGTGCATTCTGACACGTCTCTGACTATTAATTCCCGTCGCAGGACTTCGCCCGCATCTACTCTTCTCTTGGACTCGGAAAGGGTTTGTCAACCATCAAAATACAGCGAACCTGCTACTTATACTCCTTCAGAGACCGTTTCCTCCCTTCAGGCCTTCCGGAAGCGCCACAGCGACGCACAGCGTCTCAACAACACCTACAACAACCTCCCCACCACCGTCAACTTCGAGCACTACCGCTCCGTCCTCAATAACAAGGCGATCGTCGATGAGGCTGAGAAGCTCTTGAAGGACTTCAAGCCTGTGTCCTACGATGTTGGTGCCCATATCAAGGCCATTGAGACGTTCGAGGCTAAGGCGGTATGTTGGCCCCTTCATCACTTGCATGCCCTTTGCTCATGGTTGGGTTCCATAGGTCGCCAAGGCAAAGGAGACCGAACAGAAAATTGACGTTGAGCTCAAGCAGCTTCAGGAGACCCTTGCCAACATCGAGGAGGCTCGTCCTTTCGATCAACTAACGGTGCGTTGTCGCGACCGTTCCCCCGATGATCTTCATTTCTTATCTTTGCTCTCAGGTGGATGACGTTGCCAAGGCTCACCCCCGTATCGTTGAAACTGTCGAGACCATGCTTAAGAAGGGCAAATGGACAGTGCCAGGTTCGTCCGCGGCATCTTGTTGTCATCTCCCACTTACCCCTCACCTTTCTCTCAGGTTACAAGGAGAAGTTCGGCGACCTCAACCTCATGTAATCAACTTCACTCCCTTAGAATACAATTGCGCAATCGGTCCAGGAATATCATTATTTTTCTGACCATCAGGATGTTACAACGTGGACTATTTTCGATGTAGAGAGGAACGTGTTTACTGTGTGAGAGGAAGGCCGCATTCACGATTAGTATGCACCAGGGCGAGGTGCCCAAGCGGGAGTCGGAATGTTGACGACAGGTTGCATGCTGCTCTCCACTCTGGCCGTCAACTGTAGGTTCAAGGAATCGAGCTTCGCTCCTTCGGATCCTGTGGCCCAGAGAGAAACAGCCAAAGTGTTCTCACCCTTGTAATTGAGGACACCTTGGGCTACACCGCGATGTAAGCCCCGCTGCGCAAGATATGGTAATGGTGAGATGAAGACTTACGGACGGGAAACAATTTCTGTGGACCAATGTGGTTGACTCCAATTCCCTTAAGATTTTTGTGCTATGAGGAGGGGAAGAGAAGAAGCTCACTGTATTTTCCAAACTGATAGCCATTCACGTAGAACTGGATTCTGGTGTCAACACCCGTAAGAGCAGACGCAACAGTCGGACAAACCTGAGCCCGGAAGTGCGGGTTGGTCGTGGAGTTCGTAGTGACGAGTGCCAAGGGATAGTCAACACCGTTGGGCACGTTCAGATTGAATTTAGTCCTATAAAAGTAATAAGACACCGTCTTGGTCTTCAAAAAGTTGTTTTTACCTGTAGAAACTGACGCCAGGGGCAGAGATTCCAGCAGTCGGCGATCCTGAATCCCAAGACGCATCGTTGAACCCAGGCAAGTGCCATCCTGAAGGACAGCATATATCAGCATGAATTTAGTTTGCATCTCGTGAAATGCGAACTGACCCTGTCTTTCGGCGAATAGACCACCCTCGTTGAGTGCTCCGCGAACTTTGTCAATGTACTATAAAACCACGACCGTCAGGAAAGAGAAGAGATGATAAGATCAAGGAAGACTCACATCCTCGCCGCCGAGGTTACCTGTTACTTTCCAAGTCGTGACCGTCGTAGTCGAGCTTCCGATGAACGAGTAGCTCAAAAGCCCTCGTGGCGCCTTGAAGGTCTCGCTAGCAGCAACCCAATCCTCTTCATAGCCCATGTGGTCCTGAAGAAGGGTGATGATATGGTTGGAACCTGCCACCAACGTCGCTGGGAAGTTGAAAGTGCCTTCAAACTCATTGCGTGGCGCATTTCCTTCCCAGGAGCCGATGAAAGTGGAATCGAGCCAGACGGAATAAGCGAAGGCAGCTCCGCCTATAACTCGGGCTCTGAAACCAGTCTCGGAGCCCGTCGCGGTGAAGTGGGCCCGCCAGAGGATGTTCCCGGTGTGGTAGCCGTATTCGCCAGAGTAAAGGACGACGGGCGTCGCAAGACCAGAAGGATTGTCAGTGGTTATAAGGTCAGCTACAGTCCATACATCGTCGGAATACGTAGAAGCAATTTCGGGCAAGCTGTTCGCAGCTTTCTACAGCTTCGTCAGCTTCGTTAGCTTCGAAATAGTGAAATTAACCCTTACCCATGAGAGAGAAGACAAGTCTGGAATAGACACAGGCGGCAAGGTGGCGGCCCTCCTCGCAGTCAAAGTGCCGTACGAAGTCTTGGAGAGGGCCAAAGGAGCTCCGTTGAAGGTAACCCTATTGGAAGCTGCAGTTGGAGCAATGATCTCGAAGTTTGCAGTGTTGTTGAGGTCTCCTGTGATTGCTAGGGTACGACCGTTGATGTTGACCGAGCGAAGGAGGTAGCCTCCCTTAATAATAATTGAGTTCTCGGTGTTGTAGGCCGCATAAGGACCGGATGTTGGTGGGTGAAGGACCCAGAACTGGTAAGCCTCGCCTCGCTCTGTTTGCTGGATCAGTTCAAAGGATACGAAGTTAATGGGCAGGACGCACCAAGGATGTAGAGACGAGTGCTTCCAACGTCCACGACTGATTGGCCTGTGGTAGTGTATTGCAGAGCCAAAGCGCCACCATCGAGGACCTTCTGCTTGATCGTCGCAGAACCAGAAACAACCGTGACAGTAGGTGCGGTTAAGCCCTCGAACTTAATTGCAGTCTCATGCAGCTCTCCCTCACTGCCGTAAAGGAGAATGATATCTCGTCCGTCGATGGTTGCCCTTGAGTTGGGTTGGGCGAAAAGCTCCAGAGTGTAGACCGATCGTGACTTACCAGGTCATAATCTCGCCAGTCGAGTAAACGAGTGTCGTAGATCCGGCAGCGTAATCAACTACATGAATCTTAGAATCCTTGCCATTGAGCGCAAGAGAACCGCCAAGCGTCGGGATGGCCAAAGTACCGAGGCTGGTTGGCAGGGTCAAAGTGTAGGTTCGAAGGGCGTTCGATGACGCGTCGGCTTGCCTACAACATATTAATTACTTGAAGAGCTCATGGAGGAAGCGAAGAAAAACGATATGCCTGACGACGTAGAATCCAGTCTTACCGCCAACCTCGTCTAACACTTGGGTCGTCTTCAAGGCAGAGTTTCCAGTGAAGGAGCCTTGCGAGCTGCCGATGTTTATGGGCCTTGTCGTGAGGTATGCGGGAGAGACTGCCAAGAAGTTGGCTTGCAGCTTGAGTTCGTAGTACTTCTCGCGCAAGGTACGATCTTCTGCTATAGCCGAGCCCTGTTCCATGGTGTCAAAACTGAACGCAAAATGCAGAAGGAAAAAAGGCATACGTAGTCGTAAGAGGTGTAAACACCTGGTCGGTCGTCAGCTTCCATAAGATCACGAAAGTAGTACTTCTATGCACTGACCTGGATGCGCAATTCCTCCCCAGTTCGTTCCACCATGTATCATATACAAATTCAAAACTGTTGTCGACATGGCGTATTCATTCTTGTAGAAAACTGGACAACAACCAATAAGCACACGACTCGCTAACGAGACAAGGGCCAACTGACCTCTTTCAAACTCTGGTCCAGTAAGAATCGCGCACGTAGGATAGCCAGATCCACCCCTAGACGCAGAGTTAGCGCACGAGCGGCGCTCGACGGCATATTTGCTTACCATCCGTCAAAAGCGCCAGCCTGGAATTCGTATACGGCGTTGGCGATGTTCGGGGTGTATTGCATATGGGCACCCCAGAACCATTCCGGAACAGCACCAGAGGCCCAAGTGTAAGGACGCGAGCAGTCGAATCCATTGGGGTAGGAGTCGTAGCCGTAGATATCGACCATTGTGTAGTGACCTCCGGGCCATGCATCATTGGTAATGATTGGAACAGTAATACCACTGTCGATCTATCGGAGAAACGCGTTCATTGTCAGGCAATTGGCTAGATAATAGTATACGCACAATATCTTGCATGAGCCTAGCCTCATACACGAAATCCTCGCTATATGGCGCCGCCCACCCACTGTACTCGTTCTCGGACTGGGCAGACTGTTAGGTATGATGACGAATGAGGAAGGACGGTGTATGTACTTGAACCAAAATGACCGGCCCTCCTTTCGTGATTTCATTCTTGGCAATTACAGCACCAACTGCCTTGATGTAGCCCTGATATGCCTCGATGTAGGTGGTGTTTGAGGTTCTCCAAATTCCTGGAGTATATGTGCCCCACCCCGGGAAGCCACCACCTGTCGTCTCTGCGTTGATGTAGGGACTAAACGACGCGTGAGTCTTACACCTCAAAGGGCCCTCCGCCATCCAGACTTACCCTGGTCGGGCAATCAGATAGAGGCCAGCTTTCTGGGCGGCATCAAAGAAAGGTTGCAAGTCACGGAACCCTTCAAAAGATATATCGCCGCGCTTTGGTTCAATGATGCCCCAGAAGACGTAGAAAGAAACAGCATTGAAACCCATGGACCTGCCAACCTATAAGCTTGCCGTCTGTGCCTTGTCCAGATGATATCCGACTTACTTGATCTTCTGGAAAATGTCGAGGTAGAAGCTGTGCACTGGGATCCTGAACGACGTATACACTTCAGCATTCATGTCCACCCGAGCCCTGTAAGCCTCACCGGTAGGGATGAACTTCTCCGCTGAAGAGCATGACGCGTTTCCCGTTGATGAAAATGGAGTATTTGTCCCATGTCACCTATCATACAGATGAGATCTTGTTAGTAGAGAGAGACACTGACACCTACGACATTCTGACGGCCATTGGTCTGCTCTTGTCTCGCGACAATCGACTGGCCAGGCCTCCTAGGCAGCGCAGGAGGTTTGGCAAACACAGAAATTGCGCAGAATAACGCAAAGAGCTTTAAGAGAACTAAGTTCATGATGAGAACCGAGGGTAGAAAGTTCCTTCAATTATCCGTACCCTTTTTATACTAGTCGGGAGCCGCGACCTCGTCCATAATGCCAATCCTCTCGAGTGTTTTTCGAAGGACTTCAATGAGATTTCCGCACGGTGGAGATAGCACATGATGAAACAAGTCTTCGTTTGCAATGTGGTCAGAATATCGAAAACAACGGCGGCTGCCCAAATAGTTGAAGGAAGTCGAAGCTCTGAGCTGTGTGAGCGGGAAGTTGGAAAGAAAGAGGATCACCTGTGAGACTTCTGGTTTTCACGTGACCTCACACGTGCATTAAATTGACGCGCCGTGAAGCGCGTTCTCCACACTTTCGTGGGTCCTGGAACGTTCCATCTGCTCTAAGAAGTTGTAACAATTGAATTTGTGGTCGCGTAATATTTAAGAACGGTATTGGTACTCACAAGGATTGGTGATGTAGCGTTATAAACAGGTCCGGGGCGGGCCTTAGTGGAATATCTGGTGCTTCTTCACGAAGGGGCGGTCCGGCGTTTCTTATAAGTCAGCCGAATTTCTGCCGGGTTCAAAAAGGCTGAAAAGCCATGCGAGTTGGAATCGTAAGACGATTTACATGGCCGACATTCGCCCGCCTGCTTTCAGCTCGAGCGTCTTATCGATGCCTCTGAACTCGAATCAAAATATGGCCTTTAATGTTCCCCGATGCATGCGATTGGACAACCGGGTCTTCAGAAAACGGAACAAGGGATGCCCAGTTGACGCTGCATCTCGCCCGCAGGACCCTAGGCAACGTACGAAGCGACTTCCACTGGAATGCTACGCAATGGGTCTGGTACCAATCAGGAACCACGGTCCTCGACGGTGGCGCGTGATGGCAATTTTTAGGATGAGAGTCTCTGAAGAGAGCGCGGCGGGGACTGGGCCTGGGACTCCATGTGAGTTGAGCCCAGAGTTCCGGGGTAGATGGGCTGCGGGGTATGATTATTGGCGCATTTGATTTTACGAGAGTAAGAGGTGATGCGGGGTCAGATGGAATTGAAAACCCCAGAGTGTGCACCGGAATAGGAAGTGACGTATCGCGATGGCCGATTGCCAAGGGTGCGACCCAGTGTCCGCGCTCTTAAATACTCTTGATCAACATCATACCCGTAATTTCCCTTTTCCCCATGCCATCTTTATCAACCTTCCAATACGACAGCGCCCAGGCCGTCTTCGACCTCCTCGAGCGCCAGTTCAGCCTCACCGATGACTTCCTCATCGAACTCACCAAGGCGTTCCTCGAGGAGTTCAAGGTTGGACTCTCCAGCTATAACCATGCAATGGCGATGATGTATGTAGCAGTTCTCTGGGTGTCACAACGCGTTCTGATTTTTCCTTAGTCCGACTTTCGTTACTGGTGTCCCCGACGGTACAGAAACTGGGTAATTACACTCCCACTGCAAACACATGGATAGAAATTTATCATGGCTTCAGCACCTTCCTCGCCCTCGACCTTGGTGGTACCAACCTGTGCGTGATTGCGTTGTCGTTCGACCTCTAAAGTCGCCTTAACTCCATCCGCAGTCGCGTGTGCGAGGTAGTCCTGAAGGGTGACAAGACCTTCAACCTGGTCCAGCAGAAGTATAAAGTGACCGAGAAGCTGAAAGCAGGCGAAGCAACAGCCCTCTTCGGTGGGTTCGAACTCGATGTTATCTCAAATCTTATCCCAATGTTCGATTGGGCTTAGATTATCTTGCCGACTCCGTTGATGCCTTCCTCACCACACACGCGACCACGGACTACACCTCGCCTCAGGACAGTATTCCAGGAGATTCCGCGTCATCCCATATCCCCCTCGGAATGACATTCTCTTTCCCAGTCGAACAGACCGCCCTTGACTCTGGGAAGATCCTTACCTGGACCAAAGGTTTCTCCGCCAAGAACGCCGTTGGAAATGATGTTGTCAAACTCCTCCAAGACGCGTTTGACCGAAAGCATATGCGTGTCAAATGTGTTGCCTTGGTGAACGATGTGAGTTTTGACTTTCATAGGTGATTCCAATGAATGTCTGACTGCTTTAGACTGTTGGAGCTCTGCTCTCGCGAGCATACACTGCCGGTGGTTGTATCGCGGGAGCCATCTTCGGAACGGGCACGAACGGCGCGTACATTGAACAAATTGGTGGGTCGGAACCTGATTAGAACCCTTTCCACGCATTTAACACTCCATTCTAGCGAATATCCCGAAGCTTTCAGGTTCCGCAGCTGCAGCGAAAGGCGGTCAAATGGTCATCAACACGGAGTGGGGAGCCTTCAACAACTCTGTGAGCTACGTGACTGCATTGTATCTTCCATCCCTTCTGACTAATGGATAGCGCTCCCACCTTCCCACCACGCCATACGACAGCGCACTCGATCGTCTGAGCATTAATCCCAAATTCCAAGCTTTCGAGAAATTTATATCTGGCATGTACCTCGGCGAGATCGTACGCCACACCCTCGTCTCCTTGGTTGATGCCGTTCCCAAACCCCTTCTTTTCTCTGGAAAATCTACTACTGCCCTCAACACGCACTACGGCATTGATACCAGTCTGATGAGTGCGACGGAGAAAGCATGGATCGGCGACGACCCTAGCCCCAACGCTTTCGTTCTCCCGCCTTTGTCTTCCGAGTTCTCTGAGTCTGAATTGTCGCCCAAAGTCATTCCTAAATTGAACCGAATCCGGGCGGCTATTTCTCAACACTTGGGATTCAAGGAAGAGGACGTCTCGTTCCGCGATGCTGCAGTAAGTGCTTTCTCTTCACCAAGTGCCTGTATCACGCTGATGCCTCGACAGATTGTCCGTTGGATATCTTCGTTGGTTGCACGGAGAGCAGCCCTCCTCAGCGGTGTCGCCGTTGCTACTGTGCTCATCCAAACCGAGCATGCAGTCCTCAAAGGGAAATCCATGCCTGTCAAGGGACTGAACGACAGGCTCGGTGTTGGCGTAGATGGAAGGTCAGTCAACTCATTTGTTCTCTGTGGATTGATGTTGACGGCTGTAGTCTCATCGAACACTATCCCAACTTCCAAAATATCTTGCGTGAGTCTCTGAGAACCCTCGTCGGAGAAGACGTTGAGCAGCGGGTGGAGATTGGTCTCGCGAAAGACGGAAGCGGTGTCGGTGGTAAGCATTGTTGCATATGCTCCTGTGTGTATCCTGTCTGACTTCTTCGGCAGCTGCCCTCTGCGCCTCCATGGCCGTGAAACACACATCTTGAATATCATACGAAAAGGACATTGTTGAAAATAAAGGACCTCGGGTCTCCTATAGGAACAATTCTTTTGTAACTAAATACAGAATTTGTACGAGTAAAGTGTAGTACCCTGTTCAATTACCAAGTTCTCACTTATTGGGCTAGTGAACCAGCTTGAGAGTGGCAAGCAACCCAGAGAGATTGATTAACAGCATTATATTAGTGGGGAGTAGGGATGTATGCAATAGTCGGGCGCTAGTTGAAACTGACCTCCCTCGATTTCCTACCACCGAAAGCCTTGCTCACTTTTTCCCAGTCAAGCACCGTCCAGAACTGCTTCAACCACTCCTCCTTGCCCCACACACCGTACCCCGCGCTCATCCACGCATGCTCGTATGTGGGCACGCAGAAGAGCGGGTAGAGCTTGTCTCCCATTGAGAGCATCGTCGCGAGGTTATTCCTCTTCGGGCCTCTGGCTTCGTCTGGGGCCGCCTTTCCATCATGTATGCTCGTCGTCGGAATGCCCGTGATGGTCGACGAGAACGCGCGTGCATGGGGGTCGAGCGCACCGCCGAGAGGCTTCGTACTCGACACCCCAGAGCTAGGCGATGACGGTGCGACACCTGGGGGGACCTGCTGGCCGAAAGACGATGCGATCCCACTGTTCTCACCATCAGAGTCCTCCCTGAAAATGCGCTGGTCCGCTAAGTTCCAGCGTGAGCGGATGAGGAGCGTCGAGGGGCCAAGGGTGGGCAGAATGCCCAGGTTCCCGCCCGTGTCTGTGACGAGCCACACCCAGCCGTTGGTGAACATCCCGAGGGCGGCGGCGGAGAAGGAGGACTTGAGCCGCACAATGTCGCCATAATTGAGCCGGATGGCCTCTGCGAGCCCGTCAGAGATTTTGTCTTGGTGGGTATCCAGAGCAGCTTCTTCTGGTGGGGGTGGTGTCTGCAGAACAAGGAAGGAGGGTGGTTAGCTTGCTACCAGGGAATGGAGAAGGAGAGGGGCGGAACGCACGAGACGGTCCAGGAAGAAGCTGTTATTTATCGCTAGCACAGCATAGTTAAATGCTAAGGTACGCTCCTTTCGTTCAGAGTACCGAATAGCAGTTTGGGCAACGGTCGAGTGTCTCTCGAATTTTGGGTCACCTGGGGGTGGAGGTCGTGTTGGCAAGGGAAATGAAGCACCATAGTCCAAAACGAGAAAACGTACTGCGCACTTCCTCATTGAACCGTTCCAGCAGTCCGTCCTGGTATTCCACGAGAGTTTCTAATGCTGGTGGCGGCAAGAACTTCCCAAGTCCTCCTTCTATTGGATACGGGAGAGGCTTGCGCGTGTGCAGACTTCTTGACGCCAACTGTCGTGATTGAGAGAGAACAGACGACATCCACGAGGCTTTTGAAGAGGCTAAACGCATACAAGAGGCCATTTTTGAGGAGAAGAAGGGAGCAACAGAGAACCTAAAGGATGTTGGGATTCAAGCCGAATTTTCTTCGGAGAGCCTGAGACGCGCCTGTATTTTTGGCGTCTGCGTGGCCGTGTTTGGCAAGACCCCTCGGCGTCATTCCCTTCCACGTCGCGTCCAACTCAGCATTAGCAGCCACCTCCCTGTCCTTAACATGCCTCCAAAATCAACCTCTGCGCAACAGCCAACAGCGGCAAACGCGGTACAGACACTCTGGAAAGCCTACAATGACAACACGTCCAACCGCCTCAAGTACATCGACTCGTTCTTGTTCTTCCTGATGCTTTCTGGGATTGTGCAATTCGTATATTGCATACTGGTTAGCAACTTCCCGTACAATGCGTTCTTGGCTGGGTATGTGGTCCGAATGTCGTTTTGGAAGCAGAGCTTAATCTAATCCGAGGTCTTGTTCTTGTTCTTGTATTTCCACCCTAGGTTCGCAAGCACAGTCGGACAATTCGTCCTCACGGCCTCACTACGCTCACAAGTCAACCCCGATAACAGGGACGAGTTCAAAGAGGTATCTCCAGAACGGTCGGTATCTCGTGTCGTACCATCATGAAGAACAGCTTCTGACATACTCTGTTACAGGGCATTCGCCGATTTCGCGTTGGGTTCAATAGTCCTTCACTTCTTCGTATACAATTTCTTGGGATAAGGCGGGCCTTTCGCGAGTTTGTACTTTGCAATAGCGAATAGATAAACGGCATGAAAACAATGAGCAGAGAAGTCTGGGATATCTGGGAGGCAGTAGTTCAATGGTTGCGGTTGGATGAGATTGGGAGATCAGAATTGCGTGTATGACGGATGCGGTGGTGGCGGCGTAATGTCGATTCCTTAGCGTTTCCTTTCGAAGGACGATGATCGCTAGAATGTGTCAAAAAGCTGCACATTGTAAGATAGGTATGAAGAACGTACCCCGAAGACCACAACGGCGAAGTCAAACACATACTCCCCTGCAAACCAAGTTAACGGCCGTCACGATCGCTCCGCGTAGATTCGCACCGAATTCAAGGTAGGAACTGAGCAGTTCTGAGGACGGAGATGTGAGAATGTATTGTGTGAAAGCAGTGAAGGAGAAGCATACGGCGAACGTCTTTATTGGGGACCTGTCCTAATGCAGGCCTGGTAAAGGGACTCAGAGACTAGGCACGTTCAAGGGATCGTCTATAGCCCTACGTCAAGCCTGTTGTACGCTTCACACCAGCCAGGAAGGCGCTGATGAGTACGGCGTCGAAACCAAGGTGAACTAGATATGTTGAGCAATTCAGCATGACAGACAGCGAGCATTGCATGACTCACCAAGTTTCCCGAGCATTGTTTCAAGAAGAAAAGGAGTCGAGGCAAGAGATGGATTAGTCGGAGCAGATGCTCGTTAGGGTTGAAAGAGACTAAGCCCGGATCGTGGTCGGCATCTCCGTATTAGGGCAACAGGTCCCGCGGTGACGAAATGAGTGTGCTCTGGACGCTCTCTGTCTGCTGTCCATCTAAGCAAGCTCAACAGAGCATGGGCGCCCAAATCTCCTGCGAACAACGCGATTGCTCATATCTTGCCTGACTCAACTCACAGTCAGGCAGCATCGTGGCCCAGTACGTGGACAGGGGCTCGACGTAAGGGATGCTGACATAAGCCATGGAATATTGTCCAGGTTGGCAACAGAGTCAAAACGCGGGGCACGCACTTTGCGTTGATACTACTTTCCTGCCACCGCACTCGTACTCTCGGCCCCTTCACATCCTACGCGCTTTGCCCTCCTTGGCCACAGACACAATGACGTCCAGGCCACCGTCGCCTCCATTTGGGAAGGGCTACTTTTCTGCGCCATTCGAGCGCTTTGTGCGCGACGACACTTTTGACCAGCTCACTAGCGCTTTCACGCTTCTCGGTACGCCACCTTCTTCCCTTCTTCCCTCCTGCGCCGACATGTGGCAGCTTGCTTACATTTCCGCAGACACTGTCGAGACATACTTTGACTCCCATGTTGACCTTCTTCAACGGAAGCTGCAGAAACACAGCGACAGGCTGAAGATGAAGGCGGAGGAGACGTTTAAGATCAAGGATTTGAAGATTAAGGACTTGAAGATCAAAGACCTCTCGGGAGACCTGCTGGCGGAGAACCTGGAGCGGGAGATTAAGAGTTTCAAGCTCAAGGTGCGCGACAGTACTGCCATGCTTGACCCTGCATGTATTAACACGATATTATTAGCTCTCGACGCGCATGGCGTCACTCAATGCGTCGTGGCAGTCCGCCAAAGTTGTCAGGACGCGTGAAAAGGTGTCTTTCTTCTTCGGTGTTATGAGCTTGCTCATATCTGCCCTTATGTTCGGCATTGCTCCTCAGTACGTTCCTTCGCCGACTTTATCAATATATCTGCCTCATTATGCTTTGAAGATGGGTGCATGTCGCTTATACTGTCCAAGGACTCTACCTCCTTCCTTTGCGTTACTACACCTACAAGAAACGCGCGTGGCATTACTTCCTCTTCGACCTATGCTACTACGTGACGATCCTCAATTTCGTGTACTTCTGGATATTCCCCTCGAACGCTGCGCTGTTCGTAGCTTGCTATGCTCTCTCGCATGGATCACTAGCAAGTGCTGTGATAACGTGGCGAAATAGTCTTGTGTTCCACGACCAGGATAAGGTTACATCGTTGTTCATCCACATCTATGCGCCGTTCTCCTTCACCGTCATTAGGCATGTTGTTGGATCCACTGTTTCGACTTCGAAGCTGACCCGGGCTACTAGACACTTCTATCCTAATGCCGAAGAACGCTTCCCGGCCCTCGCTGCAGTTTCTGAACTTAATCCTTGGAAAGCACTGGCATTGAGCGGCGGCATCTGTGAGTTTTATCACTGTCCTGTATGATCACTCTGCTTATCTTTCATTCCAGACGCTATCTGGCAGTTGTTGTATTGGAAGGTTAGTAGTATCTGCAAGATTGCCTAAGATTGGCCTCTAACCCGCTCTTATCTCTGCAGTTTCTTCTCGTCGACCGTCGCGCAAAGATAGAATCTGGCCAACGCACAACATCGTTCTCGTTCCTCCTGAACGACAAACGTGGAGCAATCGGTCGCATGCTCTCTGCTGTTCCTCCGCAATTTCGCGAAGCTTCCTTCATGGGCGGACAATTCGGTCAGACCATGTGATTTCTCCATGAAGAGCTGCTTATACTCACGATGACTTTAAATGCAGTGTACGCCATTCTCACGGAAATACCTGCTGTATTCCTGCTCTATCGGAGCTCGCTCTGGAGCGCTATTTTCCTTCTAGTGATCTTTGCTGTTAGCGTGTGGAATGGCGGAGGGTTCTATATTGAGGTCTTTGGGAGAAAGTACGTCTCGCCAACATATCTCCACGCTCCTTCTGACTTCCTTCTCAAGGTTCGAGCGCGAATTGGAGGCACTTCGGAAAGAGATTGCGGAGGCCGGCGCCCGGTCCTCGGCGACCTCTGGCACATCTACACCTGGCACCATCAGTCGAGGTGCCAGCATGAGCGACCTGACGGAAATCATGCGCGACCCGTCATCCTCGTCCTCGTCCTCCGGGTCAAGCCCAGACATTACACCGGCGGGCCTACCTGAAGCCAAGAAGGACCAATGACTACACTCGACGACTCCACTTGCGCTCCTCTGCCTTACATGATTTATTAGAAGATTCAAGTTTTGTACGAACACGACTTTCACGACGCATCCATGCACGTCTTCATATACCACCTTATATAATTTTGTCCTTCAAATATTACTATGCCTATCCGGTTCTGTACATTTTTGGTCTAATGAGTGCCATACTATTATATTGACGATCACCTTTCTTTTTCCTTTCCTCTCGTCTCAGTCCTTGTAATGATTCCTAATTTGCATGCGGTATTCCTTTGGATAATTCTGGGCGACGGACGACGGAAGGGCGAAGGCAAGCAGTACAATCCAATTTTGTTGTCCCCCCCAAGTTCGAACCATAAGACCCAGCAACATCTCGATTGATTTGTGCGCCACTTCCGCCTATTTAGAAAGAAACTGGGCAAGGAGAAAGAAGAATCACCAAGAAATACTTTATATAAATTTGACTTGTCGAATCGCCTATATGCTCTGAATCTGCGTGTTTCTATTACAACCCTAACTACTACCGCTGGAAGGCATGTACGTCGTTGGGGCGAGATTTGGTAATTTTGTATGTATGCACTAGAAAGAACACTAGGGAAAGAGAAGGAAGGGAAAATAGTCGTGTATCATCATTGCGCGATATTCATGAGGAAATAAAACTAGTCTGTAAATACACGATCAGGCGTCTGAATGGGAAGGGAATTATCGAAATCTTGGGCGAGGAACAATCCGACTATGGTCGTCGATGACAGTGTTAGCTGGAGAGTCTTTGTCTGAGCGGTCGAAACTTATGGGACATGGTTCTAGTAAAGAGGTCACCGGTCAAGAGCTATGCAAGAGAAGAACGGAGGAGCCACACCCGCCCAGGTCTCCCGGCGGTCTTGAAGCATGGGCCAGGCAACCGGTACAGAAACGCAGACCAACTGGACGCAATTCAAAGACGCTGATAAACGCCGTAAGTACAGCAGGAGACAAAGAGAGGACGAGGGAAATACAAAGCGTCTAATCTCGCCTGAGAGGGCTGAAGGAACCTTGAAAATCGTCAGCTTCTTTCGCGCCGGTACGACCAGACGCTCACCTCATTTGATCGACCGGTATACTGCTCGCCATGCTTCATCCCTGCGGGTTCTGACTTATGGAAAGCGACGATGGCATGCAATCCAGCATACTACCTCCAGGGATGCACTTCGGGGCCAGGAGGACGAGTTGAGTGCACCACATCCACACCACCTGGCCGTGGCTCTTGTGGACGAGTGTCTCTGACCCGCCGCACCCGGTCCAGACAAACCGCTTCCCTACCAACGATAATGGCGGCAGGTCGTACCGCGATCTACCAGGCTTTGCCAGACCCGGTGATAGGCAGTGGATAGTGTGCATGGTGTGCATGGGTGACATCGATCCCCGCGTGCGCTGTCGAGACAGCGATGAAAGAGCGTTGGCGACCCGCTGTGGATGATGAGGAAAGGCGAGATCGTAAACGAAACCCAGGACCTCGCGGTGACAGGCGGGCGTAGTGTCCCGAAGAGCGGGAAGCTGAAGGATACATGAGCATAGACAAAAGGTAATTCACAAGCTACTGACACGGCCCAGGCGGGGCCGTAGAATGCTGTCGAACGCCTCGCCATATCATTTGCTGAATGGCGGGCACAGTGTTCGAGTGTCCTTGGCAGAGAGAACACCTATGGCGGAATGATTACCAGCATGAAGAGAGGATAAAGATAGATTACCCACTGCATCATAGACAAAGTTGATGATGTTTGAGGGCGTAGATAGGGTATGATGAAGCCTCTAGAGTGGGGGTGGTGAAAGTCGAGAGGCAAGAAGCGATGGGTGGCTGAACTGAGGGACGCAACCTTTTTATACGTCAGTCAGCGCATTGCATCTATTTGTCTTCCGCGATCTAAATTTATCTTGAGAGGCTGACCGAGGCTAACACAGGTGCAATGGCTGACAGCGTCTGTATTAGGCAGCTTTCTTCCTAATTCGGGTCGGTCGTCGACATCAGAAAGTTCCGGGATTCGAAAGTCCGAGCCGTCCAAGCGTCTGCCCCGTCTGACCCGTCTGACCCTTTGCTGACAAAGGCACCTGTGGGAATTCGGCTGCCCCGGCGACGAATCTCCGGGCCCAGTCCTGCCACGACGTTTGCCCCTCCACGCCCATCTCCACGCCCTCGCCCCAAGCCCGCCCTTTACAATCCTCTGCGACACCTCCTGTATGTTCTTTCTTTCTGACCAAAGTGAGTTTCCTATCATTTTGAAGAGAACTCCTTGCGGAATCTGACATCATCGGTGCAGTTCTCGACATCAACTCAACCATCTGCCTCCCGGCGCCATGTTCGACAGAACTCGCCCAACCGCTCACACCGCCCTTTTGTCCCAACTGTCTCGAAGAGGTCCTATGGAGGCGTCGTCCAACGAGAATGGGAACCGCAGGCGCGTTTTCGTGTCTCCATACGACTCGGAGTCATGATTCGAAGACCAACCTGCGACCTCATTGATCATTTGTATACCCACTTCGAGACACCTTGGAGGACAACGGTGGACTGAAGGGGGAGCTGGCAGCGTGACCCTAAGGTTCGCCCGCCTCATTTCGTGTTCTAATGTTTATCTTCAGCATTTCTCGCCCCTTTCAAGTTTCCGCCCCTTTCCGCCCCGCCGCCCCTCGCATGCTCAAACTCCAGCCCGAGATTCGGTCGTCCGCGAGGCCTCATCACATCGCCTCTGCCTGTAACCTCCTCATGTGCCGCAGTCGATCTCGCCCGCTTAGCCTTTCTCCAGTCGACTAGAGCCCGACGACCACTTTCCTGCTCTGTAGACCCGATCCCGGCCCTTGCGGGGCATCTGACGAAGGTTACCTCAAGGAATCAACTCCCTGTCAGCCGCGTCCACGCGCATGTTGATGCCCATTCGTCCCTCTTGGCTCGTTGTAGCACGTCGTACATACGGCGTACCTTTTCCTCTTGTCGTTGGATAGTGGCCAATTCAACAATTTTGAATTAATCATTGTCTGAATAGAGCAAAGACAAAATAGATAACATCAAATGTGGTGTCGATGCATGTTACAAAAGTCTATTAGACTTACAGGTAGCCTCCAGTCTTCAAGAGGCCTTGAGTGGCTGGGTGTATTATGTAATGGTGACTAATATGACTCGGACGACTCAGACGACTCGGACGGCTCAGACGGCTCGGACTTTCGAATACTCGTCGACATTTGTCTCCTCAGTCGAAATTCGTGCAAACCGGGCGATTCTGCATCAAAGATAGAGCTAGGGAGGGTCAGGGTCTCTACCTAGTGCTTAAGATTCATGACATTTCTCTTCGAAGATATTGTGTCTATGGGAATATTGCAACATCACGCACCCTGTACCAAGATACCGTTATACTTACCAGCGATCATTTGTCTACCTCGGCAACAGCAGCTGGAGGAGGTTCTTCTACTTCTCCGTCAAGGGTAAAAAACTGCCATTGGACTCCAGTTGTGATCCAACCCGCGAAGGGCCCATCGGGTCCTACTAGTCGGATTTTGGCGCCTTGATGATCATCGGCACGTAATTTGCGTCCCAGATATGTTTCTCTGTTGCTATGCAGAGAAAAAATATTAGGAGGGTCAATAATAGGAGGACAAACGGTACCAATTACTTGAACTGTTGGCCACAAACCGCCATAATTTCATTGACTAAGCTAAACAAGGCTATTCGAGATACTAGAGGTCTTTACTCTTGCTTGTAAGCATGGGCACTGGAAAAAATGGAAAACATCCATGCCTTGATTTCTCCCTATATCGGTGCTTTGGTGATACGCCTCGTTTTAGCCCGTTGATCAGAACTTCTGAACGTTGGGAACCACTCGTCCAGCATAATGCTTGAATGAAGAGTAGAGAATTAGATTTCAAGAAGCATGAACTCTGCATCCAACTCACATTCGACGCAGGAAGAAGGCGATAACAGTATGGTACGCGAATGGGAGAATGAAATGCTGGTAAAGTGCACTTGAGGATGATGCAGTGAGAAACCCCCTCGGAAGCCTAATTCAAACATGTTGATATTAATCTTTCACATGAGCCCAACATGAAATGCTGGGACTACATACCTTCGAACCCGCCTTCAACTCTCTTCCAGAACGCGCGTTCGCAGTCCTCCCTCACGACTTCCCGCATGTCATCCGGAATCTCTCCAATGATCACATTTGACAAATAAATTGGTGCGAGCAAATACGATCCCAGTGCGCCTTGAATGCCGAGGACGTTCCATCGCGCTATCTTGTCGCTGCAGGACATGCACAACGTCGGGGGAGAATCTGCGCGTCCAGGCTTCGTCCGTAGGACGCCTAGGCGGGTGTAGTTGTCCCGTCCACGAGAGGCTTCGGTGGAGTCGAGGGTAGGGAACACGGAGCTATTCTTCAACGAGGCCGTCTCTTCGTCCTGTACTGAGGCAAGAAAGCGCATTGACGCGTCGCCACCTGTGATGGAATTAGGAAAGGGTATAAAACTGGCATTCATAAGGCAACTCACAAGGAACAGTAGATACGTAGAGGTTGAGCTCCACACCATCACGCAAGGTGTATCGCAGCCCGTCTGGTCTTGAGGGTTCCTCAACCTCCATCCATTCAGAATGAAACGCCTCCTCGGTATGGATACGACGTATTTCTTCCAGGAACCAACGAAGAGCGCAGCGACGGGCCAGAACTTCGGCATGGCTATCATGCACAATCTCCCCTCGAGGTGAAAGACGGGAGGCAGGGAGACATTTGGTGCCAGTTGCGAGGCTGATCGCTTTGACTTCATTGTAGTCGCTGGCTCTGCGAGTGAGAAAGAAAGAAGCCAAGATCGTCCATTGCGAGTTCTGCGGTGTATATGAGAAGGAAGAGTACGTCTTATGGACTGTCAAGACCGCTGAGTCAAAGTGGTCGTCGTGGTCGTGGTTCAAGTTGTCAGCACACATTAGCAAATCTGCTGCATCGTGTCCGGACTTAGTGTGGCGTAGAAAGGAACAACAGATTGTATTTTGCCCTTCGACAAGCACCTCAACGCGTCTCTATATAGGCGATAATCTATGTGTAACGTATGCAGTAAGTCCATGCAATTTGTGATATGTAAATATGAATGTGAAGGAAAGGGGTGAAATGGCGGCGTGAGTATGTACAAGCGAGTAAAAGGAATGGTAGCCGGTATTGGGCAACTACAAGCAAGGAAAATATTATAAGAAAAGATCGGAGCATCCCATAAAAGAATTATAACCGTCTACATAATTATCCGGCGTTGCCAGCACCCAGGTTGGCCTTCTTGTTTTTGCTCTTCCGTACCCTTGTGAGATGAGAAGAACGATCAGCAAGCGGAGGCAAGAATCCGAGAGTGGGCTTCATGTTACGAGCCTCCATCTCTGTCTCGCGCGCGTCCTGCTCTCTGCGTTGTTCCGTTGTCGGGCTGGTGACACCCTCAGTCGGAGACAAGATATCCTCGAACCCAGGACTTTCAGGTTGATATGTCATAGTCTTGGGATCTGCATAAACAATCGGAAGAGGCGCTTCATGGCCTACAATCCCCAGTTGGCGGCAATAATATTGCACGGCTGCGTGGAAAGCCGTTTTGCGGGCAAGACGAAGACCCCAATCTTGCCAGTTGCCGTTGTGTCCGATGCCGATAGTGAGCTCCAGATGCCGTTGATACACGATGTGTTGTAGCGTGATGTTCGTGCTTGGCTCAAACCAGCGGTTCTCCTCTGTCGATAACCAGTCATTGAGACACTTCTCGAGGGCATCGAGCTTGGTAAGAGGCGTTGTCCAAGCAACTTGCAGCCACAGGTTTTCGAATGTCTTGCCACTGCGCTGTGCGTTCGTGCTGGATGGAGAAAAGGAGCGTCAGTGGAGGCTACGCGGTTGATAGGAAGATGGGCCGCACATGAACTTCGTGAAGAGCTGGCTATTGAAATAGTACGTCTCTGTTCCATCCGACCGGGCGAAGACTGTCGCAAATAGGCCAACTTTCTTGACAACCAGGTTTTCCGCTGGAAGAACAATCAGATAGGATTCCAGCCGAGTGAAGATGTTTAACTTACTATCAATAAAAACACGATCACCAGTGTCGTATGGACTGCGTTCGAAATCGTCAGAGGAGAAAAAAAGCTGAAAAAAGGGAAAGCTTACTGTGTTACAAATAAGAACATGATAGCATCGAACGCGTTGCTCGCAGCATTCTTGAAGATAAAACTCGCAGCGATTCCAATCGTATACACACTCGACAACGAATCGCCAACCTCCACTCCAAAAACGCTCAAGCTGATGAAGAACAGGATCACAGCAGCGAAGAACAGCATGATCCGATCGAGTGTCTTCAGCGCCTCACCAACGTCGCGCATCGAGCGCGAGAGGAACCGGCGCTCCTTGTACACCTTGATCAGGGTGGTCTTGATCTCGGCACGAGAAAGGTCGCCGTTGTTGTCCTTGTCGAAGACATGGAAGGCCTCGTCGGCCAGGGTCTGGTCTTGGAAGACAGGTAAGAAGTCCGATGGAATGAGCCAGGTTCGGCCGCGATCTTTGAGGCGCATGTACATTGAACGTGCTAAGCGCTAGAGAAAAGTTGGACACGTTCGACCGAATGAGCTCCAGGACAGAAAAAAGAAATCACGCTTGCCTTCGCTTCATGCGTCGAGTTAATATTCCAAGACAACCCAGCAAGATTCTCGTTCTTGCCTCTCAAATTCCTCGCATCATGCAAAACCGCTTTCTTGATAACCTTTGCCGCCTGCCTGAGTGTAGCATCCGCCGAGTCGAAGCTCGGGCGGGGGCTGTTTGTACCATGAGGCGGATACCGATGCGGGTTCAAGTTACTTGGGGTAACCGGATTTGAAGTGAACGCAGGTCCGCTTGTGTACGAAACTGCCGAAGCAGGCACCAACTCGATCTCCTCCTCCGCCTTCTCGTTTACAGGTGTCGTGCCGCCTCTTGGAAACTCCATTGGATCAGTGGTCTTCCTTGGCGCCTCGCCACTGTGACCACCACCACCAAACCAAGACAGCCGCTCCTTCTTTTTACCCTTCTTGGTAGACTTCTCTACCAGTGTCTTATTCGCGTCCTCTGTATCGCCATCGTTCTCCACATCCTCATGGCCATGACTGGTTCCTTCGCGCGAGATAGGTGGAGACATGTTCCGCAGTGCACCACTTAACTGGCTGTAGTGCTGCTTATCTGAGAAGACAGGCAGGTTGAAGCCGAACACAGGGGTGCGTGTGCCGGACCTGGCATGGGGCGTATGCGTCGGGAATTTAGGACGGTAGTCGCGCAGCTTCTCGATCACGGCGAGCGCTTTCTCGACGGCCTCTACCCGGTCTTTGTATGCAGTCCTATGGAAGGAAAAGGCTTGCGCAAAGCATGAGTGATTCACGAGGTACCTCTGAGATATAAGGACGTACCAACGAAATGAAGAAGCATGCGCTGAGCACACCACACCAGGACGAGGAAAAAGAAGAATTGGACGACTTGAGCAGTCTAATCCTCCAGTTAGCAAAGCACAAAGACAAGAGGCCATCATCACGCACGCGATATGTGTACCCTGCACGACTCTGTGACGTACCCTCCCCATTATACAGCTTGTAAATGCCCTCAAAGATGATGATCCAACTGGCGTACGCGCTGCCCGCATAGAACGCAGGCTTTGCGGTGTCCTTCACCGAGTCATACGTCTCAAGTTTGGTTTTGACCGACTCCGATACATGACCCCAAAAAGCAGAGATGAAAAAGCGAATAAGGATTGGGATGATGTCGATGATCATGGCGAGGTACCACGAGATGAGGAGGTTCGCCGCAGCCCAAAATAGCCATCCTTGCACGTTATCCTTCACGAACTGCCGGTGCGACGTCGGGTTCGGCTTGTACCAGTAGAAGTGGATGAGGAGTCCCGGCGCGACGAGGATAGCGGCCAAGAACGTCGATCCAATGAGCGATGAAAATAGCAAAGAGATGATTCTATTCATAGGTCATGGAGATATCAGTTCATAGCTAACGGCATAATGAAAGATTGGGGAGCGAACCTTTTGAACCCCCAGCCTTCTCGTTTAGTCTTCTTGCCCATATGTTTCTCGAATTTTGCTTCTTCGTCAACGAGGTCCTCCTCGTCTGACCAATCGTAGTCCTCTGAATCCTCGTCGTCGGTGGCCGCGATTGATGATGCGCGAGAGCCAAACGCGAAGTCTGAGTCTGTGCGCATGTACGGATAAGGCATTGGAGACGCCTTGACGTCGTCCGGGAACTGGACCTTGGTCTGCTTCTGCCTGAGCGTGTCGCCGTTCGGGTCGTCAGTGCCCTGGAGCGGTACCTCGACCAGCTCATCCCGCTCCCTCTCTTTGTCCTTGTCCTTGTCCTTCTCGTGGTCGAACATCGTAGCGTCCGAGACAAATGACGTGTTGATAGGGTAGAAGTCGAGATGGAGCGAGGAGGAGGACGCGCTGGCAGTCACGGACGGGATGAGGTTCTCTGCAGAGGGGTGCAGTGGACGCTCGTGCCAGTGCGGCTCCTTGAGGATTCCAGGAAGACGGGGCTTGTCCGACATCTCTTCGCACGGGATTGATGCTGTTATACCGTCTGCTCGCGGGAATCCAGGCAGGCGAGCTTCCGGGTCGGTGCTCGCTCCGAATCTCAGTTCGGAGGCGTATGATACGGGACGATTTACAACGCTCGTCGTTTCAGAGCGATAACGGTGGGTTATGGGTTTGTCGAACAAGGAGGGAGTGCCCGCACCCAGTCAGGTCTCCAGTGGAGCTGCGCATTGCGGTTTTATTGTGGGAGCTTCGCGAATCGATAGGCTGAAAGTTTTGGTGTCTGCGATCGCGGGTCAAGACGGCGAGCGAAGAAAAATGGGGCTCCAATTACATTTCGGGGTGACGGAGCCAGATTGGAAGTCGCCAAGCCCATGTGCGGTGCGCTCGACGTCAGCGCGGGCTTGTGCTCGTCGTTCTCGGCGACAATCGCTCTGGTCGGATCGCTGTTGAACCGCGCCAGTGGGGAGCGCAGGCTTGTGCCAAGAACGATGCACCGAGCGCTGACAATTGATCGGCAGCTCCCACGTTTCGTTTAAATGGGTTTCCTTTTCTGGAGAGTCCTCCGAATGACGTCACATAGGCTCACTCCACATCTCCACCATTCAAAAGGACGCAGAACAGACTCTTTCTCCACTCCAAAACACGCGCGCCATGAGTATTTTAATAACTGAAGAACCCATCTCCGCCCATCCAGACCTTATCAAAAAGCTTGAGAAAGGAATCATCAACGAGGCAAAGCACGAAGAGCAAAACTTCAAAGACACCCTCAAGGACCTCTCCAAAACCGAGAAGATGGAGAGCAAGGCCCACAAGGTATGGTTCTTTTTCTGTACTTGCCACTCGGAGAATAATGCTCGGCTTGTGGTTTAGGCTTCTGTTCGGGCAGAGCGTGTTTTGGAGAAGGCGGAACAGCACGAACAGAAAACTCTCAAGAATATATATAAAGCCGAGCAAGCCCATGATATCGCCATAAGCAACGTGCATGAGGCCCAGCATGAGTTAGAGGTTTGTACCTCGCCTTCGCGCAGAGATGAGCGGTCGCTAAGGGTGTGGTAGATGTCGACGAAGAACAACGGGAAATTTCAGCAAAGTGTGCAGGCGAAGAAGGAAAGAGTAGAGGATGCCATAAAGGCAAACGACGAGAACACGGTGGGTGTTTGCAATGGCTGAAATATGTTCTATTCCAATTTTTATTTTCGGGGATAGAAGGAACGAAACATAAAGTTGACGGCTCTCCGAGGACCAGCAGGCACCAATGAATCAGGACGTGTGGTCCCCGCTGTGGAAGGAGCCGCCTCCACCGCGCAGAACTGACCCGACAACTCGAAGCTTCGTTCCAATAATTCTGCCCAATGAATAATATGACGGATTTATCGCAAGGACGATAGATATGGAGGATTTTTATTGTACAGTATGTATAGTTTTTCTACTCCGGCCTCTACGTTTTACCTGGGAAAGTTGAAAGCCAAAATCTACATGGCGCTCTTGATTCCAAGTACAACACCTCCACTGGCGACTTCTACATCCTTGGAAGAAGAGGGCGAAATACGGCCTTGAAGTAAGGCCTCCCCGACAACCTTGGTACTCTCCTTGTCATCCTTAATGAACTTGCTAAAAGACTTGAAGGAGGGAGAAGCGGCATCGCTCATGAGCTGGAAAGCTATACTTTCACTAGTGCCAATGACGGCTCCGTCTGCACGCATCCGGTCCAGAGCAATCGGTATCTCAAACGAATTGCACGAAGACACGCCGTCCGCGACAACGTGCGGGGTATATTTCCCGGATGCTAGCACCGAAAGGACCGTCTGCAGCACACACACATGGGACTTTTTTAATAAAGGAAGAATCGCGGGAGTAAGAAGAACGCGCTACAGCGAACGCGATCGGAGAGACAAACCTCAATGCCAAAGATCACGATCGAGTTGAGCGCGGGGCGCGCGTCAAGGATGGTCTGAACCTCTGGTGTGAGCATGGAGAACAAGGTCTTGTCGCAGTTCCCAACGAGAAGGGGCCCGAGGGAGGGAAGGTCGATGGCTGGGTCGTTGGGACCGAGAGCTTGGCGACGGTAACGATTCAGCGGGTCCGGGGATTGTAACCGGGAGGACGCATGGTACCTTTGGTGTTCTGTGTTGTGCACACGACTTCGATGCCTAACAGCTGGAACATTCGGCGTGCATCAGAACGCAGCGCGGGGGAAAAGGTGGAGGTCGGGAACCTTCGCAAGCTTGATCATTTTGTTAGAAGTGGCTACTACGTGCTCGTATCCGTAGATAGCTGGTCCTGGAGAGGGTATGAGCAACCAGAAATCATGAAAATATTGGATCTTATGTACTGAATTTTGTCTGTACATCGCACAGGAAGAAAAGAGTGGAACGAGGAACGAGCTTCGGAAAGACCATAATGTGCGGGGAGATCAGGGCCGGAGATGAGTGTGATTTAGCGGCGGAGTCTGAAGTTGGCCCGTGTATTTGTGATGAGTGATGTTGGTTCGAGTTGTCTGCTGCTGCCATCACCTCGTCCTGCTGCCCCAGCTTGCTGCAGCTGCACCCCCTCGCCCCCGCCCCCATCCCCGCCGTCCTCAGGCACTTCCGGTCCTTCCCCCTCACTCCCAATCCTGGGCATTTCGTTCTTTCTCTTTAAAATTTATCCATCAAATCAGTCATGGACGCTACGTTGGCAACTCCCAGAGATGAGGCCGCGGCGAGACACCGCGTACGTCTTTTCTTTTCTTTCGTGCGCGCTTATTCTCATACGGCATCCAGTTCGAGAATTTCAAGCTGGGCAAGAGTGCTCCGTCGAGCGCTCCCGTCCCCGGAAATCACGGCCATAGTCGCTCTCACTCTCGCAACAAGTCCATCTCCAATTCCCTTCCCTCTTTTTCCTTCCCTGTTTCTTCAAAAACCCCATCTGTAAACGACATGTCTCATTTTTCTTTCCCTCCAAGCAACGGAACGACCACCGCACCCCTTCCCTCGGTGCCTTCATTTAGCCCTACCACCCCTTCTTTCAACGCCACTTCGAATCCCGCTCCTTCGACTAAGCGCAATTCCCACCATCGCCGCAGGTCTTCAGTCTCGACTCGCCACGAGTCCGCAGAGCTCATGGGTGTTTCCCTCCCCGACCTCCCGCCTTCGACGTCTGACGACAACATCAACCTCGGCGAGAAAGATTCTATTCGCCGTCGAGCTCTCTGGGCCCTTGAAGGAAAACCGGACATTTCCTACAACAAGGTGGAGATTCCCGACTTCTCAGCGCCTGACGTGGAGAAGATGATGTTTGACTTTGGTGCGTCTCTTCTTTTCTTTGCTCTCTGACAACGATGGACTAATTTTTACGTATTGGGACAGCAACGAAACCGTCTTTGGCATCTGGTTCAAGCTCTGGCTACGGCAACACCCTGATGGCCAACAAACGTGATTCTTTCAAGCTTTTGGCTACCTCCTCGTCATCGAAGGACCAGCTCCATACCCTTGTCGAGGAGGAGGAAGAAGAGGAAGAGGAGGAACAATGCAAGGAGTCGACCAAAGCAGAGGACTCGCTCCCGTCCCCAGCTGAGTCTGTCAAGGAGAACTTTCTTCCCCCCAATACGCCTGTTACTCCCGCTCCCGCTGTTGCTGTTACGAAACCTACTCCTGCGAAGCACCGGCCTTCGAATTTGAACCTCAGGCCTTTGTCACTCACTCCCGATAACCTCATTACCACGACTCAGGGCTTACCAACACCGACCCTCACTCCAAGTCCTCGGACAGGTCTGCGTTCCTTATCCCTGTCCCCGAGTCCCGCCTCTTCGGAAGACTCAATACCTGCTGAATCTGTTAAGCAATCCAGGCGCAGTTCTCTAGTAATCTCGCCTACCCCAGCTTCGCGAAGGCCCGTATTGAATCTCTCTATGGATCAAGTTGACAACTCTCCGCCCTCAAAGTCCGATGACGATCAACAAAAGCCTGTCAGGAGGAGCAGCATCTCCTACAAACGATCGTCTACAGGTGGTGGTGTGACACTCAACAGTGCGGGCCTTCCCACGCCGGAGATGACGCCGACGTTTGGACGACGGTACTCGAACGCAGAGTCTGTCAACAGCATCGGAGACGACGAGTTTTTTCCTAACCCCCCGACCCAGTCGAGGCCTCTCAGCGCGAGTGAGCAGCATTTTCTGGTCAAGTCGCATCATGCGCTTCTTGCGCGGATAACCGACTTGGAGCGCACGCTGTCGATGAGACGGAGAGAGTCGGGTGGGTATTCCAACGGAGGCAGCTCGCGGCCCTTGTCGGTCGCGTCAAACTTCTCGTCCTCGAGCGATTTGGCAAGCGCGACAGGCAGCGAGCCGCCCAGCGATGAGATGCTCAACCTCATTGCGGACCTCAAGGCGGAGCGTGATGAACTGAAGCGGGATGTGGATGGATGGCGTCAGCGAGTGAATAGCCTCGAGTCGCAGACGGCCATGCTGGCTAAGCGAATCGAGAATGAACGCCGGGATGCGTGGGTCGCGCGCTCTCGCGTTGGCTTGTTGGAGGTAGAGAAGAATACTCTTACCAAGAGGCTCGAGGCCGTTGATGAGCTTATTGGGCTGCACGACCAAGAGAAAAACCTCTGGGCGTCGGAGAAGAAAGTTCTGCAGATGGAGAACGAGGAGCACTCCAAGAGGGTCGCCGAACTCGAGGCTGAGCTCGCCAGTGTCAAGAAGGAGCTAGAGACCGAGCGGACAAGGAAGACGAAGGAGATCGACCCTCTCGCGACGCCTACTCCGCGCTCGTTCGACAACTTCAGTCGTCAAGCCCTCAACAGGAAGCATGGCCTTGGCTTCATGTCTGTCGACTCTGAGGCCTCTTCAACAGAGTTCGACCCGGACTCCTCCGATGACGGTCCGACTGCCTTCGGTTTTGCCCTCAAGTCAGTCCAGGAATCCGACGAAAACTATGAAGACGAATATTCGGAAGATGAGAATGGGCTTGCTGGGTACGAAGATGAGGAAGATACTGACATGAGCCTCCAGTCGTCTTCTTCCTTCGATTCGGACGACGATGATGCCCCGCGGACCACCACTCATCTCCAACAAACCGGCGGGTCATCGCCCAGCACTCCTACCCGCCCGGTCTTCACACCGCCCCGCCCTACCCATGTCTCGAGAGCCACATTGTCCAGGACTTGGACCTTCCCTAAAGGAAACGTCCCTCAGCCTGCTACTCCCAAGGAAGAAGAGAAAGAGCCCGTGGACAAGTTCTTCGGGTGTCTGGATGATGAGAGCGATACACATGGCTCTGTACCCAGTAGTCCTTCGTCTTATTCGTACGAGAAAAGTAAGGGTCTCTTCTCTAGCGGGTTCAAGTTCGCACCCGAGGACGATAACGCTTCTTTCTTCTTACCTGGCAACATTGGCATTCCTGCCGAAGAGGAGAAGGGCGACAGGCGCCTGTCTACTGTCGATGAAGCCGAAGAGGATGAAGATGACTCCGATGACGACGACATGTTCGGGGAGGCTGGTGGAATCCGTATTACCTTCACGCCTCCTCAAGAGGAAGAGATCAAGGAGGAGAGGAAGCAAATCCAATTATCTCCTGTCAAGCGCACCTCGCCACCGCCCACTCTTCCTGCGCTCGACTTCGGTAGCTTCGACGACGAAGACGAGACCGAGGATCTTGGAGCTGTGATCCCGATCAGCTTTGACCGTCCTCTGCTCCAGGAGACCGAGCCGTCACCTCCTGCATCTCCTGCGCCAGCCTCCGTTCCTGTAATCGTCACCACCCCTCCATCGTCTATTCCTCGCCCAACGTCTCCTTCTGCCCATCCTGCTTCTCCCGCTTCTTCCATGATTCCTCGTTCTACGTCCCCTTCTTCGATACCTCGTGCCACGACCTCCAGATACTCATTCTCTGCACCGCCTAATTCTGAGCCTCGTTCGCCCACGCCGCCGAAGGCATCTCCTATCCATGCTGTCGCCGCGTCTTCCTCCTTCGTTACGCCTCCTAATAAACGTGGAGGTGCCCTACCTTCATTCATCCCTCAATCGGTCTCTTCGCCATCGCCCATCCGAACGATGCCGGCGCCAGCCAAACCGAAAGTGGTCCCTACCTCAACGTTCATCCGCCAACCGTCTCGGAAGCCACTGCTGCCGTCAGTTGCACCCAAGGGTCAAAGTGGTACAAATGCAAATGGTTCGACATTGATTCCTCAGATTGCCAGTACTTGTACGTCTTACTGATTCTCTGTTCTGATCAGTTCCGTCGATGAACACTGCGACCAACGCTCGTTCTTCCCGCAGATCCCCTGACCCCGCATCGATCCCAGCCGCGTCCGTCTTCGATAACGCACCAGGCTCATCGCAAATGAAGAGCATCGACCTCACTCACGACAACACGCAGCGCCACGTTCCTGTTCGCGGTACTGAGCATGGTTGTTCTCGTTCCTCCGCCTCTACCTCTACTCCCTCTATTATGCCCACCCCTCTGGTCGCACGACTATCCTTCGAAACTCTTACGCATTTTAATCCTTTCTCTTGGACGTCGCGGACTAGTTCCGCCTCTGTTCCTTCTCAACGTCCTGCACCTTCCACAGCGTCTCATAGCGCAGCCAGCAGCCTTAGTGACCATACGGTTGTTGGTGTTGAAGCTGCCCCCAGGAGGAGTGGAGGATATGTTTCTCGTGAGAAGCAGCTGCGATTGTTGAAGGCCAGGATGGAGGTGGAAGGTGTGATGGTAATGAGGACTCTTGTCGATGTGCAATGCAAGAAGTGCAATGGAGAGATCGTTTACATTTGAGGTTTGTTTCGCTTCTCATAGAAGTCTGCATTCAAGTCCTGATATAGTTCCCTTTAGACAACCACCAAAACCCCTCTCTTGGACTTTATTCATCATTTATTCGTCTCTTGTCGCACTTGGACTTGCTTTGTACATACCCACCTACTTATGACCCGTCAGCATTCATCATGCATCCGCCACATTCTATGCTTTCTATGCCCCCCTGCACACCCCCTTCTTACGACTGTTTTCCTGTGTTGTCACTTTTTATCCTTTCCCTCGCATTTTTCTACACCCCTTCGTCACCTTGCGTTGTTTTTTGCAGCTGACTTTTTCGTGGTATGGCTTGACGTCGTACCGGGAAAGGACATTCGCAGATGTATTATTATTACCCCAGCTGTCTTGTTACTTTTTTTTATTAGCATCCTGAATATACAGCTGTATATTATGGACTGTATCGTGGTGAATGAATCCTGTATAAGAAGGAAGTCTGCCCCGACTGTGAGCTCGACTGTTCGTCGTGTTCTGGTCGCTTTCTGGCCAATGCCCGGGCATGTGTTGATGTTTCCGGAACAACCCGGTGTGGGAAACTTGAAGGATTGAATTGCCCCGCTCATCGTTGAGGCAAAATACTCGTTCTATCACAATGGCCGCTCCCAACACCTTCCGCAAACACTTCCTCAAGAACTGGTTCGCCGTCGAGGTTCGTCGTTCTCTCTTTAATTGAGATTTCATGATCCTCAACCTGTCTCTAGGCCATTCCTATGTAAGCACTTGCTCCAGGTGACCTTGGGGGAAGAAATTGACGTTCGGGGTGTCCAGTTATGTTATCATTGGGGGTGTCCTGACCGGTGCGACGTGGTACATGTCACGTCTGGCATTTGGCCCCAACAGTGCGTTATCTATCCTTTCGACAGGAAAGCTCTATGTCTAACACCACTTCAGTTGTCTGGACCAAGACCAACCCCACCCCTTGGAACTCCATCAAGCCGGATGAGGGCACCAAACTTGTCCAGGTGAATCAGAAGTTCGACAAGAGGTGTGTCATCGCTCTTTATTCAATGCCGCCGCTGCTGGTGCTCACGGACTTTCTGGCTCCTTCCAGTTGGTCCCGCGACAAGATATAGAGCGTGTTTCCTTAGTCTGCATGTACCTCACGTTCTTTCTCGTATAAACTCCAAAGATGAACGAAGAAACCCATTCTGGTCATGGCGTAGTGTGAATGTAAATCCCGTCTTCTACGCAATATCAATCTTTGGCTGCTCAAGATCTGAAGGTTCGTGACAGCACCTTGTGACCGATCCTTTAGTCCAGCGCGTTCCGGGACCCACGGATGACGCCTTTTTTCCATCATCGACCTGATATCGACGAGACCCAGTTGCACTTCAAAGGCCACACGCTATATCTGTGTCCCACCTGAAGGACTCCTCCAGTGCCCCAATTGTTAGTCGATGTCTTCAGCATTCGACTTGTTACCTCCAGATTGGGAGGATGACTTTCCTACGTCAGGCCCATTGATTGTGAGTGTCGTCAGCACGACTGCTGAACGCATATACACTCAAGCCCTATAAGCCAGCTCTGCAGGGTGGAACGTTGAATCTTCCCGCTATCGTCTACGGAGCGGGTGCCTTTTCTAATCAGTACAATACCGACGACCATCTCGCGAGTGAAACGCCATTGCGCACTATCCGACTGGCCCTGCGGTAAATGCTCGCGATGAACCATTTCTTCGCAGATCAAGTAACGCAATTCCGTTAGCTATGGAATACGCACCTTCGACACGTCTGTTTACTATGGCCCCTCGGAAATTGTTCTAGGAAACGCCCTACATGCTCTTCATGAAGACTTCCCTCGTTCATCGTACCAAATAGTATGTGATAAACATTGGTATGAACCATTCGCTGCTGAACACCCCTTTGGTCGACAACAGATGACTAAATGCGGTCGATATGGTACTTCGACATTTGATTACTCACCTGCCACAATTCGAGAAAGTGTCAAGCGTAGCTTGGACCGATTAAAGACCGACTACCTGGACACTGTATATTTGCACGACGTCGAGTTCGTTTGCACTACATTTGCACCACGGACAACTGGCCACCACGTCGCAGCGCTCAAAGAAGACGCAGCCGCGTACGGTTTGGCGATGGAAGATAAAGCGACAGTTAGAGGCGAAGGCGATCAGAAGATTTTGGATGCTTTTCATGAATTGCAAGCTCTTAAAAGTGAAGGCTTGGTCAAGAATATCGGTATCACAGGTAGATTTAACGTTGGTTCCTTGACTTCGCAATAGCTGAATGGTGTTTGATTCAGGTTTCCCTTTACCTACCTTGTTGCGCCTGGCCATCTTGATCCTTCATACCGCGCCATTCCAGCCAGTCGACGTTCTGCTCTCCTACTCGCATCTGTGCCTCCAAAATTCGACCTTCCTCGAGTTCATCCCTCATTTTTATGAACGCGCAAAAGTCGGGCAACTCCTTGCAGCCTCTCCGCTTAGCATGGGCCTTCTTACAAACAATCCTCCTTCCTGGCATCCTGCTCCTCCTCCCTTACGGCAGGCTGTGGTTGACGCGTCCAAAACTTGGAGTGGAGACTTTCCTAGTCTCGCTGTCGGGTATTCCATAAGCCACACCAGCTTCGAAGAGAGGCCCCTTCCTTTGGTACTCGGCTTTAGCACACCAAGAGAGGTTCACGAAGCCGTAAAAGTGTGGAGAGAAATACAAGAGGGAACCAGCAAGGAAGCGCGAAGAAAGGGCGAGGAGCGAGTCCGTGAGGTGTTCAAGAATGCTGGGTATTTGGATTGGTCTTGGGCGTCACCGTAAATTGTCTTTCTAGAGTAACATCCCAAGTGAATGCAAATCTTGAAGGTATGTACAAGTATTGTCTTGCATAACCAGCTCCCAGCCAGTAGTTTAGTTCCCTTATGTAGTACGGTTGATGAGCATAACGGCGTTCGGCTGGTTTGCTTTTAACTCCCATCTTCAACATCTTGTTCATCTTTACCCGTCAAGCAAGCCAACCTCTGAGGGAGAGGATGGGCGTAGATGGCTTGATCTTGCTGGATAACACCGGGTCAGCTTCACGTCTGTTGCAACGGGAACCCTGACTCCTCTAACCAACTCGCTGCAGGCGGCCAATTATTCAATCAGGCTTCAGGTCAACTTCTCCTGCGTACCCGCTCATTCACGTAGAGGCTGTCAACGACGCACTTTCCAAGGCTGCACACCTCGGCGACGTCGACCCAGTCGTCTATGTTCCTGCATATACCATCAGCGATGCACCAACAGCCTGTTGCCATGTCCTGCACGCAGACATAAGGATTCTATGTCCAATCAGTGGCAATGGTATGTCCTCAGCCTCTTTTATACGAAGCTTCATAATAATTGAAGTGCAAGTGGATCCGCTTTTCGGATTTGCCTTCCTACAGACGTTCGTGGATCTCCTGCAAGAATATTTTGGGACGTTGTCCGCAGAGAGTCTGAAGGACAACTTTGACGTGGTGTATCAGGTAGGGTCGAGATTAAATGTCTCATTTCTATTTTCTTATCGATATCTGTAGCTACTGGAGGAGACATTGGACTCTGGAGGCCACCCGTTGACAACGACGCCAAACGCTCTTCGAGATATCGTTCTGACACCTTCGCTCCTCAACAAGCTTCTGAGTGTGGCCGGGGCAAATATCAGTTCTACGATTAACTCCGGATCAGGCCTGGGTGCTGGTGGACCTTTTTCATCGCCTATACCATGGCGCAAAGCAGGACTCAGATACTCGAGCAACGAAATATATTTCGATGTCGTCGAGGAGTTGAAAGCTGTTGTCAACAAGTGCGGAGAATGCTGATTTATTATCGGTCCGATACCAGCTAATCCACTCTTCAATATCCTAGAAATGGCGTTGCTCTCTCCAATAATGTTTTTGGCAAAATCGAGACCAATTGTCGATTATCAGGTCTGTACAATCTGGTCTCAATTAATTGCTTAATTGCACCAATACAACTATTCCAGGAACTCCCGATTGTTCGCTGGCTTTTACAAACCCCAATGTCCTCGCCGATTGCGCGTTCCATCCATGCGTCAGGTACCTTTCCTTTGAAAACGGGGTCTGCATTGCAATGAATGGCGATCATATCAGACTACAGCGATGGGCACAGAACAAGACGTTTTCTTTCGTACCTCCAGATGGAAAATTCATATTAGTTGAATACCGCTACTCGCCCAGTTCAGCAATTCTTCGTGCTTCGGCACCTTCAGCAACCGCAGCACCCCCTGTAACGAATGCCACACGAGATGGCGTTCCGATACCCTTCGTCATGAAGGCGAAAATAGAAGTCGAGGACAACAGTGGTACGTCCGTTTTCTGTCATTTACCGCCGTAGGCTTCCTATTAATGTCCTCGAAATAGCCTCTTTCGATATCACATTAACCTCACGCCTAACTACGCGCCCTCTTGAGAACCTTGTCATCGACTTTAACCTCGGAAAAGAGGCTTCGGGGATCAAGTGCATAGCCGCCCGAGGGACGGGTGGTTTGGGAAGAGGAGGCACCAATGGTCTGGATATGGGCCATGGAGGAAACAGTGGTGCTTCTTGGGCTTTCGATTCCAGGAAAAAGGTGAGCTTATCCCTATCTACGATCGCGATCGGCATATGTGTATGTTCTTGAGACTCAGGACTCATATATGGCAAATGCAGATCCTGCGATGGGAGATCCACAACGTGCCATCCTCGAGTAGCTGGAACCTTCGGGGTTCGTTTTCCACTCCGTAAGCATATCTCTGTCTCGATCATCCCCGATTCCTGAACATTTTGGCTGGGGAACAGGACGGCTGTGCCTCGCCCTTCACATGCACTGCAAGTGCGATTCGAAATCCAAACGCATACATTTTCGTCCTTGAAAGTGGAGCAACTAAAGATAACCGGGGAAACTTACAAGCCATACAAAGGGGTGAGAGGGCGCTCAATCGGGAATGTCGAATGGCGGTGGTAGCAAATAATCTGATTTCTGAATAGCGAGCAAGGACCAAACTCGGAGTGAAATGTTATTGCAAAACGCTGCGTATGTTACATCTTGAGGTGCACGACGGATGGGCAAGTATATGTGAGTATTGAAACAGATATGAACCAAGGAGACGGACGCCCGGCACGAAACCCACTTTATCTTGTTCGGATGATACCAGCGTTGACGAGTTTCTGAATCTTCTGCCGGACGACAGGGTTCTTCATATGATCCTGAAGCGCTTGAGGATCTGACTGAGCTTGTTGCAGGATTTGCTGCATGACAGGATCGTTCATGATACTCTAAGGACATGGCACAATAAATTCCTGGCAGGAGTAGAGCATGCATAAGCTGAAACGTACCGCAACTTCAGGGTCTCGCACGGCGCGTTGTAATGTCTCCTCTTGTGTCTCCTCTCCTCGCTGGCTGGATAGGGCCTGCTGGATTTTGAGTTCCTGTTGAGCAATCTCCTTAGTATGCTGGTGTTCCGTGTCGTGTTCTGTCGCTTCCTGGACGGCCTCAAGAGCTTTCGTATATTCGCGCATGGCATGGAGGATATTTGACTTGCGAATATAGGCTTTGACTGTTTGTACCCAGAACCATTAAATTTGTTGAGTGAAGTGTGGCGCATAACAGACCGCGATGTTTAGACTTACCGAATTTAGGATCGACCTTGATAGCTTCATTGGCATCCTTCAGGGCTTCAGGGAACGCGACCAGCTTCATGTATGCCGCAGCACGGTTATTGTAGCCCCTCGCGTCCGAAGGGTCGCGTTTGATACTTTCTGTGTAGTCCCTAACGGCGCCTGCGAAATCTCCGGCCTTGAATTTGACATTGCCTTCTTCGCGCGAAGCTGCGCTCCTTTCGGGATCGATGTAGGCCTTGCGGTCTTGCTCAGCTTTCTCGCGTTCGATGTCGCGCAATTTGTTGAGGATGTCGGGTGTGCGGTGCTCCGTAAGCGACTTTTGGTAATACTTGATCGCAGAGGGGAGATCGCCTTTCTTGTGGTAGGCAGAACCGACGCGTCCGAGTGCCTTCGCAATGAGTCTGTAATCGGCGCGGAGCTGTCGACGAAGTTGAGTAACCAGATAGATCTTTGAAGACTAATAGTCTTACCGAGCGACCCTCGTCGACAGCGTCTTCGCAGACCTTAATCGCCTTGTCGTAGTCACCTTTTTCGAAATGCGCAGCTATAACGAATGGTCAACCGCAAGTCGTAGGCGCGTACCAATGAATTGACTAACCTCCCAGATTGGTAAGGAATGTCAGATCCTTCGGCCAACTATCCCAGGCAAGCTGGAACTTCTCAATTGCCTCATCGAAATTCCTCTGCTTATAAGCAGCAGCCCCAGCAGCCTTGGCGGCCTCTGCGGTCTTCTTAGCTTGGGCTTCCTCTGCGTCCTCCATCTCGACGTCTTCCTCCGCTGGGGCTGATGCGGGCTCAGGAGCAGGGGTGGGTTTTGATGAGGAGGGTTTAGGTGGCGAGGAGGGTGTAGGCTGCGTTGGAACTTCAATGCCTTCAGGAATGTCGTCCGAGCCTTCAGGACGTGTCGATGCCTGGATATCGATCCCCATGAGGGCACCGAGCACATCGATCATTCTAGGGTCTTGCAGTGCACTGTGCTCGCCCACTTTATTAGAGTAGCCCTCGAGCTAGAAATCAAGGCACTCACTTGTCAGCCAATCGAGGATTCCTTTGGATTTCTTGAATCTTTTGTACGAACGAGGGATCGGCAAGATGCTTTTGGGTACGAGGATTCGTAGCTAGCTTCCCAAGGATATTAGGATCCGAGAAGAACTTGCCTAGCCCAAGCGGCTCATCCGGGTTTGAATGGGCTGCAAAGAGTAAGATCAGGATACAGCGCCATAATGCACTAGATTTTTCGTGACGGACCTTTCGCATCCCGGACCTCCTGCAATCCTTTCCTCAAAGCAGGGCTATCCTCCAACTTGAGACCGCTCTCATACGCTGCGATGGCTTCATCGTAACGTCTTGCGCCGTGCAGAGCGGCTCCCTTGCGCGCAAAACCCTTCGACCAACTCGGATTAACTTCAATGCACTACAAATTTGAATAGGGAGTCAATAATCCTGACTACAAAGCTGTACGGGGATGTCAGCGTACCTCTTCGGCGTCAAGCAGAGCGGCGTTCCACTCTTTTTTGCCCGCCTTAGCAGCGCTGCGGTTGGACCATAGCACATGGTTCTTGGGATCGAGAGCAATAGCCTGGGTGAACAGGTCGATGGCTTTATCGTAATCCTTCGCGGCAAAGGCTTTGTTGCCGAGATCTTTCAATTCGTTTGCCTGAGATGGGGTGAGGATGTCAATAAGAGACGGACCGGCTGGTGGCAAGAGACGAGACGCGTACGCTAGACATCGCGGTCGTGGTGGCGGTTTTGCTTGTTCCTTCGATGGATCACAAATCGCGGAACTGGGCAGTAGGACGGTCGAACTTTTATTTGGAGGACGGGCGCCCAAATGAGTTATCGTTCTAGAAAGTACCACACGCTTCCCTATTCGGGTCACGCGTTGCTCAGTTGGGATCACGCCCCTATGCGTGTCTAATGCTTTCTCGACAACCATGACGCCCAGACCTCCAAGCGGGCCTTATGACGCGTCGCGTCTGCTCCCATCGACACTCCCGGTCTGCACTCGCGTTCTAGCGCGCCTCTCACTGTCTCCGGACCAGCCTGTTTAATCCCAAGTTGACGTTTCGAGAAAGACTCGGATGCTCTTCCGCGCGCTCTGTATCAACGATGGACACCCTTGATGAACCAATACCGATAGAGCTACTCGTCGACATTCACCTACCGGTCCTTTGAGAGTCTGGGCTCTGGATAATGGCGGATATCATCCACGGCGACTGTCTCTGGGTGGAAAAGCAATCATCGCTTCGAGGGAAGTACTAGGCCCTTCAGTTCTTGCGAGCGATCGAGTATCCTCCTTATGCTCGTGCGTTGGCACATGGCCTCGAGAACTACAGGCTTCACAAACTAACCCTGCTGTGGGAGTTTGGACTTGGCCATACCACCATACGGCTCTCATACTCACTCCACTGGCCTCGATCAACATTTTTCCAGGAAGAATAAAGCATAAACTGTTTGTTCCATCCTTTTTTCACCTGTCTCTGACGCCGGCGATGGTGTTTACGCCCGAGGGCGGTTTCGAGGATATTTTTACAAATCGCGAGTATGTATTACGCACTTTCATTCCCTGCAGGTTGTTTCATGGCGTCATAAAGCCGAAACGGACGTAACTTGCCATCTCTATTTATGTGTTCGGGCATGTTTTCTGCCAAGCAGCTTTTCGACTCCGATACTTGAGGACGCAAGCCAACTTCGTTCTCATCTTCTCAAGCGCGGCCTCGCTGCAAAGATGTGTTAGGAACCCCGAGCTTATGGCACAACGCTCAGTCATTCCTCAAGTATGCATGCTAGCGCCTATCGAATGGCCACTATTGTTGGTCAGACATGAAGATGCATTGCTGCGCATGGTGACGGACCAGAAAGTGGCTCGCTCGCCACCTTCATCTCATAACTTTGATCTGCTCTATAAACTCTCTACTTAGCGGCGAGCCCCGGGTTCCCCTTGCGGATTGAAGGCGGTCAGGACAATCTTCCCGACGGTCTTGAGCATTTTCTACTCTATTAGGTGTCCCCTTGCTCAAGCTTGCATCAACCTATGTGTGTAGCATGGGACCCTCGAGCTTAGTTCCTGCTTCTTAACCTCTTCAAATCCAAAAGGTATCATCAGGACCCGACTACTGCCAGCTCATTGTCGGAGACGAGAATGGGTCCTTCATCATCTGACTAGAAGATGGCTAGATTTGGACGTTATCTGGGCCTTGGTCCCTGTCAACATGACATTTCGCCGGCACGCATGTATCTTTGTTTCGACATCTTCCGAACATGAAATTCCATTTTTAAGTCGCTCACAAGGCTAACAGGGTAGCGGTGCAATGACGCGTGTTATTCATTACTCAGCTATAATTTCGAGGGTGCGCAGTGCAGGATATTCACTGATAAGTTGAGCGCTTATTTGGCACCGAATTGTTGGCGACGCAAGCGAGCGCCCATCAGGGTAACTCCGGATTTCGGCTTCGGGATTGTTATTTGTCGAGTAGACCTCCGCATGGTGCCGAAGTCCGTTGGCTATCCTCGCCATGCGCTCGGCGCAAGGCGTGCAGATACGTCTAATGGATAGAGGAAATTGATACACTGCAGCGAGAGGGGATGTGGCGAGTTCTGGTCGGGCATGCGGCAAAGCGTGCTGGAGCTCGTTCAAATTGAGCTGGCCTTCTATGACTGATCATGCTTTATGGGTTGCAATTGTAGGGGTATGGCTATCCAAATGGCAAATTCATTTGAAGCGTAAAGATTATTTTATTTTGTCTTTCTGAGGTGCGTTGGTCAGAAAGGGCAGGGAGCCGCACCAACTCCGGAGTGATCCTTCTGGTGGCCTCACGGGCAGGACGAGACTGAAAGGCATGGCAGCGGGGTGTTAGTAAGTAATTAGGACGGTAGGACGGCCGTGCTTACCGCCACCATAGAAGGGGGTCAGACGATGAGTCTCGGGACGGGGGTGCACGCGTGTACATTGTACGTACGGGGCCAGTGGATAAAAATGAGAATCCGTGGAGAGAATTTCGGTATGGGGGATCGCTGGAAAAGGAAGGCAGGCAATATTCCAGGCTCCCTCCGCCCTGGTGTGAGCAGACCTGCGGGCTCTCTCACGCAACCAGGACTGCCGGCGGTGAAGCGGCGGGCCCCGCTGCGCGACAGCGACTCGTGCGCGGCCCATTGTGGCGACAGGCGTTGGGTGTATGACCCGCAGGTGATGCGAAGAGGAGTGGGGAGGGGGAGGGGACGGGATTTGCGTTGGACAGGCGTCTGAGAAGGTGCCTTTGAGTTTGTGCAGCTTTGAGTAGGATTGCAACCTTTTTGTAGGCTCTGTGTATTTCATAAGTCCACTTCCTCGATCATCCGCCCTTGTTTCCCTCCTCCCTCTTCCTCCCATAACTATACCCCTCCTCCCTCAATTCCATACCCCGTTCCTTCTTTTTTTACCCCTCCTGAGAACACTTCTGCCGACGTCCTGATCGCTTACCGGTGCCGTTGACATGCCCGACGACGCTAACCCACCTCCAACCACTTCTTCGCCAACCACTGCGCGCTCAAAACCCCGAGGGACTACTGCCGGCGTCGTTCGCGGTCGCACGTCACCAACACCAGGTGCATCCGGCGAGCAGCCGAACGACGGGCGACCTCCAACCAAACGTGCGCGGAAGGCAATTAACTGCGAGCCATGTCGAAACAGCAAGCTCAAATGCGACAGGTCCCTCTTTTTTCTCTCTCTCGTGTCCAATATTCCTTGCTGAATTTCCCTTGTGTCCTCCAGGAACCGACCATGCTCGTCGTGTGTACTGCGAGGCAAGTACTTTTTCGAGCATTTCCTCTCGTATGTTTATCGTTCCAGAGATCTAACATAACCTTTTAGGCACTTCCGCAATGTGCTATCAAGATGCTCGAGGTCATGAACCCAGCGATCCTCTTGCCCGCGGAGATGATCATCAGTGAGTCTCCCATCGGGTGGCACCAAAAGGGTTTTCTCATCTCATCTACTCTATCCCCTGCCAGCTACACCCGCATCGATCCTGCCCAAGAGATCGCCCGCGTTCGTCATTCAATATCCCTCCTGGAGGCATATGTCTTCCCCAACCAGCGACCAACTGCCAGTCAGAGACGCGCCAGTGACGCAGCCGCATTACTTGTGCCTAAGAAGGAGACTGTTGATCCAGAGGTCGGAGAAAAGGCTGCCGCTGCACCTGGCATGCTTGGGAGCCAGGTCCAAGGTGGACTATACGCCGGCCCTACCAGTGCCGCCACACATCTGTTAATGGTAAGCACACTTGGCCTTGTCGATTCTCTGAGGCAATCCATTCATTCATTCACTAACACGCTGCCATATGCTCAGAACGAAGGACGCGAATCAGACGATTCTGACAGCAGACAACAAAGTCAAGACCGCGTTAATGATGATTTCGCTTCTATGACTCAGGAGTATGATCGTGATCTGCTCACCCTTCTCCCATCTCTTGAAGTCATCGACGGCCTCATCAAGTGTTACTTCGAATACTGCAACTGGATATACCGACATGTCAATCAACCCTCTTTCATGCAGCAGTGGGAGAGGTACAAGTCAGGTGCTAAAGCCGACCGCATCGTTCTCGCCACCGCCTGTGCCATGATGTCGATCGCGACCCACTACCTGCCAGCCCAGCACCATTTGCTCGAAACCTTCCAAGAGACGCACGAAGAGATCGGCCAAAAGTTTTTCGAGGTTTCGTCAACGTCCCTTCAGCGGCGGAATGCGGAGTCGAGAGCATATAGCTTGGAGCTTGTTGAGCTCCTGCTGATCCGTACACATTTCTTAACGCTGTCAAAGACCGACAGCGAGGAAATATGGCACGTGCGAGGAGACCTCATAACTATTGGGACCGCGATGGGACTACACCGAGACCCAGGAAAATGGAGGATGCACAGGGATGTCGCCGAGCGCCGACGATGGGCCTGGTGGCATATAATCTTGCTCGAACGGTGGGTTATCATTGAAAAATATCGTATCCACTCATTTACTGACATGAACACATTCAGTTGGCAGGCCTTCATGTTCGGACGACCAATAAGCATAGCTTCTCATCATTTCGATACCCAGCTTCCGTCCTATTGCGATCCATCTCTGGACAAGACCGGTCGGCTGTATCTACCTAACATTGCCCTCTTTCGCCTTGCCTTCATTCTGGGAGATATCATGGACGATGCAGTTTCGGTCCGGCCAGTTCCTTATGAAAACGTGCAAGCAAACGATCGTGCCTTGACGCAGTGGATGGACAACCTGCCGGAGGAGCTCGACCTGGATGAGTATCGTGTGGCGAGAAGTCTAGCATCGACGAACGTTGCCGTACGCAGATTGGGTGTCCAGAGCGTTATCATCCGCACTTCCTATTACCACATCCGCTTCACCCTTCATCGACCCTATGCCAGCGCCAGCACGAGCTCGCCAGCCAGCAGCAAGAGCCCTGCCACGGACTCTGCGAAATCCGCGCAGAGCCTCGAGATCGCCGTGGGTGCCGCCGACAAGCTCATTACCATGGTTGGGCAGTCACGGCCGGATTTCTTGGCCAATTCCTCCTTGGCCGTCCCAGGACACATGAACTGGGGCCCCTTCCACTGCTTCTCTGCGGCGATGTTCTTCTCATTCCAGCTTATCGCCAACCCAGACCAAGCCGGTGCGGGTCTCTTCCGCGAGAGCATTCGCAAGGCAATTACGACACTCGAGCAGTCTAGGGGCATCGCCGTCGCGGATAAGGCGTACGACATCCTGACGGCACTTGCACCACTATATTCACCCGATTTTCCACTGGCGACGGTGGAGGCACGGGAGAAGCGCCGCGCCCAGGTGCTTGGGACGGTGCGCAAGCTTGCGTTCCCGTACCACGACTCGCACGACCCGCGGCGGTTCGGAGACTCACCCAGCGGGCGCGGGACGATGAGCTCGCCCGCTAACTCCAGCTCGGTAAGCCCTCCGATGACGGTGATATCCGCGCTGCCGCAATACGATTCGATCCCATCGCACTCCCTCTCCTCAATGCGCACGCCTTCTAATTTGTACCCCACACAACAGTCGCTTGCTCAACCCCACATGCAGAACATGTCGCCCCAGGCCCAGTCGCAGGTCGTTGGGCATGGACAGACCCTTACATCGACGACGAGCTACCAGTATCCGGTGGCACCAAGTCACATCTACCCAGACCCCACTCGATACTCGTCCTATGTCCAACCCGTTGACGATAGTATGTGGGGTGCCGCCGTTGGGTTTGGTCAAGGAGAATGGACTCAATTCTTGGATGGTTTACGCCCTGACGCCCAATCCAATCGACATTTGCAAGGCTCATAGTTGCCTCATCGAACCTTTTCCCTTGCTTGCATTTTTACGGCTTTACGTGCTTGCTCTAGGGCCATGCTTTCTTTTTTTGCTTTCATCTTGCACTCGCTCTATCTTAGCTTTGTTTTGGAAATTTGTATCGACTCGCATAGAACACCGTCACCGATTGCCTTCTTCGCAGAATTTGTCTTTCTCTACTTATGAACTTCCTATGTAGCAGTAAAGAATGTAAATATTTAGGGAAGATTTTACCCCACGTGTAAATGCCAGATACAGCAACTTGTGCTGAGAAACGCGTCAAATAGTCGTCTAGACATGAATTACAACAGAGCATGGACAGAGCGAAAGCAGTGCAATAAGAAAAAAGTAGCAGAAGGGTCAGCTATAAAACATTTTGGCTGAGTTTTTGCACCCGCTTTACGCGGTTGTTAATGGCTGTCCGCAATTCTGACAGGTGAGAAGGAGGATTCATCTGGCTATCTGCTGCTACGAGGACTTGGTCGATGAGTCCGTAAGGTAGCCATGAGGTCGAAGCGTTTTTAGAAGTTTCTCGCGTCAGCTGTTTATCGGACTGTAGATTCCGATAAGTCAGCGGGGCTTGAAGCACCAGAACTCCGTGAAGTCTTACCTTGAGAACCAGGGCATAAGTGTAATTTACAGCGTCTGCGATAATTTCGTATCGCAGACTGACGCGAATGAGGTATTCTGGTTGGTGTTTCTATTAAGGACAATCAGTAGAAAGTTTACAATATGGTGGCGGTTGGTCGTACCTCCAGAACATCGATTAACCATGGTGGCGACAATGAGGATCTTCCAGCGCTGAGGATCGTCTCGAGTGAAGCTTTTGCATACTGATAATCGTTATCAGGTCCGTCATATCTCTTCAACGACTCCTGCAGGTATCTCCATCCTCGGTCCGAGGGCGTCCCTTGCCAAGAACTTGCATTGTCTGTCAAGAGCCAACCAGATGTGTCCTCCTGCCTGTATGAAACATGAGCTATCACGCACAGAACCTGTCAAGAGCTCCTCACAATACAGATCCAGGATTGCGAGAGAGACGAATACATTGGCTTGTCAGATGAATGAATACATCTGTCATGTCGATTTTCAAGCTCTTCGCGATGAACATGGCTTGGCTATAGTGACTCGCATGGGCAAGTCTCATCACAATGACTGAAGGAGGAAGGAGGAATTCTGCGGCGACAAGAGACATTTCAATCGGGAAACAATGCGAACGAAGCTGATGATTAACCTACCCGGAGATGAAAGAAGGGTGGGTTCCCGTTTGATGCTGTCGATTTGGGCTCGAAGAAGGATGGCCTCGTATTCTATATCGGCGAGATGGACGATCTGGGTATCGTGCTTGCTGGAGATATATTTGGATTCTGGGATATATTTCGACAATTTCTGGAGTTTTCGAGACTGCGGATAGTGAAGGTCATGGAAATTCAGACTTAAAAACGGCACTAACCGGGTCTGGAATCACTGGCACCAGTATCCAGGCTGTCTTTTCATCTACTAAGTGCAATGCATTGATGGCGACCGACAATGCCTCTAATCGAGTCTCGGCGAGAGAAACGAGGGATGTAGCATCCTTTATGGCATCTGCCAACTTCCGTGCCCGTTGATACATCGTCAGAGATGCTGCGACAAGGTTGAGTACGCTAAGTCAAGGAGGCGGATGAAACGGAGAATATACGAACCATTACGATAATCCCCCCTTCGAATATACCACGTGTATAAGATGCTGGAGTAGCAGGGCGTGGCGCGTGGATCCGCGTTTCGGGCCTTGAAAGCCAATGCAGCTTCGATGTCACTTGCGATACCAGCAAAATCAAAGGTCATCAGTTTTTCCACTGCGGTCTCCTCGCACATGGTAATCGCCAGCTGGCTAGCACATTCTCTTTTCCTAGAGAAATTGATAAGCTCAAGTCGGAGTACAGCCCAGGGGAACGCACTGCTTCTCAAACGGAGTTGCCATTACTGAAGCATAGGCATCGTCATATAATGCTAAGTCAGTCAGCCCCTTTGCAACAGTGTTCCAGAGGGGTGCTGTGTCAACGCCAGGAGGTGCCACTTGGATGGCTAATTGAGAGAAATGGACCTCATGCTGAACGAAATCCCGGAACATGTCTGCGGCAAACAGATAGAAGGAATATTGCGAATCAATGGGATGCGCACTAGAAAGCACCGACGACAATGCTTCAGAATCTTCGTACGTCAGATTGGCAACACCTGCATTTAGATGAGTATTTGGATTCACAAGTGAGGGCAGCGCCAAGCTCACCAAAGCACCCGGCCAACATCTCCAGAGTTTGGGAGGCGTCATCTATCCTCCCAAGTCTTAGCATCACCTGTGACTGGACGTATGTCGCAGCAGGAGTGCGAGGAAGCCATGATAACAGCTCTCGAGTAATGTCGGGGAAGCCAAACAACCTAACCCGATCGCAAACCAATATTTCATGCTTAGTGGCATGCGCCGGCGAGAGTGATTGGAGTACACCTGTTCCGTCCAAGAAGTTGTGCGAAATTGCAGCAATGCCATCGCCACCCGGTGACTGGGCCACAAAAAGGTGCATCAACGATGATTTGGAAGGAGGTTGGGTCTTGCTGCTCGAGACGTTCATATTGCGCATCTGGGCGATCACATCATCCGCTGAGTTTGACGATCCATGATGCAAAGCGTTATTGACACCTTCTGCAGGTTGGTTGCCCAAGAATCGCAGCATAGCTACACCCCTGAAGACTGCAAACACTTCTGCAAGAAGAGACGCATCCCACTGTGAAAGGTCGTCCGACGAGAAGAACAGTAGAATGATGAGGCAAAGGCATAGATTATATCTTGCTTCGATGGTCGTCGTGCAATATGCAGCAGCTTGAGATTGAAGCCATCGGGACGGAGGAAGGACATTCAGAAGTTCCGTATCATTTTCTTCTCGTTTGACCGCCAGGTCAAAACCTCCAATCGAATCTAGGGCTGTCCTTGTGGCTCCGTCAATATCGTCGATACTATGGAGGCGTCCAGTAAACCAGTTCCGTTCGCCTTCATCGAGACTTTCCTTGAATTTAATGCGCTGAGCTTGGTCTTGTAGAATTTCAGCAAAGGAAAATGCAATTTCCTGGTGCATGATGTCAACAACGTGGCTCTCCAGATCCGACAGAATGTGAGGGCCTAATTTGGATCGCAGCGCCCATAGCACTGCAAGAAGGTTGTATTGGGGATGAGGAGCTTGATCACGGTCAAGCATGCGATGGAGGCATATAGGGACGTCCTCAACAACGAGAGACCCGACTCTTTCTCGTTCAACTACGACGATCCCATTCTGGCCGTGAGCGCCAATTGAGAGGGGCCAGCGTGCGCTACGTTCTACCTCTCGGCATCTGGCCAGAAATCCCTCCCAATCCCTCTTCAAGGCAGTCCAATAATTGGCGTGTTGAAAGCCACCAGTCAGCGGATCGCGGTTTAGGGTGACGGTACAGCCAACGACGGCAGCGATATTTTCGCACAGGGTGGCATAAGTATTCAGGAGTTGGGGCGGAGGCGACCCCGGAAGAGAAAGACAAGCGTCGACATACTTGTCCAGCGCCGTTCGAAGAGTGAGAGAAGAGAAAACGCCTGGCTTCATGACTGCATCGAGGAATTTCTCTGTCAAGGAGCCGGGGGAAAGGAGCTGCTCTTCCATGTACGCAGGCGTCAGCTCGGGTTCGTGAGAGTATTGAGATGCCCTCCACAAGGCAGGCTGTAGATTGTGCGATCGGAGAGCCGAAACATTGAAATCCGTCCTCTCGACCATGGATTGTCCCTGTTGATCCCATAACGTGTATAGCGCATTCCCAACGACCATGAAATCCTGGAGATGGCAGTGAACCGTATGTTTGGGGCACTCGATGATGCCAACATCAATCAGCTGGTCGGTTGAGGTGTCTAGCAGACAGAAAAATCCACCCGTCGTGGAGGACGGCGTCGGAATAAAGGCAAGGATATACACATCCATCCGTTCCTCATCTTCTGATGTAAGGGAAAAGACCCTAAGGAGTTTCTGCTGTTCTGCGTCGAGGAGGAGATGCTTGGCGGTGGGTGAAGTACTTGTCGAAGCATTTCTAAAGTTGGGTACAGTTGGTAGAGTCTTGGAGGCTACACAACCAAGTTTGGCTTTCCATAACCGAAGTGTTCTGTCTCGCGACATTGTCCACACGTTTCCTATGTCTGTGGGCCATGGGTGTGACGCTAACGAAATGATATCGGCCGCATTAGGTATTCCAGAATGCAGCGGCAGGAAGGCGGTCAACGATGAAAGGAATGAGCCGTGGTGGAAGACCGTTTCGATCCATTCCTCTGTGGAGTGCATTAGTTTAAGTTCAAGCTACATTTACCATTGTGTACTCACCGTCGTGACCATCGTAACCCATTGACTCCGCTTCAAGTCTCAGCAAATCGCCGTTTGGCAGTGAGATGGCGATACAGTATGTCCCTTGAGCATGGATTGCACAATCCCTTACATGTTCAGAAGGTAGATTCTTGATAAAGTATTCTCTCGGCCATATGCTTTCGGTTTGGTTTTGCCAGAGGTTCAGACCTTCAACTGGTATGATCAACCGGTACAACGACCCGATGTCGGTGACGAGAAGGAGGTGGAGCTCGGATTGTTCCCAAAGAAATACGAAGGGCGTTGGGAGGACCAGGGCAGGGAATACGATGCGGAGGGGTGGCACTAGAGTGGACAGTGAAATAAGCTCGACAACCACTCCACCCTGGATGACGCGAAGAAGGATGGTCCCCGTGGTTGGTGTGTTGAGAACGAAGCTGCATGTTGCATGGTCCGTCGGTATGTCGTTATCTTGTACAGAGGGTGGGAGTGGGGCATTTTGACGCGCGGTTTGGACGATGATATTCGAGGGTGGTGCCAAGCTCAGTGAGGAAAGGTGAGTCGCGACCAGGCAGTAGTCATCCATGTTGGCCCTCAGACGTCAGGTCTTTCATTCACTACGAGGCAGGTTTCGTGCCAGGTTGCGCCTTACGAGGTTCAGGAGAAGGTAGGACCAGCAGGAAGGGTGCAATAGCGATCTGGTTTCAATACAAGACGCGTCAAAAAGCTGGTCACGTTCATTTCATGTTCACACACTCACTGGTTCACTCCAACAGGCAACCCCTTTGCTTCAGGAATAACAAAAACCATTACAACCACCTAAGTGAGCGCTATACGGCAGGTATTATCTGCAAATAGCACTGGTATGAGTTGTGCAGCTCTGTATATGTTGCCAATTCTTTATCGGATATCACCCGGCCGCGACCTTACAGCAACCTCCTCACAGCACTGTCTGTCTATCGGGATTCGTGCTTTAGAAACTGGCAAGATGAGCCGCCTGATAATGAAAGATTAGTTAGCGGGCTGTAACGCGTCGATTTATTGACACTGTAATATTTGACTACTGGAAATGTCACGGGAAAAATGTGGTTCGACGAAGCTAAGTAATTGTGCTGGAAGACGAAGTGCACGGACCTTGGACTAGATTACATAGTGATAATGGACTTACGAGTATGTATCATAGGCGAATTATTTAAGGAGTGTTTCAGTCGTTGTGGCCCACATGCAAGGCGGATATTAGCCAAATACTAAATGCAACAGTAATCCAGAAGAAACGAATAGTGCACATTCCTTAGCGTGAGCTTGCCTTGGGAGTCAGAGGTCTGGCATTTCCTCGGATGCCGTCGCGCTGGCCAATAGAGGGATAATTGCTCCAGATCTTGCTCGTCTCGAGTCAATGAAAGCCTAAATACACCCCGTCTACTGAAGCCTGAAGAGCGATGATCATACCCTTTTCTGATGACAAGGCTGTGAGGTCACCCACGCATCCCCCCAGGGCCATAGGTGCCTCCCAAGATAACCCTGGAGAGATAAAACAGAGGCATTGCCTGAATTAGGCTTCCTCAAGAGGCTCGATAGTTTCAGATTTGATTATTTAAAAAGCCTTTTGCCTCGTCTGATCTAGGCGAATACCTCGAGGGGGCACTCCATTTATTTCCAATGCATCAAAGGCGTCAAAGAGATCCTGATATTTCAACTCACAGCCATTGTCTCCAAAAAGTAGAAGCGGTCCAGTGGCGAGGCTAGAGGCACCGAAACTCTAGTCAGAGATTGGGCTCCGAAGTACCAGAATCCTGGACCTCGTCTTTGCACCCATTCCAGCGTGTGTGGAGCAGGCGGCAATTGAACAAATCGGGTACTTCGCAACTGGTTAGGAACGAGGCAGCAAAGAAATGCTATCCGGCCACTGAGAAAAATGCACGTTCTTCGAGACCGTCAATTAGATCTTGATCGGGCAGCCAGCATAATCGCGGAGTGACATAGTTCTTCCACGCGGAAGTAGCATGAACGACAGAGCATGGTTCTTGACATGAGACTGTTCATATCAGGGATATCACTTTCAGCTTTGGACGAAATTGCACAGCAATAGGAGGCCAAATATGATAGTGTTGTGTGGTTCTCCGAGTCGGTCGACAAATCACAGGTGGCACAGGGAAGAGACGCAGCTGGACAATGTTGCCGTTAATCTTCCAGCACTGAAGAATGTTTTGAACGTCGACCAGGTTTCAGAGAGAAATATAAGGAACTCCTGGGAGCATCCTTGAGGGTCAGCACTCGTTTTAGCATTCCACATTTTTGACACATCCAACCTTGCAATGGGTGACGTCTGAGTCCGGCATTCCCGAGGCGTTTTTTGAGGGTGCAATTGCGTTATATATTCTCGAACGATTTCGATAATTGAAAGAAGTTGTTTGCGGAATCAGCGGCTCTCTGTTATTTCACTTGGGCTCCCATTTGAGGGGGCGAAACAAGACTATCCACGAAAGCGGGGTCCAAAGGCAATCCTTGCGCATTTTTCCAATGACTGAAAGAAAAAGAATAATGGCAGGAAAAAAATGGAGTAAGGCAGCCCTGATCGACCAAGTAGCAGAAAGGAGGAATTAGATGGCGACAAAGGGAGTGAAAGACGACTTGCGTCCGTTCTCGTACGGCGGTTGTGCGGTCCGGGACTTTCCCTGGACTCCGACGCACACCATATTGGGAGCCCGAATCTTGCCCAAGGTCGATCACCTTCAAAAACGGTCAACTCGTGCACTTGTCCTGGATCTCCGTCCATCGCTTGACTTCGCCATTTGTTTTTCTAGGCCGGCCTCATCACCCTTTACCGAATCGACCCTTGAAGAATATCCACCCTCGGAAGCGCTGAAACTGTACCAACAGGTCGCCCCCTTGCCTGATAAGCATTGCAAAATGTTCTTTTGCACCTATGCGTCTCCGCCTTTTTCATTCTTGGCTGATCTCCTCCCTCAAGCGACATGCCATTGATGTATAGACCCGTCCTCGTGGAGGCTAATAACAATCCTATGGGTTATACCTACTTTCTCTCGTGATGATCGAGAAGCACGGTGAGGCACGACGTCCTCGTTGCGCCTCCCTCAAAGGCGCCTTTAAATGGAGATCGAGACGCGACGTCTAATCCTCAGTATCATCCTCCTCTCTCCTCTATTCGAGAGTAATCCTCGTACAAAAAAGCCGCTCTCTGAGCACTAGAAGACCTCTTTTATCTAACTCTACGGTACGCGTCTTTCTCCCTGAACTCTCAACGTGTCTTGACGTATTCGCCTAGATATTTGCCATGGAACAATTTTGCACCTTCGACGCCATTCTCTTTGTGTCTGACGGTGCGCATGGGCATTTTCTTCTGCCATCACCACGTTTTTTGAAACAAAGACGCTTCCAGGTCGCCCGCCTACTCTGGTTCAGCTCATGACCAGGTATTTCGGAGTTTTCCAGGACATGCGGCCAAAACTTACATTTGAACTCCATAGTCCGCAAATTTCAGCCCAACACGCGCCATACGGTGCTCCGCAAACCCGGATGCCTCACCCAGAGGTGTTCATGGACTACGTATATATCCGGTCCTATCTCTCCGAATGAAAGGCAGCGCTGACCACATAATTTTTAGATCGCCGACGGTCTTGGATCCAGGTCGTGGAAGTACCAGGTTAGCCTTGTCCTGATAAACGTTTCTTTCCTCGGTCCTTACGGGTATAAAATAGTTGGTTGAGGCGCTCGATGGCATGAACCGCAAGTTCACCAACCCCTACATCATTTTCTATCCTGTCATCTCTCGCGATGGCATGCCTTTCCCGATTAACCAGTCTATTCGTGACATCCAAGGCCGTGCCTTTAGAGAGGATCAAGCATGGCGTGGCAACATCGTCGTTGCGAAATACCGCGAAAATCCCTTCACGTCCATGATGGATGCCTCCATGGCCGACTTTCCAATCCTCAAAAACTACTTTATGACCCATGGCGCGCCACGACATGTACAAGTGAGCTGTTTTCCTTTCCTCGTCGGATTTGTACGCTTACTTTTCCCAAGCCCCACAACCAAATGTAACCGAAGATGTGCGGACATAGCGCTCCCTACCTCCTACTTTACGACGCTGACTAATACTCTTTATCTGGTCTATCTCAATCTTATATAAGCACCGTCTACGCACATATGAACCCTTTAGATCCACAGGCTATATTGATATGCCCACTATGATACATATATGTCTACTATCACACTAAGTAATTATAATTCCTTGTGCACTGGCTTATCCCTCGCCTTTTGCCTCTCTTTCTCCGCCGCCTCCTTCGCGGGTTTCGCTTTCTTCGGATCGCAGTGTTCAGGAATCGGACTCGCAGGGTCAATGGGTGGGTGATTCACTCTTCCAACCTTGACATAGTCCTTGTGCTCTGCATAAAACTTTTTCCAATGGGCGAGACCCTACAAACCATGAGGAAAAGGAATGCTTAAAGAAACAGACATCAGGGACGTACGCGCAGTTCATCTTCTAGCATTCCCCTAGTGTCATGTGTACGGTGGGTTTCAAAGCAGCCAGTGCCGAAGGCGCGAGCAGCGTCCACCCCAACACTGAGGTGATCCGAGATTAAAACCAATAGAATGCATGACACTAATTTCTGCTCACAAATGGTGATAAGATCCGCCTGGCTGGTAGGCCCTGCCCTTCGAGACGTCGTAAACATCACCGTCAATCTGGCGTATGAAAAGCATGAGTGCAACGAGATAGACGGGCATCAAAGAAATCACACACCGCCAGATAAAATGGCTTCCCGTTTTCTCCATTGTACGTCGCAAGGAGGCTCTCGGAGAAGAGTCGTTGGTTTTGCTACAAGGGAGGCGACAATCAATGCGTTATATGGCAGGCGTGGCGTTACGAAATCCCGGAGCGAAACCCACCGGCCAATATGTCTTGAGCTGTAGCCACTTGCTGCGGTTCTCCCAAGTATAGCTTCCAGTGAAGAACTTGCCAGCCAGAGCGAAACAGAAGAGCACAATTACGATGAATTTGAGGAGACCAAGTAGCCCTACTTCTTGTTGAGCAGTCGGGTCGGGTTCCAGAGGGCCAACCTTCTCTCCTCTAACTATCTTTTCGTCGCGTGCCTTCTTCTTCTCCAGCCAAGCAGCATGCAGGGCCTCTTGATGTTCGCGATACTCCTTATAGCTTCATTGCGCGTATATTAAGAATTAGAATGTAGACCCTTGTACTCCAGGTGAATATAAAACACGTACGCAAGGAAAGGTCGATTTGCGGTCTTGTTGGACACCATTCTGTTCGGGATCGACGGATCTTGCACCTTGTTAGAAGACTTGTCGACGTAGGGAGGAGGACCCTCGCCGCCAGCCATTTCCTTAATCCACGACATTGTGTTGAGCGACAAGAAGGGTGATAGGTGGAAGTTCAAATGGCTGGAATTCGGTGGTTTGCACTGCATAGTACGAGGTCCAAAGTTAGCTGATGGGAGAATACCGGTGATAGCCGATGTCCAACCCGTATTCTCAACAGCGTGGAATATTGAATACTTGTCGAATTGCTCGACAAGTATGACCAGACACAAAGCTACAAGGAGAGCGTTGGTGTTCTTGGGCTGATCTGAAGAACATCTACTAACACAGTCTGGCGTCGTATGGACGAGGTTCACCTCGAATGTTTCTGAGGTTTGCAGAGACAGAATGATTCAGGCAGAGGATTTGCATTACGGGGCTTTCTCCGCTGGGAGTGAGATGATATACATACATGAAGTAGAGTATAGAGAAACGATGTGTAATTAGTCCCGAATCCGCCCCGTATACCCCATGTAAAATAAGAGAGGCGAGTAAATAACCGTATTACGAGTATAGAGGGGATGTCGAGGCGAACAGAGAGAGATGATATGTGACAAGAGAGCAAAACAAATGTATGGATGAGCCTTGGAATCAAATGGGTAAAAAGAACCTCCGGGGAATCAACGATGGCGCCTGGACAAGCAACCGCCAAAAGAAAAATGAAGAAAAGGGATTATGAAATGCGACAGACATGTGGTTCAATAAGTGCATATGCATAGAGCCAACGTCCCAACGAGGCATCGAGAGTTCAGAGAGCCATAGGAGGAGCAACGAGGAAGAGAAACTCGAAGAAAGCATAGATAGACGATGCACCCATCATGATGAGGCTGGCACGGAAGAGGCAGACTGAGCTGCTACTTGCTGCCGGTGTTCACGTTCGCTGCCTTGTTGAGAGACAGTGATGTAAGCACCGCCAACTTCCTCTGCAGCAGAATTCAGACCAGGTGGGGCCGTCAATCCTCCGGACAAGAGATGAATGTCGTTCTCAGTGGGATCGAAGTCTTCAACCCAGTTACGCATGGCAAGGAACTTGGGCGTCTTGATGAACTAGGGAAAGGAAAAATGTCGTCAGTTGTCAAATCAAATTACATCTAGTTAGCAACGAACCTTGGGCACGGAATCTGTGGCCATTAGACGGAAGACGTGGATCTGAATACGCTCGTACAATCGAATCATGGTCTGCAGCTGCGTAGCATTGAAAGCGTTCGCCTGCTCGGGCTCAACGCGACCTTGGAAGGCTTTACCAGTTAGGCCCGTGACAACGTCCTCCAGGTACTTGACGAGCTCGTTCCTCAAGCCGTGGTCAATGTTGAGTTCACATTGACTTGAAGGGGCGAGGTATGTGTTGTAGATAACGAACGCAGTATTGATCAACGATTCGTGGTGCCTTTCCATGGCAGCTTGACCAGGAGTGTTCCTGTTTGCGGGACGGGTGATGGGTGCCACAGCCATCGCACTGGAGGTGATGTTAAACTTCTTCTTGAAGTCTTGAACATCGAGCCAGAACGACAGATTCTCCTCGCAGAAGTTCCCTCGCAAGAACTCGCGGAAAAGAGAGCGCAAGCCGGGTTCCTCGAGAATGTACCTGAGGCGGTCAGTATTACTCTCCTTCGAGTTCTTCTTGTCGCCACCGTCATAGTTGGCATTCAACTTCTCGGCCAGCGATATACGACGATGAATCTTGGCGTCGCTGCCCTTCTTCTCTCCTTCCACAGAACCGTCAATGGAAGAACGGTCGGTCGGTGCCAGGTTCGTCGACGAAGCGGCAGGGGAACCTTGGGCTCCGAGAGTCCGCGATCCATCCCAATGAGCGACACGACGACCTTCATCAGTGATCTTGTAGATGGCCTTGGCGGTGCATCTAAATTCACCTTGTTGCTGGGGCACAAATGAATAAAGATAGAAGTAACGAAGAGTATGGATGACTTACGCTGACAGGGGAGTTGCCACCTGGTGCAGACCCACGGACTGTGAAAATGATGGCGGAATCGTTGTTCTTCCTCTTGTCACTGACCAAAGTGATGAGACCGAAGCGCACAAACTGAGCAGCCATTTCCGCCGCCTCCTCCCTACCAACGACTGAGGTGAAGTCACAGAGCCACTCCAACGCGCTGACGGCGGCGAAACAATGCTTGTGGACCTGGGCGGGCCTGCCGAGGAGAGGCTGAGCACGTTCGGTAACGTCGGTCACAGCGATACCCTTAGATCGTTCGTTGTATCTCTGGAATACGTCTAGGGGCTTATCGGCAGGAGGTGGTACATTGGGACCTCGTCCAACGAATCGACGGAAGAGGGCAGTGATGACAGACTGAGTAACAATGATCTCGTCATCGGACGAACGACGCTCGAGATGGAGGAGTTTGATGCAAATAGGTTGGGAACTGAAGACGGGTTGGAGATGATCAGAGTTGATGCCGTTCCTCGAGATGAACCGTTCAAGAACATGCAGGCCCTTGGGAGTGAGTTGATACACGCCGCGCTCCTTGAACAGATTGGAACTTGGGTCGGTAGCGTTTTCGATCAGACGGGCATCCATGAAGTGTTGGCTCATTGCCTTGGCCATCTCGCGAGTCATGGAGAACGTCGTCGTGGTCGTAGTCGTCACAACTCGTGAAGGGTCCCTAGGATCCGGCCCACGATTCGATTGGGAGAATTTGAGGGAAGCAAGGTTCTGGGCGGCCTCGTCGCTGTTGCGAAAATTGAGACACGCATACGGGCTTGTTCAAGTGTTGAACTCACGTTGTGAAGGAGTGGGGGAAAGTACGGAAGAACTGCTTGTGGGGACCAAGCTGCAGAGACACGATGAGGGTGGCGAAAAGATCCAAGGTATCCTGTGAGGGGAGGTGAGGGGCATTCTCGCGATACGAGTTTGCCACACACCTTGAGGAACGGCCTCCCGCGTTTTGTCGTCTTCATCATGTGAGACGATGTAGTCTGGGGCTCTGGTTCTGTGAGAGCGGGCATTGTGGCGGACGAAAAGAAAGAATAAAGAAAAAGGGAGAAGAAAAGATGAGGTGGAGGTGAGGAACCGAGGGGCAGCAGGGGAAAAGAAGAAGACGGTGGGAATAATCGGCTCCGTTGCCAATACAACAAATTTCCCACGAGGGCGCGCCTCATGCTCGCTTCAGCATCCCCTGTTTGGGTCTGACTGCCGACGCCGCATCATCCTCTTCCGTCCTCAGCGCGTCCCCTCGTCATTCTTAATGCCGCCACCTTTTGCCACCGACGCGCTCTAGACCATGCAGTCTGACCTCCCCCACTGCTCTCCTATCGTCCCGCCAGACGCTCGTCCAGCCCATACTTTGTTGCCAGAGGCATCCAGGGTCGTCACACCGACTCGGACATCATCTCCAGCTCATCATGGTCCAATTCTCTCACTCTAATTGGCATGGCTTCTCGCGGAGTAGTCCGCTAAGCGCCTGGCTTGCCCTCTCCTCAGTCGTGTTCCCCCTTCGCCGTCTTTTTGGGTATCATTGCTCTCCTCGGAATGGTGAGCTGCAGCCAAGAATTTCTAGAACGCTGTGCAGATGCGATCTGCTACATTTCAATCTCATGGATTTCGAGGAGCCCCACGGCATCTGGGTGCCCGGTTATTAAAGTAACGTTCCTAACTAAGCACTGACGCCAACCCATTCATGCATCTCATCTCTGAGCGGTCCGCCGGCTTCATTTATACGGTGGGTTATTCGTTTACACGAACGGTCAATTTTCACTCAGTTCTAAACGACAGGATAACTCAACTGCCAGATGCTGTTTGAACGAGGGAACTCCGGGTATTTCAACGAAGAGTTTGTCCTACTTAGTATCGATACTATGGGTCCCCATCTTCTAAATTTGACTATAGTTCCTTCTCTCTAATTTCGAGTGATCGGCCAGACTTAAAGATGGTCCTTCGCCCGGTGCTCGTCTCTGGAGGAGAGAATCATAAACATACCCTGGTCCAGTATCACATCTCTCCTCTCACGATCTTAAACCATCTCCCCACTGTCGATTCTCAGGCTGCTTATAGTCTTGGAGTGAAGATACACGAGTACTAGTGAGGAACGCACGGATGATATCACGGCTTCTAAAAATTCGTGGAGGAAGTCCCTGACTCCCTGGCCGCGGAAGAAATCTAACCCAGTCGGGACGTCTTCCGGCGTTTAGATGTCATTCTCAGCTGCTCACTCCCTACACACGTGTACGACCTTGTACTTGCTCACCCTGGCGTTTATTTCTTTGCAATCCCGAAAAGCGAACAAGACCTTCCTTTGTCCCCCTTTGAAGGTTGGCTTTCTCTGTTGGCAACTCCCGCAATATTGTGGACAGCATTAAGCAAGAGACCTGTGTGGCGTCGAGCTGGTTTTGTACAAATGAAGACGCAGCAATCATTAATCAGGTGCTTCACTGTACTTAATTTGTAGGCGCCTCTTGCTGGGGATGTAGCTCAGTATGCCCCATCTAAATGACGATAACATCGCACTTTACGCTCAGCATAATATACGCTGATAGGGGTGACCTCTGGCCCCCTTCCCAATGAGAGATCATTGAGCTTCCAGTGTAAGATGGCGGCAATAGATCAGATATCCGTTTGAATTCACCTCGGAGGCAAGGGCTTTCTTCGGCATTTGTTGAGGCGAAAGGACCCGGAGAGGAACGAGCTGGAACGAGCTCGTCGCAGGGCGGATCACTCGAAAATTATCATGATTTGGAATGCAATATGAAAATTATCAGATATGTTCCTGCTGCTCGAAACCCGAATTTCGGGCCATGATCCCGTTCGAAATTTGTGCCTGGTGATGTAAGGTAGCGCTCGTCGGGGTCTACAGTTGGTTGATCTAGGCGCCCATTCGGAGGGCATCAATATTTCGTGTGGACGCGCGGGAAGGTTCTCGAGCCTGCTGTGGCAGTTGACCATGACGTCGACTTCAAACATCAATGTTAGGCTCGTCCTTTCTTCGCTGGACATGACTGAAGCAATCATCTACAGGATCCTGCGGGAGTTGCAGCTCTCTTGGATCAGCTAAAATCATCGGCAGCATGGCAGGCGCTTACAAACGCATCACAGCCCGCGACCGTTCAACCCGACACTGGTCCTCCACCCTTCGTCAATGTAGCACCATCGATTGCCGCGGAACGAGTTGCATCAAGTGAAAATGGTCCTGCTGGTGATTCTACTTTCAGTAACACCTCAGTCGCCTCCCTTCTTTCTCAGTTGAAGACCATTTCTACCGGCCCGAACCTTCAAAGGGTCAGTGGTTCGAATGTCTATTCTCAAGGCATCGCTGGTCCTGGCAGTCAGATTAACGGCCCACCCAAGAACCCGACTTCACATTATGTCTCCTCATCTGTGGCTCTACATGGACAACCAACGACGGACGGCATCGAGGACTTGACGAAACTGAGCTTTGCACAATCGTTGCCCTTAGTATCCAATCTTGCAGAAGATCCTGCCTTTGTTTCATCGGTAAAAAGGGTGGGGTTTTGTTCATCATTGTCTTCTTCAACTCTGCAGTTTTTATTGGTGATGCCTAGTTAAAAAACGACCAGGAGGACCTAGAACGACAGCTGTGGACTGAAAGAGAAGCCATCTACACGAAGTACCACGAGAAGTTCAAGGTAGCGCAAACGAAGTAAGGTTACTCCTCGGTGTGCTTTAGAGTGCCTTGCCAACCTCCTGCGTATAGGGCACAGATGATTGGAACAACCGTATCCCAGCACGAGCAAGATGTGGGCCACTGCGATCCGCGATATGAACTTCTGAGAGTCTGAGACTAACTGGCTCCTTAGATGATGAACGACGCCTTCAAGAAGGAAATATTCAAGTTCGACCACGACCGCGTCATACCTGCTTGGGACGGTCTTGTGTCAAGGCAGCAGCTAGAACTCGCTCAGCTCAAAGTGCCAACGATGTTCGTCACCGGCGAAGCGCGTGATCGAGAGGTAAGTCCTTCAGGTGTGATCTGCAACCTCCGTGTCCGATATCATGTCGTCGTCGGCTCTCAAGCGACAGAACCAGGTTGCAAATGTATTGGCCACTATCGTCGGTGCAAAGACGGCTTGATCATCCTCATTCTTCCGGATATCGAGCCTTTATCATGTCGAATGCCAGCCGGCCAAGAAGCTGGTTGTCGGAACGCCGGATTCGGAGATCTGCATCGGGCTTGCCCGTTCAACCTGTTGCCTATCCAGTCCCACTATATTCACCGAACATACTGGCTCCTATCCATAGTCAAACTAAACAAACTTTTTTCCGTCATGCTTCGAAGCCGTTGTCTGCCGTTGCCCTCGTTGGTGTGCTGCATGGTGGGCTCTAATAAGTGTTTAATCATTTGTTCCGTGCTGAACTCGGAATACGGCTGATCAGGGCGATATTTCTGCTCGACCTCTCGTATCCAGATTCACCCGATTAAGGGGCTATGGAGGCCTCGTAAAGCCACGGATGAGAGAGATGGCCTTTTCTCAGGTGCGAGGCGCTTTCGTGGCCTTGGTCACACGCAGTCCGCCTATCATGGTCAATAATAGCTCTTACAGCTAGAAGGTGTGGATAGGAGGAGAAAGCTGTGGCGCAGAGACTTGAGCTGACTAAGCAACGGCCTTACGAACACGAAGTCAGGGTCTCCAATTTTCATTTTCCGCATTAAGGGCAGCGTTGCTGAGCCTGAGATGCAGATGTTCAATTCAACATTTCTTCGCCTGCTTCTGTCCGACCATCATCTTTCATGTTCCCCGCCTTGCGATAGCCACGACACATCCTCCCCTCTGACCTCATCATGCCCTGTGTCGACCTCCACAGCAAGGCAGACTACGCTTCCATCTACTACACCACCAACTCACCACACTCCAATGTTGGTGGTTTCGATCCGGAGAAGCCTACCATTGTCATTCTCCATCCCATCTTTCTAGATTCCACATGGCTGGACCTCCAATTGGGCGACTCGCGCCTCAACAAGCACTACAATATCATTGCCTTCGATATGCGGTGTTCTGGCAAGTCGCACTGTCGTCCAAGCGGTCGTCATGATAGTTGGGTGGATTGTGCAGACCTGGCCTTTTGTTTTCAGGTGTGTTTGTCTACTGCTGCAGGGCTAGAAACGTATCTGAAATGTCGTGTCGGTAGAAATTACACCTCCCACCCAGCCATATCCTCGCTCTTGAGGGGTCGTCAATCTACTGTGCGCTTAGACTTGCCCTGCTGTACGCTGCGACGCGTCTCTTGCACCCCCTTTCCCTCTGACGGATTCGGTAGTTTTCCCGAAATGTGCCTCAGCTTGACGCTTGTGAACGTCCCTGCACCGGTGGAGTAGGTTCCCTTTTTCGTGTTAGCAAGACGTATTGCTTATCACATGTAGGTTGAAATGGATATACAAGAATCTAGACGAACTTGTTCACGGAGCGTGCTTTGCGGAGGATCTTTATTCGTTCGAGCAGTCTGCCTACGATTGCCTGGAATTCTTATTTGGCCCAGTATGTACTCCGCCGACGACCGAACGCATGAGAATGGCCGCTCACTTGATGAATTAGGCTTCTGACCGGGATCTAATCGATGAGGTTCGTATTCTCTTCTCGTTGTTACGCTGCACACTCCAATGCTCACATGAATACTTCTAGCTCATCGCATTTTGGGAGCTAAGCTTACCGCCTCGAAAACGTGCTCGTCTGGCAGAAACAACTAGCGTGTATATCAATGTTCGTCGGAACTCGTTTTATCTCGTTGCAACACTGACAATTTTGATCAGCGTTCCCCGTTAAGCCCGGACGCGTACGCGATGATCACCCAGCCTGTTCTCATCATCCAGGCAAGTCGTCAGCTTCTACACACCTGGAGCCGTCATCATGACCTATGGTGAAACAGGGTGAAAAGAACGAACTATGTCCACTGAAGTATGCCGAGAAACTTGTCTCGCAACTGACAGGTGTCAAAGATGGAGCCATTCTGTACACGGTCCGAGGCAAGTCAGTTGGTATCTAATATATATCTTTTGACTAAAGATTTCTGGCTTATTTAGGTGGTACATCAATGCTCTCTGTCGTTCCTGGACACGCGTCCATCGTAAACAGAGCTTTCGCCAACTTTTTGGCTCGACTACCTCATCGTCGCTCAGACATTGTCCCTCCCGAACTGCCAATCAAGGAGCGGATGCGGATGGCTCTGAAAAAGCTGTCCGAGATAACGGGAAACCCCCAAATTGCATCGTTGGATCCGTCATGTTCTATCTCATTTTCGCTATTATCTCCGGAAGTCGTCAAGAGTCAAACTGAGCTTGTTCGCCACTACCAAAAGGACGCAGACATTGCGTTTTCTCCGATGACCTTGGACGGCAAGCCGCTAAGAAAGTACGTCTGAATATGCTCTTTAACGGGGTTTATCTTATCGCCCATTGCAATCAGGTACTCCGAAAGAGAAAGGGTAGAGTGGTCACATATAGAGACTGGCAGTAAGTGTTTGATCTGCACAGACCAACGTAAATCCTCATCGCTTGTCAGGTACAGCAATTGTACCCCCAGAACGTGGCAAGGAGTCTGAACGTGTTTCCAAATCGTCGTCACGGTCGGATTCTCAACATAACCCCGGCGACAGCCCCCTCATGAAGACGGCTTTCTCGCCGACATCCTCAGAAATACATATACTCAAAGAGATTAAGGTCGCTAACATCACGCCATTACAACGACTCATGACGTAGAACCGTCACTGTTTTCACCTAATTTATTATCTTCGGGTCCTCGGGATTTGACGCTCGTACGCATTCGCACATTGTATGGCTAGATTTTTGACCCCAAACGGACAACATATACCACAGCATACCACTATATCACGAACTATTCACCGTACTGATCCATCTAAGTACAATCGTTTTAACTTCATGTCATTGTGCAATATCTACCAATATATCTCGCTATTAACAGTCCATGTATGTAACCCACAAGTCCATGGTACACTAAGACGATCTATTGAACATGTCTCCCAGTATACAGCCTTTATGTAAAAACAACCGTCCAAGGCACATTGCAACCCGCAGTTGGTCTAAATCTAGAGGCTACCCTCAGCCATCTTGGCCTTGTAATACCTAACCATCTCCTCGAGGCCCATGCGGACGGTCCACCTGGGTTGCCAGCCGAGAGATTCCTTAGCCCTAGTGGTATCAGGCCTGCGCATTTGAGGGTCGTCGGTAGGCATTGGTTTGTGAACAATGTTGACACGGCGGGTTCGCTTAACGCCATCTTCGTCCTGGACCTTTTCGACGATTTCACGAACGAGCTCCGCAAACTCGCCAATAGTGAATTCGTCTCCGTTGCCGATGTTGACGGGGCGGGATTCGTCAGAGTTCATCAAGCAAATGAGACCATCAATGAGGTCGTGGACGTATTGGAAGGAGCGAGTCTGCTTGCCATCACCGTAGACGGTCATATCTTCACCCTTGAGAGCTTGCACGATAAAGTTGGAAACAACGCGACCATCATATGGGTTCACTAGGATGCGAACATTAGGAAGGATGGGCTAGGATGCCGAGTTGGGAAACTCACTGCGTGGACCATAGGTGTTGAAGATGCGAGCAACACGCACGTCAACACCATCTTGACGTTGGAATCCGTATGTCAAGGTTTCTGCGACGCGCTTTCCTTCATCATAGCAAGCGCGAGGACCAATGGGATTCACATGGCCCCAGCTAGGAAACAATGATCAGACTGCAGATCGTAAATGAAATTTAACACTTACTATTCCTCATTTTGGGGATGAACCTCGGGGTCTCCATAGACCTCTATCAGCTATGTCAGCAACGCGAAGCATAAGACGAAACTTAAGAGGCCGCATACCAGAAGTACTGCTGATGAGGAAGCGGGCCTTCGTCCGCTTCGCGAGGCCGAGCATGTTGAGAGTTCCCATGAATGATGTCTTAATCGTCTTGACAGCATTGAATTGATAGTGAGGAGGAGAGGCAGGGCAAGCAAGGTGATAAATTTCTGATTTTGGGATGCGTGTAAGCGATCTTGTCACGTATGTTCAAGAATGAGAAAAACGCACGGTCACATTCAATCATGAACGGCTCAACAACGTCATGGCGGACCATCTCGAAGTTGGGATGTCCAACCCAGTGACTGACGGTTGTTTTCGAGCCAGTAAAGAAGTTATCAAGGACAGTGACTTCATGACCGAGAAGCATCAGACGATCGACGAGATGAGAGCCGACAAATCCAGCTCCGCCAGTGACGAGGATACGCTTGCGCTGCGAAGGAGCCAGAAGCTTTACAGGAGGGAAGCGCGAAAGAGTGGTGTAGGAGATAGACTGAGTATCAGGGTGATAAATCGATTTGGACTGGTAAGCGGCGTGCCCCTGGGTGAATCTGGCATGCTGCGCCTCCTGCGACTCCTCTTTAAGAACTTCAACGCTCTGCGCATCATTGGCGAGAATCGCGTAGTGGGGACGCAGATACAGTGACCGGAGGACATCGATGGGAACCTCGCTGTCGAAACCAAAGCGGTTGAAGCCAACCGAGGTAATCTCGGTGCCATTTTTGTCGAGGGTGCGAATCTACAAGGGCGATTCATGGTCAGCGAGAAGCACACGTGGGGAGAAGAACGGCGCGGCAAGATGATGTTTCGCGCGCCAACCGCGTCGGGTGGTGATGACACACGATTTCAGGAAGATAAAACGCGATGAACGGCGCGAAACGAAGGGGAAGGGACGTACTGGAGCAGCGGACATGGTTGGGCGTGGTATGTTGGGGGCAGAAGGTGGCGGGTCGGATTTCCGTGACTCTGACTTTATACTAGTCCTGTGTCAATTAACCCTCGACCCAAATTCGGTAAGTCTAGGCACTTGCCGATCAACAAAAAGTTTCGCCCCATCTATCACCTCAACCATGCCTCGCACACCGAAATCATCAGGAAAATCCAGACACGACCCCCTCATCGTCCAGCTCGATGAAGACGAGGTGGAGGCTAAGTACGGCCGCATCTCCCAGCCCGGAAAGCGGAAAAAATCAAGACGCAGCAATGCCGATGAGGACTCGGCAGAGGTCTTACGTCCCGTCTGTTATCTGCCGGCGGTGTTAATGTTGTTATCAGGTCATCTTGGACCCAAAAACATCCAGACGCATCTTCGAACTAGCCAAAGACCAGCAAGATGAATTGGACATGCCAGAGGATGAAGAGATTCCCGAAGAGGACGACGACGAGCGGGCCCAAGTTCTCTCGCGGCCAAGGATACCACAAGGACAGATGGACGAGGATGAAGAAGGAGAATTTGACAACACTGGTGCAGATATAGAAGATGAATATGTGCGTGCTGCTGTGCGCAATGGAGATCTTTTTTTATGACAGAAATGCAGGAAATAGATCCTGAAGACATGGAGGCACTTGACGCCCTCCATCCGGCCAACGCTGGAGAACGGAAAACGTTAGCAGACCTCATCTTCGCTAAACTAGACAGCAGGGAGGTCACCTCCACCGCTGCCATACAAAAAGTGCACCAAGGTATGTTTGCTTTGGATGTCATTGTTCATTCTTCGTTAATAAGTCGAGCAGATCGTGATGCTCCAGACCCAGCTGCTGGTCTCAATCCCGCCGTCGTTGAAGCGTACTCGAAGTGTGTGCCCTTCGTTCGCTCTTGCCCGTCTGGCTCACAATTCCTTCCAATCCAGAATAGGACTGCTCTTACGCTCATACAAATCCGGCCCTCTCCCGAAACTCTTCAAAGTTATTCCCTCCCTGCCCGCGTGGGCGCGCATGCTGGCTCTGACACATCCCGAAAACTGGTCTCCACACGCCTGCTGGGCCGCAACCAAGATTTTCATCTCTAACATGAAGCCCGCGCAAGCTCAACTATTTCTCAGTATTGTCTTGCTCGACGCTATCCGAGAAGATATAGCAGAAAACAAAAAGCTGAACGTGCATTACTATGAGGCGCTCAAAAAATCACTTTACAAGCCCGGGGCATTTTTCAAAGGGATTATTTTCCCTTTACTTGATGTAAGTTCGAGAAGACGTTCTTCGACATTTTGCTGATCTTTGGCCAATGTCCAGCAAGGCTGCACCCTCAAGGAGGCAACAATAGTCGCTTCAATTCTTGCTCGAACCAAGATCCCTGTCCTCCATTCCTCCGCAGCCCTACTTCGCATTGCAGAAATGGACTATACAGGACCTAATTCGCTATTTATTCGGGTCCTGCTCGACAAAAAATACGAGCTTCCCTACAAAGTTGTCGACGCCCTCGTATTCCACTTCATCCGACTATCCAACAATTACAAAGTAAAAACACGAGCGGATTCTGAGAAGCTCCCTGTCCTCTGGCACCAGAGCCTTCTGGTATTTGTTCAAAGGTTCGTAAGCACTTTCAGGCTACTCGTCCCACGATCTGAAAGAGCTGGTTTTGTAGGTATGCGTCAGATTTGACGCCCGACCAGAAAGATGCACTGTTGGACGTGATTCGCGCTACACCTCATCCGCAAATCAGCGCAGAAGTCCGGAGAGAGCTGGTCAACTCTGTGGTACGAGGTGCACCAAGGGAGCCCTCGGACCAGGACGTCATAATGGGCTGAATACCGTAGCGTACACCCCTTGGCTAGTTTGTACCATCGCGCTGTATTTTTACACCAGGTCACCGCAGTCTATCTCAATTATATATGTTGACAATGCTTGACTTTTTCAGCTACTTTTTGTACTCTTCTTGTCAGCAAGCTCTTCTCAGAAAGAGGCAGAGATATCCATTGAGATAGCAATAATTTACAGAGTTATTCATTTGTACATTGCGATCCATACATGCAGTTCCCCCGACGGTCGCCTTTGGTTGTTCATTTTGCTTCCTGGCTGCCCAACGCCCATTCCGGCGTTAGCATTTCGTTGCTCGCCCCCTTCGACTCGTCGATGAGCATATGGGCACTTTCCACCCCTGCGACGGGAAGGCGAAGCATGGTACCGTCGGGTCCCAGAAGATGAGTAGGCAAGATACCAGCCTGTCGAAGCGCCGTTGCCTGATCCCACCAGATATGTTCTATGGAGGGCCGAGGATCAATAATGAACGGACATATCATGAAACTGTCCCGGGTACAGAGCTTGCGAAAAGACGTACCATTGTACAACCTGTCTCCGCGAATGTTGACGACTGCCATCATGGGAATGGAGAGCTTCTTCCCGCTGGGTGGAACCCCAGGTAGAAGCCAGTCAACAACGCGGTCGTGGGTAATGTGGTACACGAATTCATCTGGGCATGGAGGATGCATATCATGAGGAGATATTTTGAAACTGGAAGAGGGACTGGCTGACGAACCAACGACACGATCTGGGCCAATCGTACGGGATACGGTTTCAAGACGCGCGTCCGCAGGATTTCTGGAAAGTAACATGTCAGTCGGATTGAGCCATCCAGAGTCTAGTAACCTGACGGCTTACGAGAAGATGAAATGATCTCTGTAAAACTTGGTCAGATTCTCCCGACCTACTCCACCAGTCATCTTCGATGCCTGTCAAACATGTTGCCAAAAGATAATACTCAGTGCTCACAGTGGGGACGTGGTTCACGTATGGCTCAGCCTATTGGAAGTCTTTGAGAAGGGCTTGAAAACATGATAACAAGATCGAGACTCACGACCATCGTTCCCATCGTCTTTGCAACACTCCTCGCTTCAAATTCATAATAGCAGTGTTCGTTCCAAATGGCTTCGAGATCGAAGACTGGGCCTCCTAGCCACTTGCGGAGGAAGACGAGAGTTCGACTGTGAGCAAGGGCTGCACTAGTCGGATCGTATTTGGCAGTTTGTGGCAGAAGGAAAGCGGTGGAAGTGGTGCTGTAGCTATGGATCGTGGTGGCCTCGCTTGGACGGTGGGCCGGTCTTGGTGCGTTTGCAGTCAGGTGCAAGAGAATTGGTAGAGTGCACGAGGGAGACGCGAACGAGCCGTATCCGACAAATGCTACGACGCGGGGCTCCTGGGACACAGCTTTAGACACAGCCGAGACGAGTTTGGAGTCATAGACTGGAATACACGCTCAGGAGGAGATGAATAACAAGACTTGAAATCAACATACCTATCACGGCGAACTTGTCTTTGAAGTCGACATGGGAAGTATTCTGCAATGCATTCAGACCTTCCTTCAGACGCCGCTCCACCACAAGCCCCTCTGAACCCGTAATAGCCATAACCCCGAAGCCTTCCTCCGCCCACTTGGTTGTTGGTTCTGGGTCGAGACGTTTGGTATTGGTCGTGCTCAACACGAGATGATCAGTGCTTGGGAGGAACAGAACAACACCCGGGCCCTTTCCTTTACGTGAAAGTGGAAATTGGAGGACGGTGTTTGCATCTATGACGATCCTTGGACCAGATGGAAGAGGTACGGGCTCTTCGTCGGGGGACTGGGGGTCGTAGAACGTTGGCGCCATCGTAGTTGTGATGGGAGTTGTGAGGTCACAGCCCCTAATCACTTTCCAGTCCAGATTAGGTAGGATTGGGTGTTACTAATACTATCACACGCGGCGCTGCTGACGACAGGCCTACTGTCACTGTTCAGGTGTTTGAAAGTGTCGGGTGTTTGAAAACGGCTCATCTTGCGCCCTCATCCCTCGAATTGGGCTACAATTTTTTGCAAATAGACTTGTATATAAGCTACATATCGGATTGTGTAAAAATTTTGAACGTGAAGGATGCCAAACGCGCAGCAGTGGTCGAAATGTGGTTTTAGAGGCATCAAACCGGGTGGTGGATGCGAATCTATGGTCAGATCCTGCCAGATCCTACCGCCCATGTGTCCTGAAATGTCACAGACATCATAAGAACACTATAGCGCATCTGTGTGCAAAATTTCAGAAACAACAGATGCTGTCGTGGAGGGTGGTGCACCAAACAAGCGCTGAACCGCTGTTGAGCGTGACATCTCCCCGCCATTTCGTGTGGGAAAACATCGCACCTCCCTGCCAAATCGACCGTTACTCAACGTGACATACTTTTCAAACTCCCGGACAACTGATCACGCCTTCTTCCTGAGGCTCGTATACCATGCCCAGATACATTTTGGCCGAAATACATGCGCATTCATGTAGAAGAGAAGGCTGAGGTCATATGTGCCAAGTTTGAGGTGAGTGCGAGAAGCGGAAGGGTGTCTAATTCCCGTTGTGCCAAAAAGTTTCAAACACCTGAACAGTGACAGTACCATTGCCAGACCCGTTTATAGAACGAGGGACTTCGTCAGATAAAAAAAACTGGACCGTGGCTCATTGTTGAACTCGAGGCACTCTGCTCTCTCTTATCTCCTTCGTGGCGACTGAATGGAGATTTGAGCTTGGATTAATTAGAAGCAGTGCACAATCTACTGGCTGGACTTACAAATCTATTTTTTTTTGGAAAAAATACAGCTCCTATTACAATCAATATTGTATATATGTCCTGTTCAAGGAAGGTAATTTTGATGACCTCAACGAAATCAAGAGTTTCGGAAAACAAGAAACGTCGTAAGCGGCGGAATGTGCGGCGAGAATTGTCTAATTGTCCCCAATACACCAATTTTTGCGATAGAGATAAAAATAATGTACGGGCCAGCATTACAAGCCAATTTTTATGGGCCCCGCTTCGGACGCTCCCATTCCGGCAGTAGATTTCCCCTTTCCGGAGGCCTGTGAGACTATACAGTTGATGCAGCCACCGTACGGAAGTTGCCGAGACTCCTGGGCTAAGGGAGAAATTTGGGGAGCTCATCAACACCCCCGTCCCCCTCAAGATTTCTCAAGATGAGGTGAGTATGCCAGTTCACCATCGGCATCGGTGTGCTCAACTGCTTCTTCTCCGACAGTCACCGTAAGGTTCGTCGGTTTTGCTGTGTTGGGAAGGAAGGAGATATTCATGGAGATTAGTACGAAGCCCCCCGCCACGGCTCTCTTGGTTTCCTCCCCAGGAAGCGTGCTGCTCGTCACCGTGGAAAGGTTAAGTCCTTCCCCAAGGTGCGTCCCTTTTTCTTCGAATCGTGGTTCAGCTGTAATTTTCTCGTATATTAGGATGACCCCAAGAAGCCCGTCCATCTCACCGCCATCATGGGCTACAAGGCCGGCATGACCCACGTCGTTCGTGACCTTGACCGACCTGGATCGAGTGCGTTCCAACCATCGGTTGGATATTTGATCTATTGGCTTACACCCTCCCGCAGAGATGCACAAACGTGAGGTCGTCGAGGCTGTTACCGTTATTGAGACCCCTCCCATGATCGTCATCGGTGTTGTCGGCTACGTCGAGACTCCCCGTGGCCTGCGCACACTCACCACCGTCTGGGCTTCTCACCTCTCAGATGAAGTCAAGCGTCGCTTCTACAAGAACTGGTACCGTTCAAAGAAGAAGGCCTTCACCCGCTACGCCAAGAAGCATGCCGAGGATGGTGGCAAGAGCATCGCTCGCGAGCTCGAGCGCATCCGCAAATACTGCACTGTCGTCCGTGTCCTTGCGCACACACAAATTCGCAAGACTGGCCTGCACCAGAAGAAAGCCCACCTCATGGAGATCCAGGTCAATGGTGGCTCTGTCGCTGATAAGGTCAAGTTCGCCCAGGACCTCTTCGAGAAGCCCGTGGAGGTGTCCTCTGTGTTCGAGCAGGATGAGAACATCGACGTCATTGCCGTCACCAAGGGTCATGGATTCGAGGGTGTGACCCACCGTTGGGGCACCAAGAAGCTGCCTCGTAAGACACACAAAGGTCTCCGCAAGGTTGCTTGTATTGGAGCATGGCATCCTTCCAAGGTCATGTTCTCGGTTGCCCGCGCTGGTCAAAGTCAGTCTCAGTACATCTTTGTCTAAGACCACAGATGGTAACACTATGCTGCTCCATAGACGGATACCACCACCGCACAGAGCTCAACAAGAAGATCTACCGCATTGGCTCTGGTTCCGACGACGCCAATGCCTCGACAGAGTCGGATATCACAAAGAAGCTCATCACACCCATGGGTGGCTTCCCTCACTACGGTATCGTCAAGAACGATTTCCTGCTGCTGAAGGGTTCCGTGCCGGGTACCAAGAAGCGTGTCATCACCCTGCGCAAATCCCTCATGGTGCACACATCTCGTCGGGACTTGGAGAAGGTGCAACTCAAGTTCATCGATACCTCATCGAAATTCGGCGTACGTTGTTTTGGTTTCTCTAACAGCAGCACTTACTCATACCGATGTCTAATAGCACGGATCCTTCCAAACGTTCGAAGAAAAGGCCGCGTTCTTGGGAACGCTCAAGGCCCGCGCTTGATTGTTGTATTGCTACCACTTCGCTACTTCCCTTTTGTATCTACACATGCCCCACCACGCCTTCATGCATCGAGTATGAATTTAAATGCTTTATGAAATCTATCTCCATCCAGTGTGAGCTTCAGAACTTGTGAGTGAACCTTCAGATTGCGTACTGAGTGACCGGGGAGACGGACCGAGCTGTTTGCGTGGGCAAATATTTCCAACGAGGTCGGCTTGGGCAAAAAGTTTCCCAGAATTCGCGTCCGTAACCGTACCGTCAGCGCCGTTAACTGTTCCTTTCCGCGTCTCCAGACGGTCTGCTCGTCTCCGTGGTGCTGCAGGCTGCGGTATGTCTCAAATAGACGCGATTCTCACACTCTCACGTCTCTAATTGTTTCATAGAATGATTGCTCGTAGTTTTAATGCTGAGAGCGTCCTCGCTGGGCCTCAGTTTCCTCTTGCCGGCTTCTGTCACAATCCGTTCATGTCGTCGGGTCTACACAGCCAGGATAGGGTGGAGGCCGTCCGTATACCTGCGGACCCGTTCCTCAACGTCGACACCAGCTCTTCCACCCTCCATGGACATCCATCCATATCACGAATCGTTGGATCTGCTCAGTACCATTGCAAGCCCAATTGCACCGCAGGCTACACAAGATCCCAACCTGGACATTGTAGTGGACGAGGGTATGCAAAGTCGTCCATCCGGGACTCATTTTTCTCCGACCATCGACCCTCAGTTGATGCTGAAATTCATAACGGACGAACCGCAGAGAAGAGAAAAGGATGCCGAAGAAGAACAATTCGTGCGAGCAGATATTCCGACAGTTCCTTCCCCTTCATTCTCTGCCGGAAAACCCTGGAGGATGCCACACATCACGTTTGCGTACATTCCCGACTATTACAAAATTCTTCTGTCCAAGGTGACACGAAGCCTCGAAGAGGCAAACGAAAGATATGCCGAATACCTTGTCTTTTCAGATTTTGCCGGCAACGACAACCAGAACTCGCACACACCTCCTTCCATCGACATTCCGAACTACATCCGGTCACACCTCTACTCTATGGGCCGAACACACTCCGTCGACGAAGCATGGCATTCTTATGTATCCCTCATCGAGATCATTTCAAGCACTCCGTACGTCTACGAGCACGTCGACCACATCCCTCTGCCCCATCTACACCGTTTCTGCCGACTGTTGGCGCGTCACCAACCGAAAACCCACCGCCAATACCTTCGCTTGCTTGCGGTCATGACCTACATCAGACATTGCGGTGGAATCCTTCAGCAATTCGAATACAACGCCCTCGTCCACCTTGCGGGCACGGGGTGGCGGAAGACGCGTGTAGAGGAAGTGACGCATGCCATGAGCGTCTTCAATGACCTAAGGGCTGGTCGCCTGCCAGGATCAGAAGGGTTCCCGACTCTGGAGACAGACCAGAGATCAAGACTGCAGCCAGACATCTACACGTTCACAAGCCTCCTGTCGCTTGCTGCACGCGCTAACGACACGTCGGCCTTGAGGAACATCAGCGGGCTCATGACAAAGGCCGGCCTGTTGCCCAACAGAATTACGCATTTATCACTCTTACCCCATTTCACGTCCGCGAAGAATCTGGGTGGCCTGCGGATGACGCTGCAGAGGATGCGTAGCAGGGATATGGCGCTCGGGCTGGACGGCTTGAACGCGTGTATATGGGCGTACGGGCGCTGCGAAAGACTGGATATTGCGATGGGCATCTACCGGCTTTTGCGCAACAGTGTCATTCCAGAGGCGTACAGAGGGCCCGGCGATATCCAAGAAACGGTAGCTCAACTCGAAGAGGAGTACATTGTCGTGGAACCCGACATCAGGCCCAACAAAGTTACCTTTATCACCATCATCCAGCTAATGGCCTACAGTGGGCAGTTTCGAGCTGCGATTAACGTCTTTTACGACATGCTCTCGTTCGACAACGTTGAAGAAGGAGCCCCTCTTTTCCCCGACGAATCAGGCCAACTCAAGCCCGCCCCATATCGCGCCTCTTTCGCCGTCTATCGTGCTATTTTCATCGGATTCTCGAAATACGGCGTTCCGCCCGCCCGTCTCAACAACCAGGACGAGCTCGACTGGACCCTCGATAACTTGACGGCACTCTTCGAACGTTTCTTGACGCTGCCGAAGGAACGCGACTTGTCACCTGCTCTCGTCCACATCGTGTTGGCTGCCTTCAACACTACGAGTGGGAGCGACGACGACGCCATACGGAAAGCTTGGATCGCTATGGACGAGAGGTTCGGCATCGTCTTCCGTAAGGCCAATTCTGACTCCCGCCTGGTTCGATTGAAGGCAAGGCTCTTTCCAGACGAAACGTTAAAGCCGGGTTGAGACCCTACAGAGGGGGAGTTCTATTCCAACATGACATTGTCGCATCAAGCGCCTATTCCTTCCGCAACGACTGTACAAAGGATCTACAACCTACATTACACCACATTATCTCTTCTTATGCTCAGGGTTCAAAGTCCGGACACATATCTCAACGCTTTCCTTCGTGCTTCTTTCTCCACTGGAAGTACTCGTCCCAGGTCACGGAGCAGACCTTGCTCTGGTACCGCTGCAGTTTGACACTCCTGCGCAAGTCTTCCGTGATGCGGCCTTTCCAACCGGCCTTGTGGATGGCGCTGTCGACGGCTTCAACCTTGTCCCACCCTTGCTCCGGGATAACGTCAGGGAGATACGTGGCGGAGAACGATTGTTTCGAGGTCAACCGTGGAGTGCTTCGAGGAGAGGGCGAAGGAAGCGGCGAGGGTGTGTCGGACGAAGACTGAATGAGGGAGGGATGTGGGAAGGTGATGTAGATGCCGTGCACACCGATGGTCCAGTCGAGATACGAGTCGGCCTGCTCAAATTCGGTGAGGAGCGATACGCTGTGGAGAGAGGAAGGAGGAGAGGCGGTTTTAGAAGAAAGAATCATTAGTTATATAGAATCCAATCTAATCGTTTCTGCCCATTGCTTCTCGGAAATGGAGAGACGAGGGGGTGAATGCTTACCTGCACTGCAGGCGGTCTAGCTCGTTCCTCTCTATCTTTCTGAAGCGATGGTCGCGCAGTGCGCTGATAAGGGCGTAGTCCGCCAGCCCCTCATGTAAGGGCATTGGCTCGAAATTGCCTATGCAACCTCGCAGGCGCCAGTCGTCGCCGTTTTCGATATTCCAAGTCACGAATAGGGGGCTCCAGCGCAGATAGCATTCAACCTCATGTTTTGGACATGGACCACAGGGCGCAACTCACTATTTCTCATCAGGGAACGTAGGGGGTATTGGTTTGGACTTTGTCAGACTACAGTACAGTGTGTCGAAGGCGTAGAAGCAGTGCTCTGGGGTGCATGCCTCGTCGTCGTCGTTGACCCGCGATGGATGAGCGGCTGCCGGGTCGGGGGGCAGCAGAGACATGGTGGCGAGGGAAAGCGGGAGGGAATGTAGGACGCCCAGGATCGCGCTGACAGCTGTGTAGGCTGCGGGGGATAAGCAAGAGCCTGCCGCGATTCGGGCGGCTTATATAGCGCGAGGACAATCAATGAATCATCGTGATCAGCTGGAGGTGAGAGGCAGGGTCCTTTTTAGAAAGAACGCTGGTCCGGCCTTGGCTGCTTGTACCGGTGGGTACTGGCTATGTACCTAGAAATATCATCCACAGACAAAAAGACACTATAATTACAGAGATAATGGAGTAAATTGTAATCCAGGGGGTTCAGACAAAGCATGGTCCTACGGAGAATCCATGGCGTGGTCATGGCATATGTACGTACTTAATAGACATGTAGATATAGAATAGATAAAACAAGCCTATGGGAATCAGCGGTGGTCTTGCGGCACCAGGGTTGGATGGCATGATGGTCGTGACATGAAGGGATATGGAGCATGGAGGTAGTGCTTGATGACAAGGGGAAGGGGGATATTGGGAAGAGAGAGAGAGACAGATGAGGAGATGGTGCAGGAAATTGAGTGAGACGGAACAGATTTGTGAGAGACAAGGGAAACGGGAATAAGTGAGACGAAATAAGAAAGAGATGTGGTCAGAGGCAGTGACAGTATAAAGGACGAGAGGCAGATGGTGCAAAAGGAAGGACTGAGGACCGATCAAGAGAGGGTTAGGTGGCCAGCACCATATAGGGCTAACAACAGTTCCAGCTCCCTGAACGCTGCACTTTTTCGCGGGCGAGTTCTTCATCGGCGTGCGCAGACCACGTCGGTGTACTTACGCTGGACAGGAATATACTGTCACGTTTCAACTCGTTTTCCCGCTCGATGACGTCCTTCCGTAGGATAATCGCAGATATCAGGTGTTCAAAGAGATTTTGGATACCTGTGGCGAGATAGCGATTAGGATGCGAATACCAAGCGCCGGAGATCGACCCGATGCCGTACCTGTGTCATCTTTGGCAGAAACTTCAAAGAGCTCCATGCCCTTGCTCAAACCCCACTCGTGCGACGACTCCTCGTCTTCATCCGCCTCTTCAATGCTGTTGCTGCTGTTGTCATTGTTCTCGATCCAACCGGCGCCATGACCCAGGCGCGACCCAAAACGGGACGATTGAGGTGTTCTTGTGCCGGTGCTGGTGTTTGACCGAGTGAGGGAGCTAGCTGTCTTGGGACGTGCCTGGGCCGCAGTATTGCGCTGCAGAGCCGAAGAGCGAGCGGAAGGGAGATCAAGGTAGGCCGGAGCCTCGGGAGAGAGCGGGGAAGCTGGTGTCGGAGAAGTGACAATGGGTGGAGATCGTAAGCCGGGGAAAGAGGTGAAACGAGGTCGGATGTAAGATAGCGTCGACGGGGGCGGTGGGGGGGGCGGCGTGGGTGGTCTTGGTGGGGGAAACCAGTTGTGCAATGACAAGCGAGCGAGATCTGGCGTGACCTGACGGTGTCGATAAAGATCCGCCTTAGAGCCAACAATGTAGATGATGAGTTCGGGCGGGCAGTTCTTCTTCAGCTCTAAGACCGAAAGAAGGGGAAAGTCAAAATCTGAATTAGGGCTGCATGAAATCAAAGGCACCTTCGAGCCAGCCGCGAATATCCTCGAAGGTCGAGGCGTTGGTGATGTCGTAGAGCAGGAGCGCCGCGTTAGCACCTATGAACAAAGCGAAAAAAGATGAGTCGGTCTGACGTGGTAAGATGAAAGGAAGGTCGTTGCACTCGCCTCGATAGTACATGGGCGCCTGCAAGCGAACAAAGGAGACGGTCAGAGGCTTAATGAGAGGATCGGCGGGGCCGTGAAAGGAACGCACCATGCTCCTGAACCTTTCTTGCCCTGCGGTGTCCCAGAGCTGGAGACGGACCTTGAGCCCGTTTATATGAACCTTCTTTGTGACGAAGAAGGCACCGCTGGTGGAGGTCGTGTTCTTGGGGTCGAACCTGTTCTGTGTGTAGCGGTAGAGGAGACTGGTCTTTCCGACGCCTGGGTGGCACTGAGGGTTATTCGCGCGTAGAGCGGGGGGTCTGCTCACCAGAGTTGCCCATGATGACGATCTTGCTGTCGATGCCGTGCTCATAGCGCGAACGGGAGTAGGGGTCGTGGGAGGGATAGTCGTCCATGGTGCGCGGGTGCGCGGCGCGCTTGAATGCGCAGGGTATAAGGGAGAGGAGAAGAGACAGGCGGAATCTAAAGATGCGCGAAACGGGAAACAGCCGGCCCCTGTCGCCAGACCGGCCCACGTGCGAATTCTCAGCTCGTCCCTTCTCGGAAGCTCAATATCTCACTATCGGATCTCATGCAGCATGCTCGTCATATTTGCGAAGGATGAGTGGAATCCATATCATATCTACATAGCCCGCAGCCCCCTCACTCCTGCGATACAGCAGGGAACTCAAACACAACGTCCTTCCCCGTCAGGCGGCGGTACACCGACGAGAACGAATCCAGCTTGTACTCCAACGATGTCGCGTCTTTCGAGTCAAGTACACTGCAATGCCCCATTAGCTCGTTCCTCACAAAGTCCCGCAGAGCCACTTACACTTTCAACAGCTTGGAGCCATCGACGGCGACGCGAGTCCTCTTGCCGACGATCTCCGTGGGGAACACAAGATCCTCCAGGATCTTTTCGTGGACGTTGGTCAGTGTGCGGCTGCGGGGTCTCTTCTGCTTGACGCGCGAGGTACGAGTGGGCTTGCGCAGCATCCGGCGCTGGGCAATGAACACGACATGTCTGTCGGAGAATTTCTTCTCGAGCTCCCGGGTCAGCCTGTACGAGTAGCTCCTTCAATGCCATTTCCCCTTCAGTGCAGCCTCCAGACGCACCTTTGCTGAATCTTGTGGAAAGCCTTCAATTGGGGGACCGGCACGAAGACAACGATGGCCTTCTTGCCGCCACGAACGTCAACCTCGCGGGCAGCAGAGATCTGGAGAGCGCGAAGCTCATTTTTGAGTTCCGGGACGTTGTTCTCAAGGTCAATCAGAGCCTGGGCGACGCTCTTTTCGGTTTCATCGGGGGCAGTGGTGGGTGCGTTGGCGGTACGAAGAATCTTGTTGGCAATGGTGGACATCTTGAGGAATGAGGCCCTATAACAGCAGCAGAGCGACCAGTCAACATCCAGATTGCACCGATGCCATCCATCCCAATCCCGCCCTCCATTCCTCTCAAACTCCTCCCATCGTGCGTCCGACCATCATAACAACATTTTGCAGCATCGAAATGAGGGAGATTTACTCACCAGACCTTTTGGCGACGGCAACGACGACGAGGAGAGACTTTCTTGCACTGATGGACAGACTCTCACAACACCTGCAAACTGGATCACCGGTACCGGCGCCCAATTTGGATAGTCCACCCCGGCTGGCACTTTCCCTCAGCGCTCAGCTTGGCGCAGCCGCATGTCATCCTTTGCTCATCCTCTTGACCCGGAACTCGACGACTGCCGTCCATTCTTCCGTGCCGCACGTCTACAAGGGCATACCGCCGTTCACCGCAAACCCTCTTGTCACCGATTGGCAAAGCTACCTGCACCCCTAAAGCTCGGAAAGGGAAGTTCAAGTCGAGCAAGAGCCAATTCTGGAAGTCCTGAGACTGTCGAAGCACATCACTTATTGGTCTTGCGGGCTGGGTGGATGCACGACACCCTCGGAGACCGAACTAGTCGTCGAATTTTCCCCTTCCGCAACAATAGCTTATCTACTTCCCGCAGAATGCGGCTTATCTATCTGCAAACGGCGCTTCGCGAGGCCTCTCAGGCGTCAATAGTCTCGACAACTACTTCTCACTGGCTCCTGGCTATGACTTCTTCTCAACAAATCAGAACTATTAACGGATCTTACTCCTGCTCCGCACGACAATAAACATACGCCTGCACATCGCCTTTTTCATTCGAGCTCTGGTCCTGTGACGAAATCGATATGCTCGCTTGCTGAGCTTGTTCACCAGCGCTCGTCTTGGACTCCGTCATTTCAACACCATCGGGAATGTCCGTTCAGCCTGCCTACCTTCCCGTTGCAGTTGCTCCGAATGTCCTCATGTTCTCAGTTCCGGAGACGGATTAGCTGCTAAGACGCAATCAACTGACGTCAGCCCTGCATTTTTAATACTGATGAAGGATAGTCCAAGATAGACATTGCAACGCTTCGAGACCCAAATCAAGAACTATCTCTCGTCTTTTTGAACTCTTTCACCCATTTCGTCTCCACAACTCCCTTCGGCATCACAACAAATGACAGACAGCCATCCTTTATCTCTAGACCATCTTTCGCCTGACCTTCCTTTTCCTTGGAGGATTTAAAGACATCCCGCAACGACAACTTCTTGCCCACTTTCAACAATCGTCTCCGATACGTTGTCGCATAGATCACCAGGTTCCCTGCCGTGTATTCACCCTTCTTATCCCATGCAGGAGGTGGTGCGTTTGGTGGGAACATCGTTTCTATATGTGCGCCGAATGTGGTGTCTTCCGAGAAGTCTGAGATTATGTCCGAAGTCGCATATTCGGGATAGAGGAAGAAGACGGGGAAGACAAGCGTGGAGGCTGTAGGATCTTCGGAATCGAAATGTGGCGAGACGGGGTTGACGGATCCTCCCGGCTTGTTGAAGATAACAAGGTTTCGCTCCTTTACCGAGGAGCACGATAAGAAACTTCAGTCGGAGCCAATGTGTCCACTTACTCGGAAAGCCATCTTCAACGCCATCTTTTCATACTCCTCCTTTCGCTTTTCATCTTGCTTTTTTCGTTCTATTCGCTCCGCTTCTTCCCTTGACTTAGTCGCTCGCTCTTGAAGTGCTTTGATTCCCTGATTGTCGGGGTCGTACGACAGACACCGAGTACAGCAGTCAAGAGCTTCCTCTACCCGTCCGAGGGCTACGAGGGCTTGACCAGAGCGGTAGTACCCTTTCGACGATTTGGGGTTGATAGTCAGCACCCTTGAACAGTCTCTCAACACAGAGCCGTAGTTCTCTGTTCTCGCTATTAGTCCTGAGCGCAATGATCCGTGAAGGAAGACTTACTCAATTCCAGGTTACACGCGGCTCTATTGCTTAACAATGCCTGCAGAATAGCCTGATCCGTCGGCTTTGCGTCGATGCCCTGTGTATAGAAGCCCATAGCTTCGCGGTATCGTTTTCCCTGGAAGTACTCGTTCCCTTGCTCCTTAAAGTTCTGCGCGACCTCTGCACCCTGTTAGAACCACGACGTCTCAAAAATAAGTGAGGCTTCTCACCCACCATCCGGTGTTCCTTCATAAATCAGGCTTTGCAGTGCTGCCAGAGTCGCATCTTCACCGTCCTCTTCGGGGAGTGATTTCATGAACAGTGGGATCGAGTCAAAGGAGGCAAGGACCGAATCTTCTGTCGGTCTAGGTTTAAGTTCTGGTCCTGCTACAGTCGCCATCTTATGAGAATGCTTGGGTGGTGGATGTGAAGTTGAGAGATGGGTTGAGTACATATTTGACTCGTTGCTCTGCGATTAGATATTGGGACATCGGGCCGGGCATTCCGACCTCCCAACCCTGACATGAGCCTCATCAGATGAGGACGTTCCGTTATTCGAAAGTTCGAGCCGTGCGAGCCGTGCGAGACGTACGAGCCATAGGTGGCTGACCTCCACCCGCAGTGGCCCCAGCAGAAAGTAACTCAGAAAATAATTATTAGCTCGCTAGTTCCTAAGACTAGGTAATGTTGGAGGATAATCTGACACAAGCTTGACTGCCCACAAATTAAAGTGGGCAGGGAGGGTCAGCAGGTGCTGACCCTCGTCGATGAGGGCGGGCAGCGCAGCACAACCGCCCGCCCGGCGCCGTCGCAGGCTTTCACCCTGCCATAGAAACCAGCCGAGGAAAAATGACAAAATAAGTGCATTTAATAGGTATTTACAACGGCAGGACGAGGGTAGCTCTTTGCGGTAGCGTGGCTCAGAGAGATGGTTACTAATCCCCATAGTATAACCATATTCCTGTCCGTCGTGCCAATTCTCGAAGCTAACCTTCGCTCCTCACTTCCTCGCTCGCCCGTCGTACCGCTGATGTTTGTGCTCGTGAGCGGCCCAGTCGTGAGGGGTCTGTGGTCGAGCTTGAGGTGGTAGTTGGGGGTTAGGCATGGGGGCAACGGCGCGCGGCTGACCTGCGCGGTGTGCGGTGTGTAAAGGTCTTGTGTCGGGGTGGAAAGGAGGAAGTCGGGATGGCGAGACGGCGTACGAGGAGGGTAGAACAGGGCGAGGACGGCGTGGGCCCCTCCCTCCTGTCCCTTGTTGCACTCGTGTCATGTTCAAGCCCGCACGTCCGGGCCTCTCGAGTAGCTGTGTTGCCAAAGATCGAGTTGGCGGGGACAGCGATGGTAGGTATCTGTGGGTGCTGCATGCGAAGGGCGGAATGGGATTGGGAAGGCGCGGTCGGAGGGGCTGGTAAGGGGAGGGACTCGCCCTTGCCTTCCTAGCCCTAGCCCTCCTCTCCCTCTCCCTCTCCCTCTGCTCGTACTCGCCCCGTGTCCAGAACGTAGACCGGCACAGGCAAGCGGTTCCGTGCTCTGGCTTGCCGTGTCACTACCCGTGCGTCCATCGTTCGTGCCCGCCCTCGCCCTGCGAAACGTTGGGTGGGTGTTGGGGTTTCTGCGAACCCAGTGCTAGGCTTCCCATGGCATCTTGGAGAGAAAATTCCTGTGATTTGCTTCAGCGGGTGGAGAACACTGACGGTGAGGCCATGACGGAGCAGATAATGGTGCAATTCTGTGTCGAGCGGTTGCTGGCTGCCAGTGTAGAGTAGCTGACGAGTTGGCGAGGCCCACTGCGTTAGCTAAGCAGGCTCGTACGTCTCGCACGGCTCGCACGGCTCGAACTTTCGAATCCCAGAACTT